TGCAAATGTCAATGAGCGAAGGCTATAACTTAACTGAGGTTATCCGCCAGCTCAATTGTCACCTTATCACATAAAAAAAAAATTTAAATTCTGTCCGCATGTTCTACAACGCAGTTGATAATACAAAACAAATTATTCTTATTCATAACCATAGCAAATAGAAAAATGTCCATGAACTTTTAAAATGTTTTCTATTGAGTATAGAGGTATGTCGCTAAAGATGGCTCAATTTCGTACTTCATTCTCATTCCTTTAATATATGTACTTTCCTGCGTTAAATTGCAAAATTTTCTAACCTAACGGCTTCACACTTTCATCCAAAATTTAAAGAATGATTCGTCTAAAGTTGTAATGGACGTTCCATGTTACAGACGTTTGATTCGGAAATCACGGTACTTAAATAAATATTAACCTACTAACTTACCATTATGCGTCTAGCTGACTGCCGACGCTAACGAATGTCCACTATTCCGATTGATATTTGTCTAGACTTTTTTAGGCATTTAGGTTAAACTTATTAGAATAGGTACTAAGTTTAAAGACGGTTACATAATTTTTTTTAGCGTGGTTTTATATATAGCGCGGTTTAAATATTTTGTCAATCACAATAACAAATTTTCTACATCCATGATGTAGCCCCATGATGCGGCCCCAGAAGCAATACCACACTTTACTCATTTTTTTAAAATCTATGATAATATTACGTAAACATAAAATCTCTCTGTCATTGAAATTGAATTGGTAATTCGAATATGACCAAAATCAATCAGCTCAATAATTATATAGTTTTATAAATTTATTGGTTTATATTCTTGAATAATCGTGCTTAATAATATTAAGACGAAGAATACCGTCCTGATCCGACAAATAAACATGATAATGTGATGCGAATGATAATGCGTATAATATGAAAGGACCATGCAATAGTGTTCACTGTTGCATCGTCCTACCATGGTTGCACGGAAGGGCAGGTCCGTCCGGGTAAATACCGCGTCCTCACAGAAGACCGGCGTAAAGTAAAAGTGTTACAACTTCTGCGTTTCGTCTTGTGAGTGAGTAGCTGAACCGCCGGCTCGTTTGTCACTTTCTAACATAAAAAATAGCTAGGGTAGAAGCTCGGTCTAAAAACTACGTCTATTTGCAAATGCGATACACGCTCTAGGCAGAATACCACGCCGCGCGCCACCGCAATGGAGCAAAACGCGTCCAACACGTCTCAGTTATTAAGTGAGAAAGTATCGAGCGCTCCACGAGAGTAATCGGTTGGCGCCGTTAAACTAGTTAACTATCAGGCACCGGAAGCTTCTAGATGCCGACGTCGTTTAAGTCCTTAACACGATTTTGACAAAGCGACATGTCCATCTGATGCAAACAGTTGAAATCTTTACACCAGCATTCGTTTTTGATTTTTACTAAAGCAGTAACAATTTACCGGCCTCTTATGACTCGCAAGAATAATAAAGAAGATAATAAAATATTTTTCTACCGTTTAAAGCAGCTTTCTCCCTCCGTATTATATATAATATTTGTTTTGCAGAATGCCAAAGTTATTTAATACGAAGAAATTCTAAAAAAGATTTTTTATGATACGTACAATATTCTCGAGACGTCTTGCGTCCGTGAGTACATGAAATATTTTTGATTCATTGAAATAGTAACAATACTTGAAAAATAAACTGATGACCTAGGTTTATACACCATCTAATTAAATAATTACTTTTTTTGCAAACGCTTCTGTTACTTTTTAGCATGAAACGAGAAACCTCATCGATTATTTATTTTAAAACTTGCAACCCAGACTGGGTTAACATAAGTTTAATTATTTTCAACCTTAACTTTCATATTTACTGTGGTGTTAGGTATTTAAAGATAAAATTTTAGGAGCAATATTTTTAAGTGTAAATTTTAAGGTTCCTTTTTAAAGTATCCTTAGGTTGTTGTCCATGTATGAGAAGATACTTATTAAATTCTTATTGCATATTATGCATTGGAAACTCAAATTGTATTTTCACGATTTGTTCGAATTATTATTTATACATTCGAAATTTTAAATGGAACAAAAGAAAAATACAGGAGTAGAAAAACTATTCAAACAGATCGGAGATCTAGGATTTAAAGATAAGTAAAGAAAATAAAATGTAATATGACGAGTCCGGAATAACGGCCAGCATCGTATAACAAATCTGATAGCAATTTTGGCGAAATATCCAACTAGTTTGACACGACTCCTATGCTCTATCTTGATTGAAATAAATTACACTGAAAATCTGAGAATATTCATGAAAGCTGTATTGTAAGAAGATTGTAAATAGGTAAGTACATAAATTAATTCTTACGTGAAGTACACGAGTAATTCGCATTGCTCTGAGTTTTCTTCGCGGCATCAATTTCATCATTCAACGCGTTCAAAGACCCATTTAGCCTTTGGTAATTGTTTACATTAGGGGCTCGTTTCTTGTTTTGAGCTAAAAATATTTTTTAACAATTAGCCAGCCCTTTCTGAATTCGCCATAATTAACAACCAATATCCCAGAGTCCACGCGATTCACTGACATGAAATCATAGAGACAGGATTCGGGAGGTGAAACTTGACCCGTGTACAATTCGAACCTGGCAGTTGGCAAGATGGCCATTGTGAATACTACGCCATCCGTTTGACCACAAAGATGGCATTAATACATTAGCAATAACAATGGGTATGATATGTATCACAAAAATAAATCAAAGCTCCCATAATGGTAGGCAAGACCGTTTTACAAATAATCGTCGTTTTTTATGCGTCAACATATTTTCACATTGCAAAAGTAAGCTTTTAGCGACTATAAACATGATTTGTATTTATGCGAATACTCAATATTTATTACAGTACCTGGAGGACCGAGCTGTGCTCGCTTTGTTTTATTTTTTTGGTAAATCGTATATTTTGGAAATTACATTTAGATACAAATTACTGAGTAATGAAATATGCATAAGATTTTTCGATCTTACCGACGTAATAATAAGAAAATATAAAGTGGTGTTTTTCACAAAAGAAAGAAATTTAAACATATATATATAAAAAATAAAGAAAGCAATGATCTGGATTTGAAAAAAATAGGTATGTAAATGATCGTGACACGAACCACGGCCTTCTGTTTCGGGGCCGCCCGATTACCGACCGAGCTATTATAACATTTTTTTTTGCGGCGAAATTTACCGTCGAATAAAAAAATTTACCGTCGACGAAAAGGACATTTTCCAAAAATGGCTCATTTTGGCATATACAGCGTGTCTTTACCATCGCGACAATAAATTAACACACATATAGAGGATAACTTTTTTAAATTGTATTAAACATTTACATTCTTTAAACATTAACATTTACAGAGTTATTAAATTTTCCAAAACAAAGAATTTTAGAACACCCTTGCGTATAAAACTGTAACGTAAAGTTCATTTGTAAAGGTCACAAAGCATAATAATTCGTTGAATGAATTTAAAAGAGACAAAACATACAGTTAGAAGGAGAGGCTTGTAATGCGACGCTGTGGCGCGAGATGTATAGGATGTTACAAATTTTGTTTCTTTTTTACTTAATTAGTTTGTTTGAAAAAAAATTTTTTTTAATTATGGATTTTTTTAACGTTAATATTTTTTTATGATTATTGGCAAGTAGTGTTAGACGTGTGTTCATTTATTGGTAACGACACGCTGTATATATATGCCAAAATGAGACATACAGAATCGAAATAAATGACATGAGAACGTCAAACGTCTCAGTTTGACGTTAAGTGTTAGAAGTATTGGGATTATATTAAGTAAGTATTGTCTAATTAAACGCGATACAAATCGTGAAGACAGTTTTATTCAGTTGACAGTTTTTTTGACATCCTTGCTTCCATTTGGAAAGAGTTCAAACTATCACAATTGCCTAGACATTGCCTTTTCCATCGTTGTCGCTACATGTTATTTTACTACACAAGGATCATAATTTTTGAATTATCGCTCATTTCTACATTTATATTATAGGTCATTCGGGTCTTCATCTATACGAGCTGACTGCCCCTTAGGGTTTAATTTTTCTTTTGTCCATGTGCCATACACTCACACTTTCTCCTCTTAGTAAAAGAAGTTCACAAATTAACAAACTCATTATAGTATTTTTCAAACATTATTATTATAAATATATTATTGTAAAATCAAAATGCAGTATTTAAAACATCCTCTGTCATCGATGATATCCTCAATCCACGTGTTACAGATGTATTATAAACGGCAGGTAGATGGGACCCTGGGGCCCTCTATTACAAATTCTTCACACTGACGGCTGACCGCAAAAAGCTCCGCTGAGCGAGCGCTTGCAAACATACTCGGTAGCTTTTTTGTATTCTAATCACGCGGCCGTGTACTTATTACTCGGAATTCCTACAAACTCACTTACGATGGTATTTCTCATTTGGTATTTGTTATTCTTAACGTATTTCAACCATTACTGCGACGCATTTTGTGTCTGACTACTTTAATCCACTTCTGTGACGCTCTAATATCTGTTATACACTTATCGAAAGATTTTTTTTTATATTTGTACAATGACCAAATTGAAACTCGAATAACATAAAAATTTATTAATAATAATACGATACCGATAATTAAATAATGTAGGCTAGCACATACAGTGCAATTCTAGAAATATTTCGTGGAGGAGGCTTAATATTTTCACAAAGTATGTGTTTTCATAATTAACTCATGAACTATGCATGAACTATTTTATAAATTTAAAAACAAGCAAATATTATGGAAGGTACACGAATTGAACACCGAGATGTACAAGGAAGTGGTTTTGTCCGTGAACGTTTTTTGCTAAACGTGAATTCTCTATTTTTTTCGCACACATTTTTCAATGAAACACTGGCCAATTAGTGATACTGGTAATTCGTGTCTACAAGCAATTAAATGAAGACTCTACAGAAACAATGCATTTATTATGAGAAATTCAAAACCACAAAAGCTCGCAAACTTACAATAAGCTCCGGTTGTAGAACTCTCACAACACATAGGATTATCATTCTGTAATAAGCGGTCTTTTAGCATTGAAAACTTTCTGGTACAAATCACTTCGAACACTACGCGATTTTCACTGCACAAAATAAAATTGAAGAATCACACTCGAATAGAGCTTAAACTTGTTTCGTATTGTGGAAATCGCCGCGAGATTTACAAAAGCGATAAAGGTGTGTTTAGCGTGTAGTTTTCCCGGAGTTTGCTAACAGACTGGAAGCCACCTAGCGTCTTACGGGCGTTTGCGTCTGCGCAGGCTTCGCCGTGGAAAGTTCATCGAACGTTGCGCCAGCGCCTATCGCAAACATCATTCCATGGGACCAATCCTGCGGTTTTAATGTAGTTGACGAATTTTAATAACTAATATAACTATTTAATAATATAGTGTTTATAAAATCACGCGGTGGAAAAATTTATCCGTGGAATCTTTTATCATCTTAATTCCTAATATATTAAGGTTTTTATTGTGTATTAAGTATATAAAAAATTGTTTTATATACTTACTAATTTGGACTTATCGATTCAAATTTATTATAGAGATGAATGATATATATGTAGAGTTGTTAACAAATCCCGTAACTCGTAAGGAACTATGGATTAGAGAAAGCATTATCTCTATTCCGTGTTTAGTATTGTATGAATAATTATATTCCTATAGCATGTTAAGTAACTGAGCGTGCAAATCTTTTTTAATAAGTATATCACTAAAACTACGCAACGGATCGTGATTCGGTTTTTTACAAGATATATACATTGCAGCCGTGCGGGGCCGGGTCGGGTCGCTAGTTTAAAATAAATGATATTGAATAATACATATAAATGAAGCAAGTCCATACTGCGCGGCATTTAAAAAATTGTACCGTTTTACATTATATGACAGTAATGACATATATAAGGAAATATGATAGATGATAAAGAACGTATGATATGGAAAAAGTGCTCTTACTCTATAGAATTGCAATCTAATTACACCAATTGGTGTAATTCAAGTGCATATAGCTCATAGAACCGATAACCGTTGGAGAAGAAAGGTTCTTGAGTGGCAGCTTCGAACGCCCCACTAGATGGAGTGACGACCTGTGCAAGTGTGCGGGAAGTCGATGGATGCAAGATCCAGGTGGCTCAGGATCGTGTGTGGTGACTGTCTGTGGGGAGTCCTATGTTCAGTAGTGGATTCAAACAGGCTGAAATGATGACATTGATGATGATGAATGCCTCAATTTCGGTCCGCTAGTGTCATAATATCTTTATATATAGTATCATTTTGTATAATAGATGATATTATAAGAAAGTTTCATAATAACGCACAAGTGTCTACTTCAATAAAGATATTTTGAATTTGAATATAACTAATTGCCAGGTAAGAATAGTCACCGTCATTTATTTTGTTTTCCTTACATAACCCGAAAAATGGCTAATCATTACCTATAAAAAATATGACAATCATATAAATAAAATATCCGATATATATCAATGTTTTATCAATCTACTATTATAAATATTTTTTATTCCATAAACTTTTGGTTTTAACTACAAACTACATACTGTAAATCCATTCTCAGCTCTAGACATTAAACTAGAAGTGGGCGATACAAATCGTATCAGATATGAAATCTAGATATTAGTACAATATCCGAATATCGCTTACTGGCTCGTTCAATATCTATGTATTTTACAATATCTGATATTTCCGAAATCTGATATAGCTCACCATACCGACACGAATCGCGATATCATACGGTTTGCCACAATATCTGATTTTTAAACAGATTTCGAGAGACAAAGCGCGTGAGATACAAATACTTACTAGTTAGAGCGGGACGGCAAGTAATGAACGATATCAGATATCGAGCGACAAAGCGCGTGAGATATAAATACTCACTAGTTAGAGCGGGACGGCAAGCAATGCACGATATCAGATTTTTAAACAGATTTTGAGCGACAAAGCGCGTGAGATACAAATATTACACTAGTTAGAGCAGTACGGCAAGCAAGGCACAATATCAGATTTTTAAACAGATATTATGAATAAGTTAAGTAATTTTGAATCTTAAAATCATGCAGATAAGATCCGTTTTAATTAAATACTACAACGATATTATTATATTTTTATTGTTTTGTTTAGCCTTGAGCCGTAACGGGCGACAAAGCGCGCAGTTAAGTAATTTTGAATCTTGTTGCATTTAAATACGAATTACGATATTAACGATGTCTTTAAATTTTGTTCAGCCTTGAGCTGGATTGCATTGGTACCTAGCACGTATGGCAACTTACTACTTAAGAATTTTCTGCCAAAATTAAGGAAGAAAAATATAAATGGAAATGTTTTAGGAGGAAAATTTTTTGTGAATATTTTTATTAGTTAAATTTTATTCATATTTTTGGAAAAAAATAAAAGTACACAAAAAGAAAAATATAATTTAATAGTGCTGTGCTGCTTGGGTGGAAATCAGACCAAGGCTTATGTGCTTTGTGTGTATATTTTAAATTCTTCTGCCCTAAGTTATAATGCTGAATGTATTATTTCTTACACAAATTATAAAAATATGTCACTCATGATTGCGTGTTAAGAATATGTTAAAGTCAATTATTAAGCGATATATATAAGATGTTAAAATCAATCATTTTTTTATATTACTTCAATTTCTATTTTTAATGAAATTTTTAATGTAATCAGGTAATGTTTTAATTTTACCTTAATAGTATAAAAAAATCGTGATTTAAAATTTAGTCAATTTTAGTGGGTTTTCGAATTTATTTAGAAGTATTCTTTTGGAACAGTTGGTATCACTGGTATTAAGTTTTAAATATCACGAACATTATGTATATGGAATGAATCAACTTGTAAATACGCCTGCACAATTTATATTCCGAATGAGTATAGAATATCGTTGAAAACATTTTTATCTTTTTTTTTTTTTTTTTTTGAATTCAAGGTGGATACGTGACCGTAAAATATCTAGATATTAAAATACATAGTTTCGAAATCTGATATTTGAAATCGAAATCTGATTCAGATACGGTACTCAGAAAAAGCGATACGACCCATCTCTACATTAAACTATCTTTTTTTAGATAAAATATAATTTATTTTGAACTTTACATAAAACTTAAAATTATGTTTGTGGATGCGTTGCCATTGCCAATACATGGACATTTACGAATAGAAGCACCAATATCTTTTCTACCATAATTGACAGCTGTCAACAATTTACACGAAGTGAATCGTGACTTTCAATTTTGAATTTTATAAAAGCCGGTGTTTGTTTTCATCTTAAAATTAATTTACTTATAGTAACAGCTAAAAATGCCCAACGTTTCGGGTAAGATTTCTAAGGCTTTTGCGTTATACAGTAGCAATTTATCTTTTTTAAGGTTAGATTTCAAAGAAATTATTAAGAAAGTTAATGTTTGTGTCATATTTTATCCTTATTTCATTGCCATGGATCGCGAAAACTGTATAATTCACTGTTATTATATGTTATAAAATGTTTCTTAGTACAAATTATATGGATTGTAGAACAATTATAAAACCGGCATTATCTTTCAGTTTTTCTTTCTAAACATACGAAAATGAAAAATAACAAATATGAAAGTATTTCAGTTATTGTTTTATTAACTATTTAATTTTAAACATATAAAATTAAGTGTGATGATTTTTTGCACTTGAAGATGATACATTACCTATTTATTAACGAACCTTTTCTAACCAGTCTTATCATATCAGCCGTAGAACGTCCATTGCTGAACATAGGCAGTCTTAATATTGCTACTATTTCCCTTTACTGAAAATAAGAATTTTTATTAAAATCAAATGACAAATATCCTTTAACTAAGGACAAAATTCTTTTAAACAGTGTAAATGCTTAAACAACATAAAAAAAGGTTTAATTTAAAACTATACAAAGTTTACTGTTACATTTAACCTGTTGTTTATAACTATACAGTTTATTGCAACTTTTTCACTCAGAATCAATAAATAGAGAAAGAAACAATAATAAACATTTGATACTAAACAATAAGTTTAATTTTTTTACTTATATATATTTTTTTTAACAAACAGTTAAAGTAAAATGGGGCAAGGAGATGTACCCAGGTGTGGAGGTCAATACAGATGATGAGCCAGTATTGTTTAAAGCACAAATATTTGCATTAACTGGGGTCCAACCAGATAGACAGAAAGTTGTATGTAAAGGAGTCACATTAAGGGATGATGCATGGGGCAATTTTAAGCTGACCAATGTAAGTATTTTGTTCAATGATGAAAATTATATGAAAAATAATAAATTATATGATATATTATAATATAAATGCTTATAAAATTTGAATAAAGTGGAATAAGTGAAGATTTAAGAAAGAATAAAAATTCATTTATGGGCAATTAACTATTAAAACTCGAAAATATAATGTTTCGAGAATTTTATAATGCTCACATTAAACTGCGAATTTAAATTGTGTGCCAAATAAGTTAATTATAAATTTTCAATTTCTACCACATTAAATTAGCATTATAAATTTTTAAATAATAATTTTAACATACTATTGTCATATGTATCTATTATCTATAGGTACATATATTTATGAAAAATAACATACTATTAAAAACTGTTGCTCTTATTACACAATTGTATTTAATATTAAAATTGTGAGCAAACTAATTAGTTTTGGGAATAGGATGAAATGTATGTATAAATGTGAGATATGTACATTGATTTCCTTTATTTAGAATGCATTAGTACTTGTGATGGGTAGCAAGGAAGAAGATGTGCCATCAGCCCCTGTGGAGCAAACTCGCTTTGTAGAAGACATGAATGAATCAGAGCTAGCAACAGCTGTAAGTTTTTTGTTTTTTAATAATAGCGTAAAATCTTGATACCGTTAATGTTACATAATGGATTGTTAAATATATGTAATGTCCAGATTTTATAAAATTCAAACTTCATGGTGTTCACAGCTGGATCTTCCTGAAGGTCTCATAAATTTGGGCAATACATGTTACATGAATGCAACAGTCCAGTGTCTCAAAACTGTGCCAGAATTGAAAAATGCTCTGCTCGACTATGATAAATGTAAGTAACAAGTAATGTTACATTTCTTTAAATATAATATGCTAATTTATATATTTTAGGTTTCCTTATGTGCATGACATGTAGTTTTAATCTCACATTGAAATGACTTGGCAATAGGCCAAATATTTCTTACAGCTTAAAATAAATGACAATATAAGGTAACATCCTCAAACAATAAAAAATTTCAAACTTCTTGTAAAGGCTACCTTAATATTTAATTATAATTTTGAAGAAGACATTGAGGACAAGGTTTTTTCTTTATTAACATAATTAAAAAAAAAAGAAAAGGCAGGCTCCTGCTAATTTTATTACTTAGAAAATTCAAAGAAAAAAAAATAAGACCACACAGTTTCTTGCCAGCTGTTCTGGACAGGTCTAGCTTAGTGAACTGGTAGTAGTAGTATGATGTTCAACAGGAGCTTAAAATGGGCCAGCACTGAATAAATGAATTTCGACTTGACGATTTGTGGACGATCCAGCGTCCGGCGGCGGCACGGCGGGCGAGCTGACCGCCGCGCTGAGCGAGACGATGCGCGCGCTGGAGGGTGGTGGCGCCGGGGCCTGCGCCGGCGCCGCGGCGAGGCTGCTGCGGGCGCTGCACGAGGCGGCGCCGCGCTTCGCCGAGCGCGGGGCGGGCGGAGGCCTGGCGCAGCAGGACGCGTCCGAGTGCTGGAGCGAGATAGTGCGCGCGCTGCAGAGCCGGCTGCCCGTCGCGCCCGCCCCGCCCACCGGTGACAGGTATATATATATATATATAAAACAGTAATCTAATCACCATCGATCCCTAACTTTGAGGGGTGGTCCCTGAAGAAAATTTAGAGCTAGTTTCGTTTTCAACACTGCTTTAGCATCCGCGCGGAAGAAGTGAAACTTCAAGTGCCACGCATTCACTCTCGCTCTGTCATGGAAGTCGCATTAGAAGTTTCACTTGAATAAGGGCTCGATGTTCGGCCTTTTAGCGCGTTAACAGTAAAGTGACAGTTAATCTTTTATTAGCACATGCATATAATTTTTCTGTCAAGTTTTGATGATATTGCTTCATACTTTTTTAGCAAATAAAGTTTTAAGATAAGAAATAAAAATGGAGCGTTTCGGGGTACAATGGTGAAAACAAGCATAATTTTTTATATTAGAGAATGACAAACAAGCTTCACCTGATGTAAGTGACAACCGCCGCCTATTGACATTTACAACACCTGTATAGTTGCAGATACGTTGCCACCCTTTAATACTGTGGGCTCCGGGTACCTCACTCGCCAGACGAAATGCAAAAGCATGACACTTCCATATCACACAGGTCTTGTGTTAGGTCGGGATACTTCCCCGGATAGACCTGCTCATCTGTGCAACAGCGAAAACTGTTGCGTGGCCTTACCAAAAGCAGATATTACACTGCAAATCTATTTTTCTGATTCGCCAATCTGAAAACGACATTCTCTATGCTATGCAGATTGATTGGCAAAGATGTTTTGTTTATCAGCGAGCCATTGGGTATACTATAGTACCAAGAAAATATTATAAACATTTTTAATTTGCAAACATGATTTTTTAAACATGTTTCATTTACAGGACTTCAGTAATAGAACAGTACTTCGGCGGCACGTTAGACGTGGAGCTGGTTTGCTCTGAGGCCGATGAACCGCCAACAAAGAGCACGGAATCCTTCCTCCAGCTCTCGTGCTTCATATCCCAAGATGTCAAATATTTGCAGTCCGGCCTTAGATCTGTGAGTGGATTCCTCAGCTCTTCTTTTAAAAATGTTTTTCCATATATTATTTCATGTGAAATTATTTTAACAAAAATCTTAATTTGATAATTTTAATGATTGTATATCTATGTGTATTGCTTGTTATTATGATTTTGGTATTGTATTAAATTACAGAAAATGTCGGAGCAAATCACGAAACTGTCACAAACATTGGGTAGAGACGCTATTTACACGAAAACAGTAAGATTTTTTTGTTTTTTTTTTTAAGCACTACTAAAATACTTTTTATTTACTCTACTATAGTTATATTACTAGCGTCCTTAATTATACAAATGTTTTCACTTATTTCAACTGTTTTAACATGTAATCTAATCAAAAATAAATTAGAATACTGCATAATATACTTACTTGTTTAAATCCGTTATGCTTGCTACACTAAATGCTTCATTTGATAATTTAATGGCAACATGTCTTTGCAGAGCAAAATAAGTCGCCTCCCCGCGTACCTAACGGTGCAATTCGTGCGATTCTATTACAAGGAGAAGGAATCTATTAACGCTAAAATACTGAAGGACGTGAAATTCCCTCTTGATCTGGACGTGTACGAGCTATGCTCTCCGGAACTTCAAGAGCGGTTGGCGCCGATGAGGTCAAAGTTCAAGGTAATATCTACGTTAAACATTAATGCTATAGGGTTGACATTGCATTTAATTTTAAAGAAGTTTTTTTTTTTTTTATTTTGTCCCCTTATCATAAATAATAAATACAATTTCTTTTAGGAATTGGACGACGCCAAAGTCGAGACGTCTCTAAGCGCCAGGAACAAAAGTCACGGCGATTCCAAAAAGGACTCTAAAAGGAAAACCGTACTTCCATATTGGTTCGAGAACGGTACGCCTTTTTTTGCATTTAATATCTGTGGAGAGCCGTGATAGCTCAGTGTCCGGGCGCTCGCCTTTAATTCAATATATACTCGAGCAACCTGAGTTCGATCCGGTGCTGGCACAAATGAAGTTTTTAACTTTAAGTGCTGACTTATCACGTGCTCCGAGGAAACCTGCATATTTTCGAAATAATAACAATTAAAATGTATTTCGAAAATATGTGAAGTCCGCCAATCCGTAGTGGGGCCGCGTGGTGGACTACGCCCTGATACCCTATGTTTAGAGGAGGTCTTTGTTCAGCAGTGGGACATGTATAGGCTTTTACTTTACTGTACTTAAATATCTGTGGGTGTCACAAATAGTTTTTCGTTTGAGAATCAAACCCACGACATCGGAGCCAATACCTTGACAACTGCGCTACGGAATAATCTAGAGCTTAACGCGGGGAGTGAAGCCACCTGGTAGATCCTCATATTAAATACCTCGTATCTCTAGACAGGGCAGAAACAACAGCGGCCACTACCGGTCTAAGACACGTACCGGAAAAACACAAAACACCTTACGGCGACAAGTGTGGCCGCTAACCAATTAAAGAGTCTGTTTTCTGAACGCACCGTTACCTAATTAAAACGTGCTCCCCCCCCAGACGTGGGCAGCAACAACAGCGGCTACTACCGGCTGCAGGCGGTGCTGACGCACCGCGGGCGCTCTTCGTCGTCGGGCCACTACGTGGCGTGGGTGGCACGCGGCGGCGGCTGGCTGCGCTGCGACGACGACGCCGTCACGCCCGTCCCGGAGGAGGAGGTGCTCAAGCTCAGCGGCGGCGGTGGGTCCGAGCGGCAGCCCTGAACATGACACACGTACATCTAGGGTTGTCCAAAGTGAACAGATATATCGATGTATCGATATTCATATCGGCCTCGATATATCGAAGAGATCGATTTCTCTTTTGGCACTCACTCAAGTATTAAATATTTGACATCTACCGACTTTGTGCCGAATTCGAATTTCAGATAGTATAGTTTTTGATACGATTTCGATATTAAATATATTTTATATCGATTTACCGGAGCCAAATATATTGGCTAAAAGTATCGACTTATCGATATATCGATATTTTTTCAATATCCCTACTGATAGGCCAAGGCCTCCTCACGTCGTACGACCCCACTGCGGATCGGCGGACTTCACATATTACTATTTAGAAAATGTGCAGGTTCTCTCATGTTTTCCTTCACCGTTGACCACGTGATAAGTCAGAAGTTAAAATTAACAATTTCATCGGTGCTTGCACCGGGGATCGAAACCGGGTTGCTCGGTATATGGAATTAAAGGCAAGCGCCTGAACACTTAGCTATTACTTCGTTTCACCTGATGTTACATGAACAACGCCGCCCATGGTCATCTACGACACCTGATGGCTGATGCGTTGGCAAGCTTTAAACATGTGGGCCCCCATTACCTCACTAAACAGACGAAACGCAGAAGTGTAACACTTCCACATCACGCCTGTCTACTGTGAGGCAGTAGTGCTTCACCGTACGAGCCTGCCCATTCGTACAAAAGTAAAAGCTGGTGCATGGCCACATATTCAAAAAAAGGCTTGTTTTATGCTCTTATCGAACGGTTGACTAAACTAAACCTGTCCAGAGAAGAACCGGCGAGGAACCCTGCGGTCTTGTTTTCTTTTTTGCTGTTTTTATAGATAAAGTTACGAAACCCTTTGTGCGCGAGTCCGACTCGCACTTGTTTATGTTTGTCTCCTCTGAACTCCTTCATTTATGAACCGACTTTGAATTTTTTTTCGCATTGGGGTTAAGTTCAACTGCGGTCCCATGTCAATTTCGTCGATCGGATTCTGGAGGTCCATGAGGGAATTCGTCAAAAATTAGTAAAAGACGTACACTCTGTGAGATATTTGAAGTCGGTTTTGTTTTTATTTCTAACTAGCTGCTCAGACAGACTTCGTTATTTTGTTAAATTTATAGTATTATTAATAAGTTATGTTAATATTAATAATTTATACCTTAAGCATTTATATAAATAAGCCTAATTGGTCCAGCCATTCTTGAGTTATCCTCTTATCAACATTCATTTTTATTTATAAAGATATATTTACTCGTTCTCGTTCGTCTCCTATCATGTCATAGTTCTCAATGAGGGCCGTTCTGTTGTCAGGCGACTGGCACTGCGCCTACCTGCTGCTGTACGGGCCCAGGATCCTCGAGCTGGCCGAGGAGGTGGAGGAGCCGATGGTGACGGAGGTGGCCGAGGACCCAGCCGGCGATCCGCCCACCGCCCTCGCGTAACGCGACCAAACAAGGCTGAACCGCACCCACGAAACAACTACATCGCGACCCAGGTCTAGGAATGATAGCCGCCGCTTCGTAGTGTCTCCTCGCGACGATGGAAGAATTTAAACGAGGACACGCCGTGAATAAATTGACAAGTTCAAATACAAGTTAAAGGAAATGTTTATAATTATAATATTATAAAAAAATGAGAGGTGAAAATCACGATTGAAATTAGTCATGTTCCTGGCAGCACCAAGTTGATCTCAAAGTACCGAGTTATTGGCAAAATCACTGGGGTATCAGTGGAGTCACAGTGGGAAAAAAAAAATTATTCCAATAAGATTTAGAGATATATTAATCAACTTAAACTAGAATTTTCTAATCTAATATAAACTTTAAAAAGGCTGCCCAGAGAAGAATGCAATTTAAACTTGTCAACTTATTCACGTCTCATAGCGAAGTATACTGTTATAATGAGTATCGATTGATCGTATGTTATAATAAAAACGTTCAAGTTCGGTCTTGATCGAAACGATACTACATATTTAATATGGTTAATAGGGTATCGAAACATAGCGTAAGAATTAAGATTTTTACTACTTTCTAAATGTTCTCAATGTAGTAGTGAACATTTCGCAACAAGTGTTAGTTAATGATTGTCTAAAATTAAAGTCGTAGGAAACTAAACTAAATGCAAATGCTGTCATTTCTAGACCTATCACCGGTTCCGTTTTCAGATTGATTTCAGTTTAATTTTCAACAATTGTGGGGTATAATTATTATTATTACAAAATGTTCCCGATTATTTTACGAAAATAACGCAATTTCACTTTGAGAAAGTTTTTAAATTTATGTTATTTCTTCTCTCCGAAATAGCCAATTTGACTACAATGATTAACTTTGAACGGTTTCCTTTAAATTACCTATTTTGATTCGGTTTGTGTCTAAATTGGACTATGAAAACGGAACCAATCCTCTTATTTATTCCGGAATGAACATTTAAAATGCTCCTACCGTTCGCTTGAGGCACTCGTACACGTAGCACTTCTCAATAATGTCTCTAAGTTCTATATACAAAATGTAATGAATTTTATAAGACTAATTAAACTAAAATGATGATAGTTTAATAAACATTAATTGATTGAATTAACGGTCTTTGCTATTCGTACCTTTGTTTATTTATTTATGTATTTTCCTGTTCATTTTAAAATGATTGAAGGCTGGTGTAAAGTGGATGTGTTTTACTTTTGTGTTCTGTCTTCCGAGTGCGCCAACGCATGTGCAAACTCTGGTGGTTTAGATGTCTATAGGCGATGGTTATTTTCCAGTATTAATATACCGCCTATTCGCTTGCCAGTAAAAAAGTAAAGTAAAGTAACAGCCTATACATGTCCCACTGCTGGGCAAAGGCCTCCGCTATACATAGGGTATCAGGGCATAGTCCACCACGCGGCCCCACTGCGGATTGGCGGACTTCACATATCTTTGAAATATTTTTTTTTGTTATTATTTCGAAAATATGCAGGTTTCCTCACGATGTTTTCCTTCACCGCGGAGCACGTGATAAGTCAGCACTTAAAGTTAAAAACTTCATTGGTGCCGGCACCGGGGATCGAACTCAGGTTGCTCGAATATATTGAATTAAAGGCGAGCGCCCGGACACGGCTAATGTTGTGTATGTACGGCTTGCCAGTATTTCTCATAATAGTAATCTATTTTTTATCCTACCTGCAGGCTAAACTCTTAACGCCAGTTTTTTAAACACTGATCATCGTAGAAATTAACTAATCAGCTCTCAACTCAATGACATTTGACAGTTGAATTATTAATTTCCACGATGATTAGTGTTTCAGAAACCGGACGTAAAAGTATTTTCTTAATTCATGGTTACTAAAAGATGTCCCGGTTACTGTGTTTGCTCTAACGAGTATTACACTCGTACATAGCGAATTCCACCAAATAAATAAATTGAATGCTAATTAAGGTTCCATAATGCATTCGTAAGTGCTGAACATACGTAATATGATATAACGGAAATTATCTAACATTTTCTTTTCTCAACTCTCCCGGCCTTCCGCAAGACAGTGATACTCACCGCAGCACGTTTAAAGAACAGCAATAGCTGCCGATATACTTTTGCATGACGTTTCCAATGGCTCGGTAAAAACAGCTGCTAAGCGGTTCTGGGGTCTATGTTTGGATTCCCAAACGGGACCAGTATTTCTGTGAATCACATAGTTATGAATGTTGTGGATCTTGTGTATATGATAGATTCGTGTAATGGCCCCTGTAAACATCGGGCCAAAGCGTTTGCGTTCGCGGTGTGTAGCTATTCACACATTTGCGTACTCATTACACATTGGCGCTCCATTGATGTGTGCTGAAAAAACCGATACAATTCGGCTTGCCGGTCAACTTTCGCGCCAACTACCATTAGTCACAAACGTTTCGCAAAATAGCCCTCTACGGTCTATTATATTATTACTATTTATTATAAATCTATCTTATTCTTCCCGACCCTTTCCATCATAGGACAACTAGGCCTTCGGCGGCGCTCCACCCTTATGCTGTCGACGTTCCACATACAAGAACAAATTCGCTTATCGTCCGTAAAGCTAAGGAATGGAATAACCTGCCGGCGTCCGTCTTTCGTTCCGATTACAACGTAGGCGTCTTCAAGGCAAGAGTGAATGGGTTTCTACTGAGCTAGCGCGCTTATCATCAACGGCTGCATCGCCACTTATCATTATCATCAGGTGGTATGGTGGTCAAGTGTTGGGCAGGTTTGATTTTTTTTTTTAAATCCAGCGGTCAAATGCATTGGCCCAATGTGTACAGGGGCTTTTAAACATTACAACATCGGGATGACTGACTGATTATTATCATATAGTAGGTACCTAAGGGAAATATTTACACAATATACAGCGTGTCGTTACCACCGCGACAGTAAATGAACACATGTCTATCGCTACTTGCCAATAATCATAAATAAATATTAACGTTAAAAATCCATAATTAAAAAAAATATTATTCAAACAAACTAATTAAGTAAAAGAGAAACAAAATACATTAAAATTAAAAAAAATAAAAAAATTATAAATTCTCTGATTCATACATTCAGAGACTTTTTCATTCGTTGCCACAGCGTCGCATTACAACTTCCTCCTTTTAACAGTATGTTTTGTCTCTTTTAAATTCATTCAACCGCAACCCATTCAATTATGCTTTGTGACCTTTAAAAGTGAACTTTACGTTACAGTTTTATACGTAACGGTGTTCTAAAATTGTTTATTTTGGAAAATTTTATAATTCGGTAAATATTGATGTTTAAAGAATTTTAAAAAGTTATCTTCTATATGTGTGTTCATTTATTGTCGCGATTGTAAAGACACGCTGTATACTATTCATAGAGAATGGCAAGAATAAAATTGCTAATATTTTGACAACCTCGTCATATACAGTTACAGTTGGTATATTGTTATAAGTTAAGAACAATCTTAATTACTAAAAATGTGGACTATACCTGGTGTTGTGCTAAAGTTAAAGAGAGTTTTTAGTATTATTGGTGGGGTCGCTTTGGGACAGTTGTATTATTTCTACTTCGTAAAGGACATCCAACTTCCATATAACATTGGAAATATTTTGTCTCTTATGTTAAGCTTCATACTAGGTAAGAAAATACGTAGATATTTTGTCACGCACAAACTACTGATTCTGTATTTTTTCTATCACTGTTTATTCATGAATGGTATGAAAATGACAATAGGTGTCGTCTTACTATTTCGTATATCTTTAATTTTAGTTTCTATACGCCGGTGCTCTAAAAATGCGTATAAAATCCTATTCCAAATTATCTTAGATTAGAATCGACGTCTAGCTCATCAATTACATCAATTAAACCCATCGCAAGCCCATAATAAATGAGATTTCTGGTTTCCTCGAACATCAAATTTTATATTAATAAGTTACTTTTTTATTTTATTTATTTCAGGGTTATGTGGTGTTCTTATCCACTAAAACCCCCTCGGTGGCCACCTTCTGTACTTTTGGAGGGACACCGGGATCTCCTACGGAACGCACCGGAGTCCCTCAGTACTGGACTGGGCGTACACGCCTCGGAGGATCACAAGGATAAAACTTCCCCCATTCCCTCGCCATCTTGCAGCAGCTCGAAGCCACTTCGTGATGTTGCCAATCCGTGTCCCCTTTTAGTCGCCTTTTACGACAGGCAGGAGATACCTTAGTCCTATTCTAGAACCCGGGACTACAGGGCGATAGTATTAGGTACCTACCTACCCACCAGCGTACGCTTCCAAAATTGTCACAATAGGCCATTCCGCTCGGTACCATTAAACCTTGTTTAAACACGAACAGGTACTATGATGGTAATAAATACAGCTTTAAACGTTTGAATGCTATCGCAAAATTAACGATGAAGCAAAAACAAGCCACCGTGTTCTAATCACAAGCCATTAGACATAAAACTATTTATTTGTATTATAAGCTTTAATAAAAGTTTTGTATATTGCCTATATAAAATAAGAATGCAAATATTTACGAGGACAAACTTGGTATACTTCCGATATTTAATGCAAATTTTAAAAACATTATGATTGGCACTTAATAAAAATAATATTAACTACATAAATACCTACCTAAATCATTGCGATCCGAAACGTTTGTATACTGATTTATGCAGTTTCATAGACTTTTAGAAATTATTGTACTAAATTTTAATCCAAACAATAATGCCGTATCAGCATTCTGCCAACTGTCATTTTTTTTCCATTACGCCACTTAGAATAGATCGTACGAAAATGGGATTTTGAAAAATTTTCCACCATGTTTATTTCAACATAATCTGTGCTAGGCCTCGGGAACGCCGTTTCTGTGCAGCTGCGGTGCATATCTCTGCTCACGATGCCCATGTTCTGTGGCAAAGCGGGCCGTGGAGTTCTAAAAGCCGTCGTACTTACTTATGTCATAGCTGGTAACGTTCTTAAAATACTCACTTTCAACTGTGATAGGGCCACGCAATAGTGTTCGCTGGTGCACGAATGGGCAGGACCGGCCGGGGATGTACCACGACCTCACGGAAGACCGGCGTGAAGTAGAAGCGATACATTTCTATGTTTTGTCTGGTGAGTGAGGCAGCCGGGGCCCACTTAATTGAAAGTTGGGATCGAATCTGCAACGTTCGACACTTAACATTAGGTGAACTACTAGCTCGTTCGCCACTTTCTCGCACTTAAAAAAAAACATGAGTGTGTATTTAGTAAACAGGGTTTTCTCTATTCCGTGGAATTAGGTCTTATATTATGGCAAAGCCACGTAATTTATTGTTAACAGACAAAATAATATTAGCCTTGTTCTAGTATGCATACTATAAAGCCGTTCCTATAGCGCTAATAATACCGCCCGTTCGACTCAGATACTTATGGCAATACGTTAGATATGGGAATTGGGGGAAAAACAAATTTATTTTTCCCCCAACTCCGACATCTTAGACCGATATTTATATATTTATATATTTCGTTATTCAAACACTTAAGGACCAATTACAAATATGGGATACAATGCAAAGGAAGTTGTACGTGTATTTGCCTGCAGTACTCAATTGTCCTACAACCTGTCCGAGGCCAGATACAAGTTGCTGGCTAAGCCAATTAAGAATGCTATCCTCAGATCTCGATCAGAATTTAATGTTTTGAAAGACACCTTCAGGTAAAACTAATAATATCATAAATGTCATTTACATCATAGTTATATACCTTCATATTGATAATTTTTTCATAATTTTATTTTTGAAGTTGACATGGTATATACTATAGTCAATACATATTTTCGTGTACCCATTAAATTAGCTATAATTTGATTTATAATAAAATTATTTTTTTTTTAATAAAATTTAAAACCTCGAGATTAAATTTTTGTTAGATTTTGAATTGCATATTGAAGTTTTTTTAGTCATTTACTAACATAATCCCTATTTATGTGAAATAAATCGAAGAACTGTTAGGCTGCCAGTCTGCAGACGAGCAGAGATGTTGCAATAGACCGATAGTCCACATTATTCCGATGCTATTTTGCTCATTGGTGAAACGTCAAATATGTTTATGTTTTTTTTTTTAAACTTTTAGCTATATTGTATCAATTTTTGTGTAAAGCTCTATCAGTGATGTCGTAACACCTATCAAGAATGAAGTTGAGGGCACAGAAGAACTGAATGAGATAATAAAACAGCGCAATATTGTGGAAGAGGTTTTGAACAACAAACATCGAAGAAAGGAACCCGGACACAAACAGCAATTCGATTCGTTAGTTCCACTTAACATGAAAAAATTAAATTCGTGAGAGTTCAGTGTCCTGTCGCTCGCTTTCAATTCTTTTTAATTTACTGTGAAACCTGTGTCAAATTCCGATGTCGGCTCCAGTGAAATTGTCAATTGCAATCGTCGAAGGAAAACATCGAAATAATAATTAGATTCCGAAAATAGGACTATGCCCTTATACCCACCCAATGTACAGAGAAGACCCTTGCTTACAGTGAAACATATATTGGCTTTTCTTTTACTTTACTGTACTTATTACTTAACATGTTGATTTATTCAACCTATGCTTATTTGGGAATGCGGACGGATCAACGCTGTCTTACAGCTTTTTAATGTAGCTAGTAGATTCTTCGAATAGAGTTCAAAACTATAAAAAGGTTGCAGAAAAATTTAATAAGTATACCTATATTTTCCCTTGAAATAACTAAACTTGCAGGTCGACGAGTAAAGGTGAAGGCGATTCTTTCCAGAAAAAATATTTAAAAAAAATAAAACATCGATGCATGGATCTAATATCCAGAGGGATATATAAATGCGCACAAATGTTTGCGTATGCCTATACAGAATGTATTGTCGCAGCGCCGCAAAACTTTGAAGGTCTCTGCTGGCCCTTAAAAGTCGAAAATGCGTGTGATATCGGACATTTCATAAACGAAACTGAAATATGTGATGGAAGGGAACAGGTAAAATACTATGACATTTAGATAGTCACAGTTAGTTTTATGGGAATCAAAAATAAAAAGAGAAAAGGTGGAAATAAATCAATCAATTTAGATCGACAACGACAATGTTTTGGTAAATTTTTACCAAAACATTATAAACATTACATTAAAATTCAATTACAGATTGATCCTGGATTAGGGGAGGGTTATTTATACCTGATGAGAATTGAGAAAAAACTAACAGAAAACCTTAAATATGTTAAGTTACAATATAAAGTGACGTACGAGAGGGAACTCTACGATGTACAGGTGCGTTGGAGTGTTCGTTATAACAAATGAGAAAGCATAGAAACATACCGTCGAATACATTCAAAGTGGAATCATCATCCGATAAGGCTAAAGCCACACAGCATCTACCCTTCTTAAGCTGCGAAATACCAATACTTCTAAGAATACGGGAAGAAAGCCTTTTTTAATGCTTTTTAACGATTGGTGTTTTCGCTAAAGCTTCAACGGTCACAGAAATCTAAGTTTTCATGAGCTTTTTAGATCCACTCCAAGTAGAGTCATGCTTGTGAATATGAGTGCATTAAAAAAATGAGAGGATTGTCGGTCGCAGTGTTACTTTCTGTATAATTTGAGGCTTGTAAAAACTACACAAGCACCTTTTCCGCAAACGCTTTACGCAATTACGCGTATAATTAGGGTAACACATTAGTGTAATTTGTAATTTAATTAGAAAATGTTATAAACATCACATATTTAAAGCTGTAAGTGAATAAGATATCTTAAGTATACTAGCTGTGACATTCACAAGGTGTTGTTACAGTTAAATTATACAAGATAAGTTTAGACGTCGAGTTGTAAGGATAGAACAAATACAAACTTTCTCATTGGTGTTTAAATATTCACCATCTTAATCCTCTTCACATTCGCTAGGTGGAATCGGTAAATGCGACTCATGTTGTTACCGATAATGACTTGGTAGTGGTTTAATATTTTTTTTGCCGCCTGTCTAACGCATCGTCGTTTAAATTAAACATTATTTATTCATTTATACACGTTGTATAGTTTAATTTCATTCTGTGGTAGGGCCACGCAGCAACCTCGGCTGTTGCATGAATGGGCAGGCTCGTCCGGCTAAGTACCACGACCTAACAGAAGACCGGCGTAAAGTGGAAGTATAATACTTTCGCGTTTCGTCTGGTGAGTGAGGTAGCCGGAGCCCAATTTTCAAAAGGTTGTCAACGCATCTGGAACCCTCGGGTGTAACAGATGTCCATGGGAAGCGTTATTCACTTAACATCAGGTGAACCGTCTGCTCGCTTGACAACTTTTCACATAAAAAAATTGACAGGACGCAAAAGAGACCGGCGAGAGAGTGATGCACGAATTTGAACAGCGGGGCAAGAGTATGCGGTACGCAGCGAAAGTGGTCAACGTCTGTCTCGCGTTGATGGCACTCCGCGTTGTGGTCGCCGCCCAGCGCTACCACGACAACTATCTAACGACGATCACATACGACAACCTGTACATAACTTCATACTTCAAGCGGACCGACAAAAGGCGCAGGCTGAAGAACAAGTACACGTTGCTCCCACTGAAGAAGGTGTTGCCAGAAGTTTGCGTCGGGAATAAAGCTGATTTAAAAATATCGATGCCGCTATGAATGACGTTTCTGAGAATAAAATGTCGCTCAGTTTGTTTCTATTTTATGGTGTAAACAATGATAATACACAAATACCAGGCACTCATATTACTACTCTTTCCGTATCATACGTTATATATCATTACTCACATTCGCTTATATATGTAAAGCGGAACAATCTTTAAACATCACGCAGTATGGACATGTGTAATTTTTATCTATTAAAAGCATCCTTGAGTATAAATCCTCATTATGACTAAAACTAGTAGCGGGTGAAATGCGATCGATAGAATAAATTAAAGATAAACTATGGGAATTTTTGAAAGGGAAGTTGTTATTTAATTGATTCGAAAAACTTAACTACGATAACCATTATTAACATTTCCATAGATTCTGTGGAAGAGGAAGCTATGTAACTTGATTTTAATTTTAAAAATTTTATTGTTTATCGAATTGTTTTTCATAATTTCCTATAAGACTAGGAAGTTTATAAGATAATAGCACTAAATTCCACTTCTTTTAACCCTTATGGTTCCTTAGTTATTATAATTGTTATCTATTTGAATATTAAAAAAATAATCGTATAAAAATGTGCCTTGTAGATGGAACGAAACAAATACGTGGACCTGCGCTCGTTGGAGTACAAGGCGTCGCAGCGTAGTAAGCTGGTGACACCAATCCTGAAGGTCATGCTGGAAGTGGTCACGGCGACGACGTTCGTCATGCTGGACCGGCTGTTCTACGAAGCTCTGGACGTCGTGAGGCAACACGCCAGCCTGCCACTCTCGCAGCAGGGCACAAAGGATTTGGAAATTGAAGTAGGCAGGGCCGGATTTAGGAGAGGGCAACCGAGGCTACTGCCCAGGGGCCTCCACAAAAGAAGGGCACAGTAGACACTTTGGAAAAAAAATTTCAAATTCTGACTAGTAGACAACTTTTCCTTTCATATTTCTTTCCGCGTTTTACCTATACCTACAGTACTTTGTACAAACATGATTACATTAAATATTAACAGAAATCAATGGAAAATAATTTGGGGCCTCCAATACTTTGTTGCCCCGAGGCTTCCACATGTCTGGAAGACGTGGAAGTAGATATACCAGAGTTTTCACGTCCTCGCTTTATTTTATTGCGTTTTTATCAATTATCACTACATTGTATAAAACAAAGCCGTCCCGCTGTCTATCTATCCCTATATATATATATGCTTAGATCTTTAAAACTACGCAACGGATTTTGATGCTTTTTTTTATAGATAGAGTGATACAAGAGGAAGGTTTATATGTATAATTCACGCATAATACAGTAGAGAAACACTGATAGTTTTAGAGGTTTCTAATGCGATGTCGAAAACAAACATTCATCATTGAACCCGTGCGAAGCCGGGGCGGGTCCCTAGTTTTTTATAAGTACTTGTCTGTTTCTTAATAATCTTTTGAGTTGGGGATTTGAAATAAAAAGCGCTGCTCGGAATTATACTTATTACAACGCCAAATAATCTCGACCTTTTGTTCGTTAAAAAAGATTATGTCAAGAAAATGATATAGATAATTATCGTCGACCACGGGTATACCTATTATGATTCCCAGACAGGATTTCCTATTTAACTTTCAAGTTCATTGTTGTCGCTGAGGATAATTATATAAATATAAAAATAAAATATATTATATAAATATAATAATTTATAAATTACTTAAGAAAAATAATCTAAGCTATGGACAAAATGATATATTAAAACCGTACCCATAGTTTTAAGTAAAAACCGTACAGTTTTTTTTAAAGTGACCGATGCATAGTTTTTTTTATGTGAGAAGTTGCCAAACGAGCTGGCGGTTCACCTAATGTTAAGTGATAACCGCCGCCCATAAAATTTCCAACACCATGCGTAAAAAGTGAGCCCGGTTACCTCACTCACCAGACAAAATACAGAAGTATAAAATTTGCACTTAACTACGGTCTTCTGTGAAGTCGTGGTATTTACCCGGTCGGACCTCCCCATTCGTGCAACAGAGTATTAATAAATATTTTAGGATTCATTTTTACACAACATTCTCTAGTTCCAAACTGAGCAACACTTGTACTATGGGCTAACTGACATCCTTAAACATACTTTTCTTTTGTAAATAAATACATACTCGTATTATAGATATCTAAACACCCAGATACTGGAAAACCACAATGTTCATCATACAACATTTTTCCAATAATGGGGATCGAATCCACGCCCCGTGGCGCAAGAGGCGGGTTCACTACCCACTACGCCAATCGGGTCATCATTAGCCATACATCACAGAAGTAGTAGATAGTTGCAGCGCCGTGCACTGTGCTCTGCCATCGTCGAAAATATTTTCAACGCAGGTGGAAGGCGCTGGTACGGTGGCAAACATGATGCGCAACGTCCTGAACGCTCTGAACAGCACACGCCGGCATCAGGCGGTGTCGAACGAAGTATGCCTCCCTAAACCGCGCGCCATGCCCACCGTCTACTTCGTCAAGATATACTGCGGCTACATCTGGATACTTCTGCTTCTGTACTTGAATCCATACACGCTACGCTTGCGGAGGTTTTCATATCTTTTGAGCTTTCGATTTCGTTTTGCTATTGTTGTTTACAGTAATAGATATGATTAATGAGAAATATTATTCAAAAATATATCCGCATTCCTCTACAATTTACTCTACATTTTGTAGACTTTTTTACAGTTTTGCGAATGGTACCCAATCCGCTTGCTTTTTGTCACCTTCACTACAGTAAAATAATATAACTGATTGTGCTTTGATGAATGATCTTATATCGATACAATCTTATATCGATACTTATATTTCAGTATAATATGCAGCTACTTCTACCCGAGGCGCGAGAAGCAGCGCATACTGCACTTGTACAACGACATACTCAAGAAGCGCATGAAGATGCAGAAAACCATGAGGCGGAGGGCTCTGCAGGCGGTTCGGGCGGACTACCTCTCCGGGGAGAGTCTGCGCAGCTTGAGGATGAGATACCCGCGGCTGCTCGGCTGGCTTACAGTGTTGCCGGCCGCCAGGATGGCTTGTCTCATTTGCGAGGAAACTGAGCCCAGGATTATCAGTAAGTTTGAATGTTTCTATAAATGGACCTTCACGATTCTCGCAACATTGTTATCGAGATGTCCTCAATTGAAACTTTCCCCGCGATATGTTTTACTAGGACCACCTTTTAGGACTTAAACAGGCGTAAAAAGGCGTAGGTAATCATAAACGTGTAGCCTGTGACGCTTGACAAATCGCCCTGAGAGATTGCCAGAAAAGGAGACTTATGATATTGCCGCACACCCTATACAATACCAAAATGTATGTAGATACATACACCTTAAAATTTCACTAGTTTTACAGTTTAAAGTTCGCTGCTCCATATCGAAACCAAGCTCTCAAATAAGACGTAGATTTCGTGTATATAAAGAATAATTAATATATAATATATGAATATTTCGTGTATAAAAAGATTGGTATTTTCAATTTACGATGTTTTATTATGCCAAAACCTTGGGATCTGGGTGAAAATTCCTACCGGACACTGAGCTATTCAGTGCTGGCTCAGTAGTGTCCGGCCCTAGATTTTAATTCAATACACTCGAGCCACCTGAGTTCAACTCCTGGTGCTGGCACGAATAAAATTGTTAATTACAATTTTAAGGGCTGACTTATCACGTGCTCAGGGCAGAAGAAAAATATCGTGAGGACTGGAAAATACTGAACTACTACGAAGACTGCCAATCTGCAGTGGGTTCGCATGGTAGACTTATGCCTTAATACCCTCTGTGCCCTGTTGCTTTACATTACTTTTATCGATATGTATTTGCATGCATAAATACCTACATAAACACATGCGTGAAAGGCCCATGACAAGTCGAGAGTAAATCAGCCCGCTTCTTAGACAGAGGCCTAACAAAACCCGTGCTTGCTTGGCTTGAACTCGAATCGGCCTCTTGGAGTCGAGTCTGTGACAAAGACGAGTTAACCGCGGACGCATTGCTGGCGCGGCAACTTGAGTAAGCGTAAACCCACAAAACCGCTGTACACGCTTTGCAGCGGCGTCGAGCCCTTGGCGCCGCTGCACTTCGGCGGCGTGCGGCTTCGCGTGGTGCGAGGAGTGCTGGCTGGAGGCGGGCGAGCGCTGCCTCGCCTGCGACCCGGCGCTCGCGAGGCTCAGCGATCTCGACTCGCTCAGCGACGACCGCCCCTTCGAATACTGAGTCGCTGCTTCAGCTCACGTCGCTCGGAGCACTGCTCACTCTGTACACGGCCTGAATATTCCGCTATAGCTTTACATCCTTGATATATTTGCTTATTGATTATAACAAAGCCTTAAAAAGAAATGTAACAAAAAAGAACAGTCTTCTCCGTTGCACGAATGGGCAGGTTCGTCCGGGGAAGTACCACGAACTCACAGTGTGAAGTTGAAGTGTTAAAACTCTGCGCTACGACGGTGAGTGAGGTAACCGGGAACCAATTTATTAAACGGTGGCAACGCATCTGCAACCCCACGGGTGACGCAAATGTCCATGGGCGGCGCTGTTTACCTAGCGTACCTAATTGATTTAAATGCAGTCTCTGAAGACATTGTGTATTGTTAAAGAATCCATTAAAATATTAAATGCAAGCAGCGTTTTATTTTAAATAGAAATAAAATCTATATTGCCTATTACGGGACAATGCGAGGTGTTATAGGCATTAATCAGTTGCTTGGTACCATCTTCTGTGGCTTATAAGGCGTTTATCTTAATATCTGTTGTTAAGCATCTAAACCTACCTATATGCTATATTTGATCGGTTTAAGCGTATATACATATATATTTGATTGCAGTAGCCTTAAATAAAAGAAACAAACATCGAGAATAACCAATTTAATTTTAATTTAAAACAACGATTAATATCGGATCATTATCTTCGGTAACGTTTAGAACAACCCATACTCCAACTGCTCCCCAACAGTGAGGTTGCTCACGAATTGGATGTTCTCTGCGACCTCGTTGCACAGCAGTGCCAACCCCGTCGGCTCACCGTTCTCCTGAGGGTTGAAGTTGTACACCAGCTGTCGACAGTTCAACATTTGATGCTCACGTCACGTTCGAGAGAAAATCGTCATGAAAAACCTGAATATTTTCGAAGTTAAAACGAAAAAACTCGAAAATATGTGAAGTCCGCCAATTCGCAGTGGGGATCGTAAAGTCCTCTGTACAAAGACCTTTTTGCAGGAGTGGAACATTATTTATTTCAAAATAGGTTTCTGCTAATCTAGTGACAGAGACTAACGGCTTACTATTTATTAGAGGACATGAGTTTGTATTTAAAACATTAATAATTCTAAAAATTATATACTGTTTGAGGTGAATATAAACTTTATCCATAATCATAAGTTTTTTTATCACATAAATAATTCTGGACAAGTGTAAAGGCAAGAATGTAAACATCTTAACAAAATTGTATCTGTATTTCTTAACTCTTTCTCAAGTCTGATATTTTTCATAATAATAATAATAATAATCTAAGGGACGGATAAGTGTGCGGTCCTTCATGTCGAAAGGGGTAAGGTCACTAATACGGAGGGCATAGACTTATCTATGCCCGTTAACATAAGGACCCTCTCTGAGGCTGAAACATACCGATACCTGGTATGTCACAAAATATGTGTATCGATGAGGCTGGCATGAAACAGTCAGTTCGTGACGTGTTTTTTGCACGCCTGACAAAGGTTTTTAATAGCCATTTGTCAGGCGGGAACAAGGCACGTGCTTTTAACGGCTGGGTCATGCCAGTCCTCATGTATACCTTTGGCATACTCAGGTGGACTCAAACTGAGCTCAACGCCCTGGACCGAAAAGTCCGCACAACTATGACGTCCCACAGAATGCATCATCCGAGATCGTCAGTGATGAGGCTGTACCTTCCGCGGAAGCATGGCGGGAGGGGCTTTTTAAGCGCCCTCACCATGCACAATCGCGAGGTGTGCAGCCTCCGTAACTAATTTCTGGCGAGATCGGATGAGTCAATCTACACGGACGTCATTAGTTGTGATAAAGGACTTACCCCTCTATCCTTAGCCAACGAGCAATGGCAGGACCCGGGAGTACTGAGCGTTTCCGACCGAGAGGCTGTATGGAAGGAGAAAGAGCTCCACGGGAGGTTCTACAAGGCTCTACACGAGCCTTTCGTAGATACTGTTGCCTCCCTGAACTGGCTACGTTTCGGTGACCTCTTTGGGGAAACCGAAGGTTTTTGTCTGTGCGATACAGGATCAGGTTATTAAGACGAACAACTATAGGAGATACATCCTAAAGGATGGCACCGTCGACATCTGTCGAGCTTGTCGCCATCCCGGGGAGTCGCTTCGGCATGTTATCTCCGGTTGTTCTATGCTTTCTAACTCTGAGTATCTGCATAGACACAACCTAGTAGCCAGAATCCCTACACCAGGAGCTCGCTCTGAAATACGGCCTCGTGGAACGGAAACTGCCGTATTATAAGTACTCTCCGGAGGCCGTGCTCGAAAATGACCGCGCCAGGCTCTATTGGGACCGGTCCATCATCACGGACAGGACAATTGTCGCGAACAAACCTGATATCGTGTTGATGGACCGGGCACAGTCGCGGGTATTTTTGGTCGACATTACCATTCCATATGACGAGAACCTCGTGAAAGCCGAAACAGATAAGAGACGAAGTATCTGGACCTGGCTCACGAGGTGACCGACATGTGGGGTGGTGTGCCGACCGAATTATCCCGATAGTCGTGTCTGCGAATGGGTTGATCCCAGTCAGCCTCTCTAAACATCTGAGGCGACTGGGACTCCAGGACGGATCGCTCCAGGCTCAAATGCAGAAGGCGGTGCTCCTCGATACCGCCCGCATCGTCCGCCGGTTTCTCTCCCTTTCGCCCTAACCCTCGGCCGTTTGGTCTCCCCTGCCGAGGGCTTCCGTCTGTTTGGGTCCTATTTATATATGTATTATATAAAATATTTATTTATATATATATATATATATATATATGTTTATTTTTATCCATAGTATTTATTTTACATATGCAATATATATCTATATCTTTATTTTTATTTTTATTTATAAACCCAACCAGACGAGAAAACAAATGAATATCCCCCCAATAATAATAATCTTTCTTTGCCATTAAACTGGGTGATTAAGAAGTTGATTTACAAAATTATTGACCTCCAAGTTCAGCCATAATATATCATACCGAATATTTAGCTCCCATGCCGTTTAGACAAAAAAAATGTATATTAGCTATCAAATTGCTTAGATTTGATAATCCATAAGGTGAAAATCCGGACTTTTTGGTGTTGCCCGGGGCGTCTTACGATGATGCTTATTTAAGCTAGAGTTATTGTGGATGCGTACAGACAAAAACTCATCGTAGGTTATCCAACCATCGTTGTCCGTATCCGCTCCGTTGAATTTCTCCTTTCTTGTCTCCATTGACGTCTCGTCACCGAGACTTTCCAGAACTGCACAGCTGTATACAATGAGAATTAAACTTAAGGTTTGAATACTTTGCAACGTATAGTATTATTAAGCAGAACGTGGAAACACCATCACGAACTTGAACCACTTTTGTTACCCCTCTCCCTAAAATGTTGAATTCAACTATTTTTCAAATTTAATCACGTTTTATTCTTAAAACCCGACGCTTCGAATGCTTTTTAACAATCCCTACCTAGAGTCTAAATGCAGGAACAATTATGATTTTTGTGAATAAATTAAAGCCTATTTTATACCTACAACGTTTTTAAGTTTTCATAAAATGGTGAACCTTTCTTTAAAGAGATTGAGACGAAACAAACGGGCATTTCTGCTGGTGACACCAAATACCGTCGCTTATGGACGTTGCAATACCAGGGTGATTGCAGTTGCGCTTACAACATTTTTAACATAGTAAGCTCCGTTTAGCAAAATATACAGGGTGTCTTTACAATCGCGACAATAAATGAACACACATATAGAGAATAACTTTTTAAAATTGTTTTAAACATTTACATTCTTTAAACATCAATATTTACCGAGTTATTAAATTTTCCAAAACAAAGAATTTTAGAAAACCCTTACGTATAAAACTGTAATGTAAAGTTCATTTGTAAAGGTCACAAAGTACATGAATGGCATTGAATGAATTTAAAAGAGACAAAACATACTGTTAGGAGAGGCTTGTAATGCGACGCTGTGGCAACTAATGAAAAAGTCTCTGAATGTATGAATCGGTCATTTGTAGTTACAAATTTGTGTAATAGGATGTTACAAATTTTGTTTCTTTTTTACTTAATTAGTTTGAAAAATATTTTTTTTTACTTATGGATTTTTTAACGTTAATATTTTCTTATCATTATTGGCAAGAAGCGTTAGACGTGTGTTCATTTATTGTCGCGGTACACGCTGTATATGTAAAAATACCCCTTTACACTGGTGTCTATTCGTGTAAAACTACTATGGAAAATAATAATAAATAAAATTTCAGGACTTTATTATTATTATATTATGTTCTTTATTATTTACACGTTATCTAGTACCAAATTTTTATTTTATATGTGAAAAGTTGTCAAGCGAGCAGGCGGTTCACCTTATGTTAAGTGAATCCCGCCGCCCATGGACATCTGCTACATCCTTTAAAAAAGTGAGCACCGACTAACTCAATCACCAGACGAAACGCGAAAGTATAATACTTTTACTTCACGGGGGTCTTCTGTGAGGTCGGGGTACTTCCCCGGAGGGACCTGCCCAATCGTGCAACAGTGGAAGCTGCTGCATGGCCCTACGACAGTTATATAAACTAATCAAAGCTTGTACTCTGTATACAAGGTAACTAATGAACATACTATATTTTTTGTAAATAAATACATATTATACATAAGTAAATACCCAGACACTAGAAACACTATGATCATCACACAATATCTCTCCATTAGTGGGGATCGAACCCACACCCTCTGACGCAAGGACAGGTCAGGAATCTATTACGCAAATGTACTAGGGTCTACTAAATGGTTCATCGTGTGGCGCTACCATAGTGAAATGAGATTTAAAACTAACAAATCGTCAAATCCAAGCATCCCGTTGGACTGGTTGTCGAACAATAGAAACAAACTGTGCAGGTTGGCTATGGTGACTTCATTCCAGCCCGGGAATCTTTCAACCACCTTCTGCATGCTCCAACGTCGATCTTGTTCCTTCATTTCCTGCCATTTACATAATGTGTAAGTATATGCTTTTGCCAAAAAATTGGTGAAAACACCATTACAGCCAGTTAAATTGCTGTAGTAGTGTAATAATCAATCCTTGAACGCTTTTCTAAGCGTCGAAAGTTTTACTTCATATGTGAACTAACGGAATAAGTAATTAAAAAAATTAATACTTGATTATACTGCCGCTGCTCCGCTAGCCTTTTATAAAACAGGTCTACCAGTCTATCGTAGTCTGTCATGGTCGCAGTTACTGACTCAGATTCTTTCTTCTGTGGTTCACCTAGTATGAGTGGAAGATTGTAGAATAGTTAATGTTCACTATGCTTTTTCGTAAGCAAAATTGTTTTGTAAGTTTAAATTTGTGTCGTAATAAAAATCGTTTACTGTGACTATTATTTCTGATACAGCGCTCTACAATAGTTGCTGTGCGACTGAATGAATTTCTGCGCGTTTTCCTTCAGAACAACGACGCCGCGATTTACCTGTTGCAGTAAAATCTTCTTGTCTGTAGAAACATATCGGCTTCCTCTTCACTGGATACTCGAAGAACCTACCTAAACTAGTGAAAATCGTGCTCAGTTGTTGGCCCATTGTTTTCTTACTTTCATTAAATTACAAAGCGTTGACATAACAATATGATCGCAGGGGCTTTTTGTCATTTTCGACAACTAATAAAGTGACACATGTCCATACTGCGCGGCGTTTAAAAATTGTTCCGCTTAACATTTTCACATATATGTGAGTGTGAGAGAAAACGTATGATACGGAGAGAGATAATCTATAGACTAATACTATAGAGCGTGTCGTTACCATCGCGACAATAAATGAACACACGTCTAACGCTACTTGCCAATAATCATAAAAAAGTATTAACGTTAAACAAAATCCATAATTAAAAGAAAATATTTTTCAAACAAACTAATTAAGTAAAAAAGAAACAAAATTTGTAACATCCTATACAACTCGCGCCACAGCGTCGTATTACAAGCCTCTCCTTCTAACAGTATGTTTTGTCTCTTTTAAATTCATTCAACCCATTCATATGCCTTGTGACCTTTACAAATGAACTTTACGTTACACTTTTATAGGTAAGGGTGTTCTAAAATTCTTTGTTTTGGAAAATTTAATAACTCTGTAAATATTGATGTTTAAAGAATTTAAATGTTTAATACAACTTTAAAAAGTTATCCCCTATATGTGTGTTCATTTATTGGCGCGATGGTAACGACACGCTGTATAATTACACCAATTGGCGTCACTTGAGTGCCTCAGTTTCGTGCGTTAATGTCATATCTACCTACCCCGTATTTTCTACATAATGTCATTAGTGATGTGCTGTTTTTTGTTTTTTAGTGCTGTGATTTGTGATGTTTATCCTGTTCAATGTGTGCCTTATTTTTATGTAGATATCTCCTGTAATCCGCATAATAAGCGGGTGAAACTAAAAACAATATTTATATATTTACATTATAAATAATCTTTTAAGAACCTAAATATTAGTATCACGTTACAACTTCATTAACATCCTTTCATAATTAAAGCGTCAAGATAAATACATAATTGTAGTTTTAGTACATACTGGGATTTTCTTTAGTTATCCCCAGTAGGTATAGCTCAAACAATCTCTGTATAGCAACTTTTATGTATATAGTTGCAATCAGTGGCGGATTTGTAGTCTTGACCGCCCTAGGCCCCAGCCTATGTAGTAAGTTCCAGCCGCCCCTTTCTCAGCGCTCATCATATATCTTGTTATCATCAGTGATTTTTTGTCACGATTGGCCGCCCTAGGCCAGGGCCTATTGGGCCTTAGGGCAAATCAGCCACTGGTTGTAATCTAAAAAAGGTTGATTTTTAAGGTATGACCTAGCCCGAGAAAAATGATCGTAGTAAGCTAAACCAAAATTTCTAATAATAAAAATGTACCTAACACTCCAGGTATATAGAACCTATGCAGATTTGTTTGCTTGTCAAATTCAGATTCCTTCTTTTTTCTAATGGCGGTTAATATTTTCCACATCGTTTATCGATTTACTCAAAATGGATGTTTTAAGCAAGGTAAGCTCGATATTATGTAATAAACTAATACAACTCACAGTTTCAAGCGTTTGTTTTATATAATGAAAACTCAATATTCTCATTAGGCAATTTCACCCGTATTCGATAAGGATTAGTTTAATATTTGGGATGACAAAGCTGGAATGGTTTGGTTTTCAAATAAAAGACCATTTCTATCAATCACTTGATTAATTTTCATACAAAATTCCATTAAAAATTTCAAAAATCCCATGACATATATAGCGTCATGCACAATTGATAAGATTACAAGGATCAAAGTAATGATTTTACCGATAGGGTAAATAATAATGTAAACGAAATATGGTAGGCAGTAAATTATTCTAAATTAAAATATAGGAACATTTATAAAATTTCAGTCTTCTTTCAACAATATTACAGGTGTAACGTAAGATATAGATATAAAATAAAAGACTGTTGTCAATTCGCTGCTAAACGGAGGCGTTTTTTCTTCCTTTCTTTTGTAGATATTGAGATGCTTTTCGGCGCTCCGTTTAGTTGGAAGGAAACGAAAAAAAAAAAACAAAGTAAAACAAAGGTGCGCTACGAAAGACTTCTGCTTACACTAGTAGACAACAGACTTCTAAAGCGGTGATCAAACCACCGCCACATTAATTCCAATCAGTCTTTAATGCATTACGAGTGAGGTAGATGCGGTTATATTAAGTTTGAACACAACTGTCCGCCCCGCGGAGCGAGGTGGCATCCACCGTCCTCAAACTCCCACAGAGGACCGTGTACAAAAATACTAATTAACGCAGACACTTCGATTCGTTCGTCCCCCCTCTTAGCTTGACGTTCACAGTCGACCAAAAGTAAAATCAATCGCCAGTTCGCAAAGTTACCATTGAGTCAAGAAACGTTCTGTTATTTAGTTATTTGAATTTCACGCAGCAATGGATTTCAGAATTTAATTTAGCCACTAAGTACTACAATGAGAATCTAATGTAACAAAGGTGCGTCGCAAAGGGGAGATCAACGAATCCATTAATTACACTAACACTAACACAACACAAGCGCCTATTTTAATTTAAAATTAGCACGAGAACGCCACTCGTTACATTTCGCTAAGGAATCTCACAATTACATCAAACATTATGCGGTATCCCGTGTTGCGTCCAATCCGCCATTACAATCTCAGAGCCGCCGAGGGCCGCGCGATGTTCCGCCGCCGTAACGCTCCGTTGAAACTATCCGAACGCTAAAGAACCGTTCGAAATTCAATCATGCATCAATTAAGTTGACCAATTATATTGTTCCTATCACAAGACCACATTTTACTGCCAGCAACTGGCAGCTCTCGCAAAGTTCACGTTGCGTCGCGATCATATCCCTTGACTTTGCAATTAAACCGAGACCTATGCTCCCCAATTAAAATCCCCAACACTTTCATAAAGTGCTCGCGGCTTCGTGATGACGGCTACACACTAAACACTGACAAATCACTTACACGTTAAATGGACTTCGGGAGGCATACCATAAATTATACGACTAAAAAAAAAAAAAACGGACCAACGACGCGATCGTGAAGCCTCTGTTAGCGACTTTGACGACTTTAACACCAACGCAAAATTCAAAACTAATAAATACACATTCTATCATACCGAATCGAACGCCGAATCGGCGTATACGATTATTTAAGTAATTGATTAGCAGCTTTCCAAGCCAAGTCTGGTATGTTGGTTGACGCCACCGCTGTACGGATGCCCTGTGTGGTAGCGACGCCATAGACTGGCAGAATCAACAAGTTTCAAATACGTTGTGACCGCGTCTGACATAAGAGCTGGTGTTGTTGGATCCTGTCGACCTATGACGCGCGTTCAAACTAATTTGTCCAAGTATAGCAACTATATATAGCCTCGGCGTTTGGAATCCTCAAGCGGTGTGACGTCAGGCCGTGCGTTGAGCGCTTTATTATGCGGGACTGGTAACATTCTAAGAGTGCACAAGTCGATACATAATCACGGCAGCACGCGCCGGAGTTTGCTATGCAAATCCATCCTGAATGCTAAACGAAGACGATCACGCCGATTGCGTTTAAACCCTGAGATTCGTCGTCATCTATAAAAAAACACGTGTCGCATAAGACGTTCAAATTTTGAAAAAATAATATATATATATATATATATATAAAATATATATGTATAATAATTATTAAAAAAAATGCATTTCATGCAACACATCATTATAAAAATAATAACATAATACTTCATTAATGGCACTGAACGAAAAGTAAGTAACGGCTACTCTATAGTAATTACTGATATGAAATGAAAAGGGTTAACTTGTCGATGAAATTGCCAATTGATCGTCTAGACGCAAACACTGCAACGCGAATATAAAGCAATCGAGTTCCAGCCAAGTATTTCGGCCGCGTCGCGCCGTTGATGAGACGAGAAGAAGAAAGAATACTATTATGAAGAGAGAAGAATGTTCTGGAAAATCTGAAAGTTCAGGAAAGATCCACTCCACCGCTCTTAACGGTCGGTTCCTTATTGCTAACTCAACTTCCAAGATTTTCGAAACACCTTCGGAGCTCATGAAGTCGGCAACTACTTATCGTTGATATTAATCACGCAACAATTAAAGCGGTAATAAATTCTCATCAATATGTCAAAACGCAACCAAAATACTCCGCGGAGGACTCAAGAACGCATTAAATGATCTATTACTAGGCGTCCTAACAACATCTAACAAAACTATTTATCCTATAGCCCCGAACAAGAATTTTTCTTTCTGGAACCGTTTAGAAAACACCTATGACCCATTGGAAATGTCCATGCGGTCCTTCGTCACGCGACGTAGCCCAAAGAAAAATCATTATCCGAAGCTTCAACTAAATCTATCTCGTATGGCTAACTTAAGCTAACTATCATTACTTAGCCTAAGTCTACAGCCTAAGTACAAAGTTGATAAACGATTTACCCTAAATTTTATTCTAAAACGTGCACGAACGTTCGGGATACCTTTAGGAGGCTTCGGAAGTTTTTTTTTTATCGTACCAATTGTGCGTATTACACTATTATACCGATTATTATATCCTTACAATTAATGACTTTATTCAGTTTTTATTCGAAACGGCGTGGTCAATTTACGTTACAAGAGTTTGAAGCTATCGGCCCAACACTATTTTACAAAGCGAATCGGATAATTTGAACTAACATTAATTATTAATACGCTCGCATACATTCTATGAGCCAGATTATAAGTTAACACGGTACATATAAGGATATACAATTTAACTAGAAGCTCACCGTAAACTTCAACATTGACTAATAGTTAGTACAGTCGGGTGGTGAATATTATTAATAAAAAAAACGACAAACCAATGGAAAGCGAGTCGAAGACCATTGACTAAATTGAAACCCGTTCCATTGTGATGTTGTTGATAAAAAAAAATTGAAATATATGTCTATGGTTGTTGCACAGGTTTTACTAGATTGCGATACCGAACGAAAAGACAGATGGGACGTGACGGTTCATCGTCGTAATAAACATCTACAATTTCACTACATCAACACCCAAATCCCCTCCTTCCCTTAGCAAACACGATACTAAACTTATATTTAAACATTACAATATTGAACACATACTGACTGAACACAGTGTTTATATCGAATATATTCGATAAATTCAAAAAATATATCATACATTTCCCAATGAAACAATTTCGCTAAAATATTTGAACTAATACGAGAATTTCGACTGTATTAACTAATTCAAACAAAGAAATATTATGTAGAAGAATATCTATATACATATATATTTAAATATAACAACAATCGTGTTACTGCCTTAGCATGTCTATAGGTTAAATACATTACAGGGATGCACTGAGCGGATTATAGAATTTAACTAGCACTACGCAAAGATAACATCAATGTAGCTGGTACAATCTAAATATTTAGTTGGAAGCAGTCGAAATTTTTCATAGAAAAAAAAAAAGAGTACATTTAAAAAAATGGCGAATCCTAAAGTAAAAATTAAAAAAAAAATATCACGAGTCAAAATGAAAAAGGTCCATACAGCGCGCGATCGCCGATAGATCTAACCAAATGTAATGAATACGCAATAATACCTATGTTTTGGTTATAAGAACTAGCATTAAACGTAACGCGTCGATCGTTCCCCCCTCCCTCTCTATCCCTTCCCCAGACCCCGCCCCGGCGTCGGCCACCGCGTCTTTAAGACAGTCTTCTGAAGTCAGTCTTAAAGTTTTATTGCATTAATTTTCTCAGCTCCGTTGCCACGATCCCATTCAACCCCACAAAGTCGCAAACAAAAGAGAGAGTCAAGCGAAACAGCTACTAAATACCAACGCAACCGATGCACAAAGCGATGTGCCAAACAACTCATCGCCAAATTATATAAAACTATAAATCAGTGCGCGAGACAACTTAGAATAAGAATACATATCAATCGTCTGCTTTTATCATTAACTAAGTTAGAGAACGCAAAAACTAACATTTTGGAAAAATACTTTTCAAGTTATTTTTTTTAAATTATCTCACATAAAAAACATCTTTTAAATCACAATGTGATCTTTATCATATAATAGTTTTTACGATTCATATATTTATTTCGTCTAATAGTAATCTAGCAATTGTAAGATATCGGATACATTAAGTGCTGCATATAGTATAATCGTGTGTGATATAGAAGCTAACAATGTAAGCTAAGTTTATAAAACGTGTGTAATTTAGTATAAATTACTGAAACTGCATTGTCTGTTTGGTGCTTACAGACTAGTGTCATACGGAAACTAAAATCGAAATAACATGGTAACGAAAAAGGCATCAAAAGATTTTTATGGAGAATCCGTTTTGCGCATGACTTTGCAACGAAAATTATGAGCAAACACCAATTCTCCGTACAAGCTATGCTCGATTCAGATTTTTCCAAATATCAATAATAAAATTGGCACATTATGAAATCAATCACAAAATAAAACAAAACAAAATATATATAAAAAAAAATAATATACCGTAGGCCTACGGCCCCCACGCTCCTGGCCTTCCGCAAGGAGTCTACATATGTCAATAAACCTTGATGTACTGCTTCCCATGGGAAGTGATGTCACGGGCGGTGTCTGGTAGGGTTTCAAACAGGACCACCAGGTAGCCTTCGGGGGTGAGGGCCACATCGCTGGGCCTGTCCTTGTCGTCGAGCCCTGGGCTCTTCAGGTCTACGGCCGACAGAATGCGCAGCTCAGACGTGAACACCAGAACTCGGTGGTTCTTGGAGTCGGCGACGATGATGCGCCCCTCGTCGTCGGTCACGATCCCCGAGGGCCGGTTGAGCTCCCCGATTCCGGAGCCCTCCCGGCCGATGCAGTGCAGCACCTTCGACATGGTCGGGTCCACCATGAGCAGGCGATGGTTCTCGAAGTCGGAGACGATGATGTTGCCGGAGGTCGTGAAGCACACGCCTCTGGGCGTGGTGGGGCCCTTCAGTAGCTTTGCGGGGTTGGCGGCCTCGAACACGAATTTCGTTATGAAAGTGCCGTCGCTGGTGAACAGCTGGATGCGGTGGTTGCGCGTGTCGGTCACCACAATGTTGCATACCGTATTGACGGCGACGTCCCACGGGTACTGGAACTGACCGCACTCCTTGCCGAACGTGCCGAACTTGAGAATGAAGTTGCCGGAAGACGTGAATATCTGGACTCGGTGGTTGTCCTTGTCTATGACGATGATGCGGCCGAAGGAGTCGGTCGTAATGCCAGCCGGCAGATCGAATTCGCCCGGCCCGGTGCCCTTCGAACCGAACATGGTCTTGAACTCGCCGCGAGCACTAAATATTTGAATTCGGTTGTTTCTTCTGTCAGCGACAATGATGTTGCCTTCTCTGTCGACGCATAAGCCCCACGGCCTGGAAACTTGACCTTCGTCCTGACCCTCCTTGCCGAATGAAAACATCGGTACGCCGGGCACTGGGCTTCTGGTCGGCTTAACGATTACCGGAACCCAAAAACCCGGTATCGCCTGACCGACACCGCGGCTATTATTGGAATCCATTCCAATGGTGGAAGATATGCTGTCATAATAACTTGTGGACCTACTAGCGTGACTACTTGTGTAATCGGGTAAACTTCTTAGGCTATTAGTGGCTGGGATATAAGAAAGCGATGAAAATGTTTGATTATTAGACTGCAGGGACTGCATCGAGAGCTGGCGGGACTGGTGTGAAGAAGTCGATGTCGCCAGAGAATGTATGGGCGCCACCGGAGCCGATTGTACGTCACATTGCCGCTTTATTTGATCGACCAAATCATAATTGGGCGGAATGAAGGCAATCTTTTCCTCGGCGAGATACATGTTTTTGAACATGCAGGAAAAGTAATCAACTTGGGCCCTGGCTTTCTCTTTGGCCATAAACAAATCCAAGCCATCGGAATCCATGCTTCGCACCAATGTCTCGTTGATGTGTGCTAATCCGGCTAGGATGCCCCGGAGCGTGTTCATATGATCGCTCAATTCGCTCATTTTGGCTTGGCGCATCTTCTCAACCTTGTCCAACAAATATTTTTCACGATCTTCTATGGCTTGCGCATAGCAGCGCATTGCCTTCCTTATCTTTAAATTTGCCTCGGCTGTCTCCTTTTCGTAGGCTTTACTCAATGTAACCGCCCGGTCAATCGCGTTTTTGATAGCTTTGGTGCCGGTCTTTGTGTCTTCGATGGCCTTGAAGACGCCGATACGACACACGTCGGCGGCACCCTTTATCGGAGAGAAGCAATGGTCCTTGTGGACCCACAGAGTGCATTCGTGGCAGATGAAGATGACGCATGCTTCGCAGTAGAACTTCACGGGGTCCCCGTGGAGTTCGCAGAAGACGACCTCTTTCTCGATGGTTACCGAGTTGGGTCGGGCGCCGATTGGAGATATTTGATGTATGGGAAGGAGGATGTGATCCCTCATTTGGCACTCCGACGAGCGCTTGTAGCAGCACTCGTGGCAGTACAGGTCGTTGCACTCCAAACAGCGCACTGTGGGCGTGCGCTCCTCGCAGCGGAAGCACGTTATGGACACCGAGGAGGAGGTGCCGGGCGAGCCGCTCGAGTTGTCCTCCTTGGCGTGGCTCTGGTGGTTGTTGTTGTGGCTGTAGGAGTTATTGTCGCGGCCGATCGGCCCTATGGGGTTCTGGAGGGCGCTGCAGGAGGGCAGCGCCCAGATGTCGTAGGGCATGGTGGTGGGGGACGAGGTGGACGCGGCCGGCTGGTGGTTGGGGGGCTTGTTCATGTTCTCGAGCAGGTTGCAGATGATGTGGGTCATCGCGAGCGGGTCCTCCTGGTCGGCGGGGTGGCCCGAGGACCCGCCCGACGCGGTGGTGGTCGGCAGGCTCGCCGCCAGCGACGCGGTCATGTTGGCAAACGACGTCATTTTCGTGTACGCGTTCAAGTCATTAGACCTGGAAAGCGAATTGGGCGCTTTTTAAGAAACTTAAATTTGACGCTCGACGTTTTTCGACTGTACTATTTTTGAGTTCTCTAGTATTATGGACTAATGTAGTATGTTTAAATGTTAAAAAAAAAGTAAAGTAACACGTATACATATCCCACTGTTGGATAAAGACCTCTTCTGTATAGAGGGTATTAGGGCATATTCCACCATGCGGCCCCACTGCAGATTGGCGGATTTCACATATCTTCGAAATATTTTCTTTTTATTATTTCGAAAATATGCAGGTTTCCTTACGATGTTTTCCTTCACCGCTTAGCAAGTGATAAGACAGCAAAAATTAACAATTTCATTGGTGCCGGCACCGGGGATCGAACTCAGATTGCTCGAGTATATTCAATTAAAGGCGAGCGCCTGGGCACTGAGCTATCACGGCTATTATTATTAAGGTTATTTAAATGTTAATTATCTGTGCATATAACTATATACAGGCGTGGCCCTACCACAGTTAACTAACTTTGATAGGGCCACGCAGCAGCCTCGTCCGTTGCACGAATAGACAGGCTCGTCCGGGTAAGTACCATAACTTCACAGAAGACCGGCGTGAATTGAAAGTATAAAACCCTCGGGTGTAGCAGATATTAACTTAACATCAGTCGAACCGCCTGCTCGCTTGACAACTTTTCACATAAAAAAAGACTATAAGCTTTCATAATTTCAGCATAGATGTATTAAAAATATTCAAAGTAATATTAATAATTGATTAACAAGTCAAATTAATTACAGCGAGGCCCGGGTTCTATTCAAACGAATCATATTTCGTTGAAATGGGAATTTCTTCTTCAGTGACTTTTTCTGTTTTAAATAGGTACTATATTACATGCACATTTAATTTCCAGATTGTTAATATTATTTCTATTCTAAATTCCAAGTGTTTCCCCTAGAAAATTCTTTCGTAATTCATGCACTGAAACCTTTATATATTCGGCTTTATATAAAAAATGTTACATCGAAAATAAATTATTACATATATTTTTTTTATTATTATATAATTATATATTAATTAAACTCACATTTAAATTTCATCTTGGGTGCAGACTACCACTAAAAATAAAAAATAATCATAAAAAACAAAAGCATTTTACAATGTACAAACAGGTATACATTTAAAATATTAAAACTATATGAAATTACACCTTTTTAACAATACCCAATGTGCAAAAAAAGGAAATCTTTTTGGACCTCGCAAATGAATTGCCAACCAGCATTGAACGCTTTGTTCAGAGAACGATAACAGCCATGCCTCACAACGATCTTTTGAGTACATCGTATTTCGTCTTCTTATACGTTTGTGTGAACGACCCTTTACTTAAAATCTCTGTCGATGACGGTAATTAATATTCACTATTGCTGATTATTATTCTCTTTTGGAGAAACACCTAAGTAGTGACTAGAGAAAGACAATTTAAATAGTGTTGAATTTTAATTTGTCTAACACGAATTAAAGAAAATATTAAAAAAAAAACATGTTATCTCCCACGCGTTGTAAATACAACAATAAACGTACGTAAATCAAAACCACAAAAGCAAAACGCGACGTAAAGCAAAAAAAACAATCAGATTCTCGTTCACTCTTAGAACGTTTTTTTTTTTTCGATACAATGCAAAAAAAATATCGTTCCAAACGTTGGCGACAGTATCCAGTTAGTCAAATTTTATCTGTACTCACGTTAGAATATAAGCACCGAACTACTGCATGCTTTATCAATAACACGCGCCGGATACTGGCACTATGTAGAGTTCGACTGCGGTCATGGCGAACGAATTTTGGGAGACAATCTTTACGCGTGCGGACCATACGGCCTTCTTAAGCGAACTATTGCACCAAAAGGGCTCATCATGTGGTTCTCTTTGCGAAAAAAATCCATCCCGAAAAACTTTCACGACGCCCGCTCTACCCCTCGAAATAATAGGTAGCGATCAGAGAGCGGGACGTAACTAGCGGAAACCCAAAAGTGGGAATGGGGGCGAACGACGATGTCGCATTCCAAAATTTTCCATAAGTTAGATAAAGGAGGTTTGCTATGATTAGGGTTGTCGATTGGGAAAGAAAGCAATATAAAAATAAATTAAAATGTTCCATTGAAACTTCATTTCGAATAACGTTTGTCAATTTTATTTTATTAATATAACATGAATAGTGGTCGATAACATTTTTATCTCATTTTCAATAACTAACCAATAAGTAGTAAGTTATTAATAATGAATTGGAACAAAAATAAAATAACATATTTAAATACGCATCGACTAAAACATAAAAAAAAAAACAATCCGCAACAGCCCTATCATAGTCGAAATCACCATCGAGAGGCTAGGCGCAGCGCGTCGCCAAACGGATGCGAGAGCGGGACGCAAGACGAGACGGAAGACGCCGCGTGCGACGCGATGTAGCGGCAGCGGTGAGCAGCGGGCGGGATTGTTTTGGGCGCCGCGTCATGGCGGCAGCGCGTGACCTTGCCGCCGCTCGTTCGCTTGAGGCAGGTCCGGGGCACCGAGACGCCATCTTGCCGCGCCCCCGCGCCCTAAACTTGGGGTGCTGAAAATCGATGCCATCCCTCGCTGCCCTCATGCCCCACGAAGGGCGAGCGGATTAAAGTACGCAGGGGCCGACCTCCTCTCCGTACGGCTCTCCAGCGGGGACTCGGGAAAATCATTACGTTCAGAAATTTCCACCGGCGGTTTTCACCTGTTGCCGTTAAACGACCACCTCTAGGCGATTTCGTAGGGACACGGAAAGGAATAAAATCTATCTTCCCATGACCGTGTTCAAAACTTAAACTAATACTTCACCATCTAAAATAATGAGTGTTTGCGTGTAATATGCTTCCGCGAATCTTACCTGTCCGCAAATGTCTCGCGGAGTATTGGAATTACAGGGGCATTAGTAACACGTGTATTGCTGCTTAAGCCCGCAGGTAGTCGCCTCGTAGCGATCCATTGAAAGAGAGCACCGAAGCACCTTTTCTCAGAATGGTCCCGAGACAATGGGTTTTGCGCAGGTCGGGATAGTATCGACACAGTCCACACCCTAGTCACAGCCCTCTTCGGTTTCCGCGGCTCTAAGCCATCGAAACAATATCGGACAGTTGTTAATTTTTAATCTTCGTATCGACGGACAGCCAACATTTTGTTGCAGACAAATCGGAATGTATTCAAATTATGAACGGGATCGCAGTTTAAGTGTAACAGAAAAAGAAAGACAATTTTTACCTTCATTTAGTTTTCTTCGTAAATATAAGAAACTGATGAAAGCTACATTAGGGATTTAAATATTGATTTATTGTTTCTATGCAAATATTATACATTTTGAAATGAAACCATTTCACAAATTTCATCGCGTTTAATAAGACTTTAATTCCCGGGTTACGTCACGTCGCCCCGTGACTTCGGGGCAGACCGTAAAATAATAAAAGACATGGGAATGTTCAAAAGAAATTTCTAAACATTAAACTACACTAAAATTCATTTAAAATGTAAGAATTACAGATCGTTGCTTGATTAAAAAAAATCAAGTTCTAATGAGCGTTATAATTATAAAATACGCATCTGTAATTACGGGCCGGGAAACGAAAGATACATATTCCCAAAGTATGTACACAAACAAATGTATGTACAACGTGACATTATGGCAAGATCTTAACGCGTAAAATCCATTTTTAACAGACAAAGAAAACGCGCACACCGCGGTCGACAAAGGCCCGAGGCTGAATTATAATTACACTTCACTGCGTGTACAATACCAAAGCACTTTATTGTTTCAATGAACCCATTTTGTGTCCAAACAATTATTAATTCTTTGTCGAATGATTTTTTTCGCTCAGTCTTTTTATTAGACTTTGCAAAGATTTCCTCGGGGAGATTACATGGGGAACTTACGAAGCGACCATACATTTTCTCGGGTGTTCAAATTATATAGATACTAGCGACCCGCCCCGGCTTTGCACGGGTACAATGTATTTATTATACATTAAACCTTCTTGAATCACTATCTAGTAAAAAAAACGCATCAAGATCCGTTGCGTAGTTTTAAAGATCTAAGCATACATAGAGAGGGACAGTAAGCGGGACGACTGTGTTTTATACTATGTAGTACATCACTAGGCTGAGAGTCTAAGCGCCTTCGGGTGTTGCGTGCCTCAGCCCAGACGCTCAGACTGTTTCGGTGACTGTGGGCGATGAGAATGCTTATTATTCTATGCATCGAGAGTACTTTACTTAACAATGAGCTACAACAAAGGTCCACACATTCATTTCTTATCGGTGGACAGGCTACAATGAATCAGACGCAGCGGTAAAATCCGGTTAGAAAACAACCTAATAGAGATAAGGTCAGAAAAAAAATGGAATATAATAATAAAGAACATGACGAGCAAACGAGCGTATCAATGAAACAATAAACAATAATTTTCAAAAGTGTTACTTGCCGCCTCACTAGCGCTTACAACTGAATGGACACAAATACAGAACTACCTGTGAACAGGCATTTAAAGTTCTCGAAACATTTGTTACGATTCATGTGAAATAAAGAAGTTTTCACCAAACTGCTTGATGAAAAGAAATTATACATACCTACGCAGTTGGATAAATTATTCTTCAAAGCGAAGATTTGCATAAATCGAAAAATAAAAAATTCACACTACCATATCAATTTTAAAATACGATAATGACGACGAGTTTGACGCCCCTATTTGGTCTAATGATAATAAATATGCGGTAAAATATTATGCTTTTACTTAACCACCTCTGAAAGTATTAAGTTAGTTGTTTCCGATAATCTAAAAGCCACATTATTCTTAAGTTAAGACTAACATATGCAGAAAACTGTGGACTGACGACGCTATCTTTAGTACAAAATGGAAAATTGAATGTAACCTAGCTTCGATAACCGTGTGAGGCCAGTCAGTATCTATAGTGATAGAAAATTTAATATCTCTCTGAGAATACACGGTTACATCAAGTGCGATAGATTATTATTGTGTTAAGAGGACAACAAATACATAATATTTAAGGACGATAAATTACGTAAGTTACGAACGGTCGGTGGCAAATAGAAAATAAAGTTTTATAATGAAGATTTTGTGACGGAATTCGACCTCTCTCCTGATATTGATTAGGCAGAGGTTAAGCGTGGGAGTGACAACGGAGCGAGACACGTTCAATACTGGAAAACGGAGCAAGTGAAGTGAATCTTTGAAACGGAAACATGGCTTTTGGATCACAGGTTTCATTGAAGATACCCATTGAACACAGTTGGATGAGTTTACATATAGACACTCGCTAATTGCCGATAGTTTATGGGCAAACAAAAAAAAATTCGGAGTTATCGAACAAGGCGAATATTCCTTTTGCGACGGCCAGAATTAATGTTATAATAATTACGACGGCATTCGAGGGGAGCGAGCAGCGACCTGGCCGCGCATGCGCCCCGCGAAGGGTACAACTCTAGGGGGTGAACATCTTGTACTCCCGGGACACTTATGTAATGCAAAAGCCTCGAGAACACGGCGGCGAATCGATAACGTTTCGACGCCAATATTTCACATTCTATCAACGTTCAAAAACACTGTATACAAATTTTTAGTTATTCCTTTTTTAAATCTACAATACATTCTACGATTCGTAATACGATTCGCAAAAAAAAGCTGTTGTTTATATTTAACACCCATTCTTTTACTATTTACACTTCGAGCGAGAGAAATCTGTTCGTGAAAAAAAAATGGCAGATGATTAAAGGAGTCCACAAAATCGAAAGTACACGTCTAGAGCGAACTTTTTGCTGTGCAATAAAATCTAGTGTCGAGCGCACGCACTGTGTCACTGAACCGCGAGGGCGTCCTTCGTCTTATCTTGTTTTGTGCACTCCACGGTGAGGTCTTCGGTGTACAACAGTTAATTTTATAGTCACTTTAAAATGCAAGCGGTACGAGGCGCTAAGGAAGCGGAAAAATGCAAATGATATATATTAATTTTTATTGATGAATTATTTTACGAAAAATATTCCTACGCACAACGGTGTAATGAGACTTGCTTATATTACCAACTAGCTACGATATGTTCTTGTCTTCTACCAAATCTTTCTTAACATTGTCAATTTAACAAATAATCGCAATCCCATTTATTCGTTAACTCGCAATGCACTTTTTTCAGTATTCTGTATAACGTTTTGTGGGGAATAATTAAAAGGCAAAAATGAATACATATCTCAATGATGCAATATACGCTTGGATGGTTATGGCTATACCAGAAAATCTTTTTTTTGTATTCGAAAATATTGAAATATCGACCTTGGGAAGATCAGGTCCTTTCAATCATCTGATGAAAGCATTAAATAACTAATAAGTATGATAATTTAAAAGTTGATCTGATCCCTCAGGAACTTAGTAAAAATTTTCTTAACCTCACAGTTTTTCACAGATGAAAAATTACATGTGATTTTTTAAATGAAGTTCCTTTACATAATTACATGCAAAACATCAATTTTACAGACAGGCTTACAATAAACTACATAGAAATTCTATTGGCAATTTGACAGCAGGGGATAATTTTACAGAATCATGATAATACATAAAGTCCCTGTCTTTAGTTAATTTCATATAAACATTAGGTAAACAAAATTATACTATATAAATACAAATATTTTTTTAAAGCTCTATTGAACCAGTCAAATTAAATTTGTGATATAAAATGTTTTTTTTTTTTGATTATTCATCTTTTGTTATCTATTTTACATTTTTCTTTTATATAATATAATAAAGTAATAAACTAAAAATAGTATAAAATTTCAATAACTAAAAATACAATGATAAAACAAACATATACTACATACTGCTTAGAAATGAATAATATTTTTCTGATATTAAGCTTTGTACACCACAATTATAACAAATTTTATTGAAATAGTAGGAGCCTATTTCATGTTAAAATGTCAATTATTTTTAATAAAATAAGATATAAAATCTTCACTAAAATAATGTTCATGAAACACAATCAATAATGCACCATGTGCTCCCCACTTTTCAAGCTTGTGCTTTATACATTTCATTGTTCCTAATTAATGATAAATAATTACTGGTAAATAAAGTTAATAAATCTTTAAATGATATATGAAAATATGGATTTCTTTGTTAGATAGGGAGCTTAACATAAGTAATCAATAATACATAAACAAGACTGTCTGATTGTGATTAAATTAATAAATAAAAAGGAAAAGACAGAAGGCAGTGATGACATATATAATCCTACCCTATTGAATAATATATAATACATAATTTATATATAATCCTACCCTATTGAAGCCAGAGCGAAAAATACACTAAAAAAATCTTACAATATAAAATAATATCTTGCGTAAAAGTAAAAGCTATAAAATGTTAATATTTATTGAGAAGTTGTCACTGGTTGTATTTTTATAAATAAAATGCATATCGCGATATTGAACACAAAGGCACAGAATGACGAGAGAAAGTAAATGCCTAAAATGGTATCCGGTGTAATTTCCGTAGTTGAAACATTATGGATGTACACGAGATGGTGAATCTAATTTGTGATAACTAATAATGTACTAAAAACTCGCTCACCTTATATCAAATATGTCTTCGTAATTTTACAGTAAACTCAGGGGAGTGTACAAATTACGCATAATAACTTATTTACTATTCATCAGTCCTTTCAAAATTATAAATCATAAATGTCCCGTCACTATAATTATTCACAAAATATGCCCGACGATGCAGGTAGATTGCACAAAGTTAGCGTTTTGAAAGTGATAAAATCTAAAGTTCAACTTTGACTACTACACATATATTGCACTAATTCTAAATATTGCCTATTAACACGATGCTAAGGTTATTCTTTCGCTATAATTGTATTTTTATTTATTATCATCTTAGAATACCACGAAAACAACAGCGGTGAATGAACGATCAATTGATTTAAAAATAAACACACATAGTCTATGGAATTTTGTTCTCAGTGTAGATTAAATAAATAATTTTTTAAACAAAACTTTATTTATATTTTAATCATACTTTTTACGAAATCATGATATAAAAAATTTGTATAGTTTCATTAATCTTTAAATTAAGAATATAAATATACCATTACGCTTATTAATGGTCGGTAGATCCGACCGCTACATCGCTACACCGCATATCAAACTTTACTGCATCACCTGCTGGGCTAATCTAAAACTTGCGTTATGGAGTCTATAGGGACATAATATATAAATTACGAATGAAGTAGTCTAGTTATTTATTTAAAAATATTAGTATTTATCGTATAAGAAATCCGATTGTTATTAAAGTTTTGACACAGCAAAATCTCAATAACTCGAATGTCTAGATAAATGTTAAAAAGAGTCGCATTTCGAAATACAAGGGGTTTAATTCGACTTAAGTTTTATATTTTTTATTACATATTTATTGAAACAATAAATTAGTGAAGTAAGCAGTACCAAAAATTGCAAAAATATCGTATGTCATTGTTATCTACGTTTGATTAAAGGAATTTGCAAATACGTTATCAATTATTATTCAAATCAACTTCAAACGAATACGCACCATACATAACCTTTGGACTTTACTGTTCATGAGTTCGTGGAATTCCATGAAGAGTGTCATTATATTTTACTATCTTTGTCTATAAGGACTATGCTTTTTTAAATTACACTTATAAAGTACAGTATAAATATTTATTAACTATACGAAACTGTGATATTACTGCGAAATAATATTTTTTTCCGAATATAAATTATAAATAGTTCGAGATATCGCGTAATTAGGGATTCAGTGGAAGGGAATAGTAATTTTTTTTTTTTTATGGGGAAAAGGGGCAGGAGGCTCACCTGATGGTAAGTGATTACCGCCGCCCATGAACACCTGCAACACCCGAGGGCTCACAAATGCGTTGCCGGCCTTTTAAGAAAGAGTACGCTCTCTTTTTGAAGGTTCCCAGGTCGTAACGGTTCGGAAAGACCGCCGGCGGCAGTTGGTATATTTCATCTTACTGAGGACTTCGACTTTACGAGATACCAGTTGTCGAGTTTCCACTATAATAATAAAAAAAATATATTATATAATTAATTTAAATTTAAATAATATCCAATATTTACAAAATTAAATCTAACAAAATTATATTTTATCTAAAAACCTAGTACACGCAGCAAGCTATTAGCTGCATTTCCTCAGTAAATAGTTACGCTTAACCAATTTATTTATATTTAATGTTTTTTGTGTATTTTCTCTTAAAATTCTGCAATGTTATAAAGTTATAATGACCAATTTTTTAATATTTATAAAAATATAGTGTTTGTCCTGTGTCAAGTGACACAAGTCAACTTGTCATCTTGTCAAGTCAAAGTCAAAACTCGCGCCAAAATCTTACAGATTAATTTGGCTTGCTGATTTGTGTTTTTAAAATATTGACCAAAAATGTCTACGCCGTCAAAACGTCCATCCTCACGTGCATCTTCAGAAGCAGCAACTCCATCTCGCAGAACGAGGTCTTCTCAACAAATAGTAGTTCCAGAAACTCCTCAACGATCTACCGGTACACCATCAAAAGGTAAATTTTTTTAGCTTTTAATAAGGTAGGTCCCTGTTCCCTCACTCACCAAACGAAAATCATGATTATATCACTTTCACGTCACGCTGGTCTTCTGTGTGGTTGTGATAATTCTGTGGCCAAGCTTCACCTATTCGTACAACAGTAAAGATTGCTGCGTAGCCCTACGGCAGTAATTATTAATAGTTTATCAAATAAAAGCGAAGGTCGTATGATGGCAATAGTCCTACTTACTAATTTTATTTGGTTTTTAAGTAATTGTATTGCCAATATTTTCAGATGGTACTCCTGTTGGTACACCTCGCACTCCTCGTGGCACTCCTCGAACTCCGAGTGCCCAAATGCCTCGCACATCACCAGCCCGTCCCTTGATGTCAAGTCCTCTTGGTAAGTCTTATATTTATGGATTAGACTTTTACTTCATTTCAAATATTTCATTCCAATTTAATATTACAGAACTTAATACAAAAAAAAATATTAAATAATATTACAAAACTTCGTGTCTTCTGAAATATTAAAATAAAAGAATACCATAAATATATAAACATAAAGTTACACATTAAAACCAACATGTTTCTAATAACTGGATCTGTTCGAGGAGAATTTGTGATAATTGTTTACTGCTTCCAATTGGAAATAAAAGCAATGTGTGTAACTTAATACTTCGTCAGCTGAATGTAACAACTCAGCGTATTAGTTTTACTTTCAAACAATAATATTATTTAACACCAGTTATAAAAATTTTGAGAACTGTATTAATAAAATTTATTTGCTGCAATTTGTGATGACTGCATGCAAGCATTGCAAAATGGGCATCTTGCTTATTTTGCACAAATTGTACTACGTCAATGTCATTTCATTACGCAATGAACACTACTTATACATACATTTATACTTTTGTTCACTTTTTCTTTGTATTCAGTGCAAAAAAATACTACATTTTTACTTTTACAGGGACAGATATAGATATGAGCTCACCATTGAATTACGGAACACCTAGCTCTTTAAGTACACCAAGGTCTCTCATGCGTGGGGTATCAACACCGGCACGGCAGAGAGCAGATTTAAGGGGTCATCAAGTTGGTCGCAATGTACCAGCTCCAACTCCGTCTAAAAGTGTTAGTTTTATCAGACTGCTTTATTACCTGTAATAACAATGTAATATATTCTATTCTTTGTTTGTTTATGTTCATTGTCTGGCGATTGGAGATTTACATGATATATCTATCAGTTAGTGTCAATTTTATTGCCCATAAAAGCATATTATGCAGAGCTTAGAATGCAAACTTAGAGTTTTCATCAGTGTCAAAAAAAATTACAAAGGTCTTCTGACAATGAATATGGTATAACCATATTAAATGAATAATACTAAAACAAAGTAAGGACTTGTATGAATTTTCTTATTTTCATTTATTAAAAAATAAAATGATTTCTCTATCAGTTGTTATTATGTATAAGAGAAAAGCTTTTAATGTTATATTTTAAGATAATATAATAAGTAAATAATGTCCCTATTGCTATAATCAATTATAAAACAATATAATTACATATTGTTGCTTTGTTAATTTACATTGCTTTAATGTAAGCATTAAAATTAATAAAAGATTCCTATTTTTTAAATGAGGCAGAAAAGTAATAAAGATGTGATATTATAGAAGGAAGACATAAACATTAAAAATGTTGTAATTTAGCCGAAACAATCCAATTCAAAAATATGGATATAAGGTCTATTATTTGAAAACTTTAACATGTATTATTTAATGTATTTTCATACTTTTAAATGTCAATGGGTGGTGGTTATCCCTTGACATAAGGTGAACCGCCAGCTTGTTTGCCACCTTCTCACATAAAAAAAACAGTGTATTATTAAATACACTGTTTCTTACTATTGTATTTTATGTTACATATGTATATTTTATAAACCCAATCCTAAGAGAATAAACTATATATCCCCTAAGAAAAAAAATTATAAAAAATGTGTAGTTTTAATAACAATTTAATACATCCTTTTTTCATGTATGCAAATGAAATAACTAAGCAAATTTATAAGATAACTACTATTACATTAAAAGGGTGATGCAGTTGAGGCTGAATCAGGAGAACCTCAGCTTGTGGTCTGGGGTACAGATGTTGCCATTGCGGAGTGTCGGGAGAAGTTCATAAAATTCGTGCAGCGATTTGTAGAACCTACTGCTGTTAGTAATGAACCATTATATGAAGCAAAGCTTGAAGAGGTAATGTATATCAAAGCAGTATATTATGTTAACAATTACCTATACAGCATGTCTTTACAATCACAACAATAAATGAACACACATATAGAAAATAAATTTTTAAAATTTTATTAAACATTTACTTTCTTTAAACATCATTTACGGAGTTGTTAAATTTTACAAAACAACGAATTTTAGAACACCCCTTACGTATAAAACTGTAACGTAAAGTTCATTTGTTCCAGCTTAGGAATGGGTTAAATGAATTTGAAAAAGACAAAACATATTGCTAGAAGGAGAGGCTTGTAATGCGACGCTGTGGTAACAAATGAAAAAGACTGAATGTATGAATCAGTCATTTGTAGTTTTATAGGATGTTACAAATTTTGTTTCTTTTTTATTTAGTTTGTTTAAAAGTATTTTCTTATCCATTTGTCTCCTTTATTGTTACTAATGTCTATGTAATATGTTGTAATTGTTAGTTAGTATCCATAAGCACAAATGTCTAACCAATAAGCACATTTGCATACAGATTGGATGTGGAATTTGTGATGTGGAACATAAAAAAACAGTTTGTAAAAGTCAAAATCTATAATCTCAACCTACCCCTAAGATAAAAACTCTGATAGTTTGTCTATGTTGCCTTTCAAAATCAGTCTCTTATTTAGAATCTAGCAAATGTATATTAAGTATTTAATTATAAAGATTATAATTTTTTTTAAATGCAGTTTTCAAATCTAATAATCTATTTACCTAATAATCTATTTATGTATTAAATTTCAGATACACACTTTAGAGGAGCCATTTTTGGATGTGGACTGTGAACATGTTAAAATATTTGATTCCAAACTTCACCGCCAACTTGTCTGTTATCCACAAGAGGTAAGTTCTGATCATTATGTATACCTGATGCTATTATGTGTGTTCATCATCAAAAAATATATGCACTGGAAAATACCTGTTATTGATTTAAGAATCATTAAAAGAAGGCAACTTTGATAATCATATTATTGTAAATGGGCCTCAGTGCAATTGTATTCATGTCCATACATATAATAAGAGGTGGAATTGTCCATATAAAGAAAAGCGGTTGCATATTGTCCAGCTCTTGCAGTGTATATTTCATTTTTAGGTAGTGCCAGCTTTCGATGCAGCCGTAAATGAATTATTCTTTGAAAAATATCCTGCTGCGGTGTTAGAACATCAGATACAAGTACGCCCCTTCAATGCGCCGCAGCGACATATGAGGGACCTTAATCCTGAAGGTTTGTGTTGGTTGATGCATAATTGAAACATTCGAAAAGTTTTTTTTACCCGAAACAATTTGTTGCCCCATCGCCGCCCTTGGACATGTACTATAAATAGCTGAGGAGTTGCAGATGCGTAGCCAACCTTTAAAAAAAGTGGGCCCCGGCTACCTCACTCACCAAACGAAACACTAAATTATTGCTTTCGTTTCACGCCGGTCTTCCGTGAGGCCGTGGTTCTTTCCCAGATGAGCCTGCCCAGTCGTGCAATAGCCGAAGGTGCTTTGTGGCCCTACCTCATAAAAATCTTCGTCTTATAAAAAAACAGTGTTAAGGCGCCCGCTTTTAATTATATATACTCGAGCAACCCGAGTTCAAATCCCACTGCTGAAGCCAATAAAATTATTTCTTAGTGTTGATTTATCGCAATATGTGTCACCATTGAGGTGAAACATAAATACATTAGATAACGAAAAAAAGATTTGGAAGTTATGTGAAGTTTGCCAATCCGCATGCCATGCCGCGTTGTGGACTATGCTCTAATACCCTCTGTAAAAAAATTACATATAATAATGAAAAAATAAATAAATATAAGAGAATAGCAAACATTTCCGTTGATAAATATTTATAGAAAAAATGGATTAATAAAAAACCTATTGCTAAGTAAGTTATAAGCATGAACTCACTGCTACACCACCACTAGAGCAAACCACCGGTTGATGTATAGGGTGGTGACAGCACGACTATTAAACATTCTATTTGATAACAATATAAAATACATAGATCAAAATAGTACCGGACTGTGAGTCTGTATAGGAATTTTTATTTTATTAAAATAAATACCCTCCGTGCAGAGGAGGCCCTTCTCCAGCGGTGGGACATATTACATCACTTTTAATTTTTTTTTAAAAAAAAACCCCATGTACACCGGCATGTTATATTACTTTTTTTACATTAAAAGAAAAACCCCGCGCGTCCACAGACATCGACCAGCTGGTGACCATATCGGGCATGGTGATCCGCACGTCGGGCATCGTGCCGGAGATGCGCGAGGCGTTCTTCCGCTGCGCGGTGTGCGGCGCGGCGGCGGTGGCGGAGCTGGAGCGCGGCCGGGTGCCCGAGCCGGCGCACTGCGCCCACTGCAGCACCGCGCACTGCTACCAGCTGGTGCACAACCGCTCGCACTTCAGTGACAAGCAGCTGGTCAAGCTGCAGGAGGCCCCAGGTGCGGGCCGCCGGCTGTTCGTGTTTTTTTTTTATGTGAAAAGTTGTCGAGCGAGCGGGCGGTTCACCTGATGTTAAGTGAATACCTTATGCCACCCTGCTACACCCGAGGGTTGCAGATGCGTTGACTGACAACCTTTTGAAAGTTCGGCTCCGGCTACCTCACTCACCAGACGAAACGCGAAAGTATTGTGCTTCCACTTCACGCCGGTCTTCTGTGAGGTCGTGGTACTTACCTGGACGAGCCTGCCCATTTGTGCAACAGCCGAAGCTGCTGCATGGCCCTACCACAGTTGGTTAATTAGACGAACAAAGAACACTGCAACCTCTAAAATCTTTTGTAGCCTCTTCAAACGCAACAATACAACAGTATCAGTCTATCGCCGTCCACTGCTGAAAGTAAGCCTTCCCCAAAGTGCGCCAACTATCCCAGTCCTGGACAGCCCGCTTCTGGCCGCTGCCAGACCTTTCTTAAGCCACTGTTCTTTCTCTTTTAAGATATTGTCCCTTTACTGTAGTAGTATGCTGTACATTCATATATTTCACATGGACAAACACCAAGATCCAAAACAATTATCTATGGATCTGAATTGGAACCCCAAGGAAGGCCTGACTCTTAGCCCCTCACAGCCAATTAATTTCATTAGGGTTATTAATTTGGAAGAGGCTATCTAGCTTCGAAGGGAAGAATACAATAGACATTCTAGGTTAAAACAGTCTTAACGCAGCGCTCGTCTTTAACTCACGTTCCCCGTGCCCCTACAACATACATAACATGGCGCAGCCGGTATTTCAAGAGGACTAACATATATTAGAAGTGAATAATATTAGAAGTAAAAGAGAAGTGATTAAGTAAAGACTAAATTAATAAGTGCGAAAAGTGAAAAAATACGAACAGTTTGAAGTACAATGGAGGCAATTTTACAACCACCGCAACCGTTTATGTTCGAGAACAATCTAGTGAACGTGACATCTGGAAACTTGAGTAGGGAGTGGGAAAGGTGGAAGAAGAGTTTCATTATTTATTATGAAGCGTGTGAACTGAGTAAAAAAGATCCCAAAGTCCAAATAAACATTTTACTTCATATAATCGGTGAAAAATGTAGGGACGTGTATGATCAGATCGCGGGGAAATATGAAACGGTTAATAAAGTATTAGAAAAGTTCGACGATTTCTTTTATCCAAAAAAGAATTTAACGGTTGAGGTTTTTCACACGAGATCAGATTGAATTCGAGTCTGTCGAGCAGTATGTGTTCGAGCTAAACAAAATGGCGGTGAAGTGCGAGTTCAAAGACTTATGCCAAGACCTAGTACGAGACAGGCTAATATGTGGAGTAAAGGACGGTTCTCTGCGAGAACGCTTGCTAAGAGAACCCGATTTAACCTTAAAAAAGGCAGTAGATATTTGCAATTTAGCAGAATTATCTCGCGCTCGAGCCGTAAACTTAAAAACAGAAAGTTGAGTCAGTCACCACGTTCATGAAATATCGGACGGAAAGCAAGGAGTAACACAACAACATGGGGATCTTAATATGATAAAAAAGAAACATCAACGGGCGGCACAGTGGTCGCGCCCAGGCCCGTCAGGACAACAGGAGCGGTATCAGGACTCACGCAGTGCGGGAATCAAACTGGTTCAGGTCAACGAGAGGAGAGGAGGGGGTCGTATACACCGACGGCAACGTATCGCAGTTGTTTACATGGTCGAACCCATGCAAAGTTTAAACGCCCAGCATATGGACAACAATGTTTAAAATGTAAAAAGTTCAACCACTATACAAGGATGTGTGGAGTCTATGAGGTGCGCGAGGATTCTTCCGATCAGGTAAATAAACATTTAAATACCATGTGCAATGACTGGCTAGTGTGTCTGCAAATGTGTGGTAGAAACGTAACTTTTAAATTAGATACCGGTGCTGACGTGAATGTGTCCCTATAAATAAATTGAAAGAATTAAATATTCAACGATCTCAGTTGACAGGTACATCCTTAAAGCTACAAGGTTATTCAGGAGGTGAGATAAAAGTAATAGGCAAGTGTTTTCTAAAAGTGAAACATGAAATGGACACTCATATTTTACAGTTTATTGTGGTCGAGTCGGATTCGGTTCCAATTTTAGGCAAGAATTCATGTGAGGAGTTAAACTTAGTTAAAAGAGTTTTCACGGTAGAAAAGAAAAATATATTTTTAGATGAATATCCAGACGTTTTTACAGGTATAGGTTGTTTGCCAGGATATTGTAACATCGAGTTAAAAGAGGATGCTAGACCAGTTGTTCATGCACCAAGAAAATTACCATTAGCATTAAAAGATAAAATTAGTAGTAAATTACAAGAAATGCAGACGCAAGGTATTATTGCCAAAGTCGAACATCCAACGGATTGGGTAAACAGTATGACGGTAGTGAAAAAGCCTAACGGTGACCTGCGTATATGCCTAGATCCCCAGGACCTTAACAAAGCCATTCGTCGTGAGCACTTTAAGTTACCAACCTTAGAAGAAATAACATCCAGTTTGTCGGGGGCTAAGTATTTCAGTACTTTAGACGCAAAGCATGGGTTTTGGCAAGTAGCGTTACATGAATCCTGTACGGATTTATGCACGTTTAACACGGCCTTCGGTAGATTTAAATTTCTTAGGATGCCATACGGCATTTGTTCTGCGTCAGAGATATTTCATAGAAAATTGTATGAGCATTTTAACGATATGGAAGGAGTTATACTTTTTGTAGATGATTTATTGATATACGCAAATTCTAAAGAAGATCATGACAAAAGACTAAGAGCCGTATTGGATAGGTGTAGGAAGATAAATATTAAGCTAAATCGTCAAAAATGCAAAGTTGGGTTAAAAGAGTTAAAATATTTAGGGCACAAGATTACTAACGCTGGCATCAAACCTGACGACAGTCATATTTTAGCCATAAAAAACCTTCCTACACCACAAAATACAAAAGACGTCGAACGATTTCTAGGTATGGTTACATATGTTGGTAGATTCGTTCCAAGTTTATCTGAAAAAACATATATTTTACGAGAATTGTTAAAGAAGTCTGTAGAATGGCACTGGGACCATCGGCATCAAGAGTGTTTTGACACTATAAAAGAGTATTTAACGAATGCAATATTATAGTCTCGAAAAACCAGTAGTTATTTCCGTAGACGCTAGTAAGCACGGTTTAGGCTGTTGTTTACTTCAAAATAACCTACCAGTCTCATATGCGTCAAAATCGTTGTCAAAATCCGAGCAATCCTATGCACAAATAGAAAAAGAATTATTTGCTTGTGTTTATGCGTGCGAAAGATTTTATAGTTATATTTATGGACGGAGCGATGTAACAATAGAAACAGATCACAAGCCGTTGATCAGTATAATAAATAAACCGTTAGCAAACGCACCCGCGCGATTACAAAGAATGATGATCTATAAACTAATTATTTCTACACAATAATGGACTGAATTAAATTTATGTAAGTACTTAGGAGATACAGAAGCGTTAATATCTTTTGTCTAGCATGATTCTTTAAGACAGTACATAATTATACAACTTGTGAATTATTATATAATAATATTATATAAATACCTACATGTTGAGGGTGGATGGAAAACGAATTAATAAAACAGTCTTAACGCAGAGCTCGTCTTTAACTCACGTTCCCCGTGCCCCTACAACATACATAACAGTGCACATTCCACACAAATTATAATCAACATCCACTTTTCCCTCAGATGATGATTTAATGACTCCGTTGTGCAATTGCATAGGTATTGGCTTCGGAGCCGGGGGTCTTGGATTCAATTCGCAGTCGAGACAGCTATTGACCAAAGTGACCCACAGATAATTATTTCGGATCTGGGTCACGGTCCATGTGAAATTTATGTATGTAAAATGTTACACAGAATAACTTTATACTAATATATGGCAATTTTTTCGTAGGGAAGACTACAATAGATCTAGGTCGCAGTGGTCGTTGGGACTTACGCCCCAAGCCCCTCCACACGAACCACAATCAAAGTCACCCCCGCAATGGTCGTTGGGACTTACGCCCCGAGCCCCTCCACACAAATAATCAAAGCTAACCCCCCAGACGACATGCCGGCCGGGCGAACACCGGCGACGGTGAGCATAATGGCGCACGGCGCGTTAGTCGAGGCGGTGGGCGCGGGCGAGCGCGTCTCCGTCACGGGCGTGTTCCGCGCCGCGCCCGCCGCGGTGAATCCCCGCCGCGCCACGCTGCGCGCGCTGCACCGCACACACGTCGACGCGCTGCACTACCGCAAGGTGCACAGCGACCGCCTGCACACGGACGAGGGGTGCGTTTGTGTGCGTGCGCGTTCGTTGGACGTCTGCCGAGACCCCTGGCTCCCGCTCATTTTATTCTTGGTACTAAAAACAATGCCAAACCGCAGTGGCGCGTGGTGGACTATGCCCTGTTATCCTCTGTACAGCGGAGGCCTTTACCCGCCAGTGGGAGCTGATACTTTTTTTTTTACTATAAACAAGTCCCGTAGTCCTGCTCCGTTAAATGACTCGCGCTCTGCACTTGCAAGTCACGTGGCTCACGCTAATTTAATACTTTGATAGTTTTGTGTACTTAACAGTTAAAAAAAGAAAAGACCGCAGAGTTTCTTCACAGTTCTTCTCTGGCAGGTCTAATTTAGTGAGCCGGTGGTAGTTTTGAGGTTCAATAAGATCTTGAAATAAGACTATTGAATAAAGAGATTTTGTGTGAGGCTTTTAACAGATGTGCTGTATTGACAAAAAGAGGTTTTAATATATGTTCTACTGAAAGTTGCTCAGCAGCTGGCATTTGCGCAAGCTAGAGAGATGAGATCGTGTGTGTTGGTCTGACCCGCTATGTTTGGAAGATGTTAGTGTGTGCGTGGTTTGTGTTTCGGTAAAAAGTGCGCGATTTATGAAAGATGTAAAGAGCAGATGCTCTTATTCATTCATTGATCGAAGTGAATCCGCGCTACTTCGCATTGTAATCTGGGGGAATACACTATTTATGTAATGATTTTTTTCGCTACTTGTGGAATTGCTACCAGTTATAAATATAAACATTTTTATCTTTGTCTTTAAAGTTATATAATGTAATTACTTTTTTTCACAGAAAAGAACATCGCTTCCCACCGGAGCGTGTGGAGCTATTCAAGGCGCTGTCACAACAGCCGGACTGCTATGAGCGGCTGGCCCGCGCCATAGCGCCCTCAATTTACGAGAATCTCGACATCAAAAAGGGCGTCCTACTGCAGTTGCTTGGCGGGACCAAGAAGAATTTTAATGCCGCCGGACGGACACATTTCAGGTATTTCTTTTTGTTTCAATATCTTACGTATACGTGTTTCAATATTATAGAATAAAATAAAGAAAAACCAAAAAAATTTTTTTTTACTCCAAGCACACTTGGCAGAATTGTTGCGGCAATCATGGGACGTTACTGTTGGCCAAAATATGTGTCACAACTAACAGATATTCCGGGGACATGTGACGGCCTGCAAACCGAAGAAGAAGAAGAAGACAGAAAAACCAAAGAAGGTGCCTTCTACATTTCCCCATATGACTAGAATCTCTATGAAGTAATTATCCCGATGTGGAAAGTGGTAAAAGAAATTGAGATGAGGGCTCTGAATATACTGACAAAGATTAGACAGATTGTCCTAGCCATATTAAATTAGCTTTATTAAGGGCCTATTCATATGGGTCATGTGTTTAACAGTCTGTAAATTAGACATTTTACAGCTAATTCCTCTGGATAATAGTTATTTATATTATTTCAGGTCAGAGATCAATATCCTGCTGTGCGGTGACCCTGGAACCAGCAAATCGCAGCTTCTGCGATGGGTGCACGCGCTGGTGCCTCGAGCCCAGTACACATCAGGGCGTGGCTCGTCAGCCGTCGGTCTTACCGCCTACGTCACCAAGGACCCAGACACTCGCCAGCTCGTGCTCCAGACGTGAGTCACATCTTCCTACTGATTGTTGTCGACCGCCATACCCGGTAAATTTTCCGAGGCATTATGTCGTTGTGTTTGTGTGCAATTATGCCCTGCAGAATACTGCATATACAATGTGACGGATGATCGACTGGGTGATTTCTTTTTAATGCATGGAGGTGGTAAATAACTTGGTGGGGAAATTGCTAAGCTATTGGGTTCATGGGTTTTATTCCCACTCAGTACAAGTATTTCTGTCACCCAATGATAATTATTCGCTATCTGGATGTTTATTTCCAAGGGCAAGCGAATCGGCGTAAAAAAACTTAACTTTCCCAACCCCACCCTAGATGGGATAAGGGCAGAAGAATGAAGAAAGAGTTGGTAAATGGACACCCAAATATAGCCCTCCACAACACCAGTTCAACCACATTACAATATGTAACATTGTAATATAATAATTTTCATTCTCATTTTTCCATTATCATATGCATTTTGGTACCTTAAAGCGCTTCACTGAGTTCACTGTGAACAGTCCAAGGCCATTAAGATAAAAATCCTTGTTGGTTTAAATTATGCATTTAAAGGTGAAATATTTTTCTTACAAAACTGGTTTTTCTAAAACAACATAATGTATTTTTTTAACGTAAATAAGAGTTTCAATGTTTCGTAACTTCATTACTAATAAATATAGATTCTCATTATTTTTGTTGATATTTGGCTTTTGATAAATTATATATTAATAGATAAATAATTATTTTGGTTAATAATTTTCTTGATAGCTACTTTCTCTGGATTAATTTATAAATATTTATTATATTTATTACAGAGACATAATTTTCTTTAACATTTTTTTTCGGCATCAGTAAGTTACAATATAATAGTTTTTATTTTAACAGGGGTGCACTGGTTTTGGCTGACAATGGTATATGCTGCATAGATGAGTTCGACAAAATGAACGATTCCACGCGCAGTGTTCTTCATGAAGTAAGTATAAAAAATACGTACAATAATTTTACTGAAGTAAATATTTATCAGAGTCATCAAAATCTATAAAATATATAATATACAACTCAATATCTATTATACTATACAGCGTGTCGTTACCATCGCGACAATAAATGAAAACACGTATAGAGGATAACTTTTTAAAGTTGTATTAAACATTTAAATTCTTTAAACATCAATATTTACAGAGTTATTAAATTTTCCAAAACAAAGAATTTTAGAACACCCTTATGTATAAAACTGTAACGTAAAGTTCATTTGTAACTGTCAAAGCATATGAATGGGTTGAATGAATTTAAAAGAGACAAAACATACTGTTAGAAGGAGAGGCTTGTAATGCGACGCTGTAGCAACGAATGAAAAATTCTCTGAATGTATGAATCAGTCAGTTGTAGTTGTATAGGTGTTACAAATTTTGTTTCGTTTTTACTTAATTAGTTTGTTTGAAAAAAAAATTTTAATTATGGATTCTTTTTAACATTCACATTTTTTTATGATTCTTAGCAAGTAGCGTTAGACGTGTGTTCATTTATTCTCGCGGTGGTAATGATACGCTGTATATAACCCTGGTGCATGTGGCTAAAATCGTCTTTTTAATGTTTTGAAGCTTACTAATATTTTAATCTAATGTATTACATAACAATACATTCAAATGTAAGGTTTCTGTGAAGATGAACATTTTATATTGACTATAATTTAATGGTTACTTAACAACCCAATGTCGAGTCATGGTATTGTTACTCCATATAATCTTAATGATTTCTAATGCTACACTTTTAAAAACATATGTTCTGGATTTTATCATGTTCAATTTGGTTTTTAAATTCTCAAAACACTTTTCAGTATTCATGGCCAGTCTTGTGACATGATAGGCTTATACAATTAAAATACTCTTTTTCTGTTGCAGAAAACTTGAAAAATTTGTATTTTTCAGGTGATGGAGCAACAAACCCTGTCGATTGCCAAAGCCGGCATCATCTGCCAGCTGAATGCTCGCACCTCTATCCTAGCTGCTGCCAATCCCGCCGAATCGCAATGGAACAAGAACAAGACCATTGTCGAAAATGTACAGTTGCCCCACACGCTCATGTCCAGGTACCTAAAAGTAAAGTAATAAATAGCCTGTATATGTCACACTGCTAGGCAAAGAACTCCTGTGTAGGGGGTATTAGAGGAATGGAATGGCAGACGTCACATTTCTTTGATTTGAGAATGGGATATGGAAAAAAATATTATTCAATTATTTTTTTTTAAAAATATTCATGCAATAATGTGCATGAATATGAATACAATAAATCATCAATGTATACTAGTTGTATATTATGTGGTCTTTTGTATGAATAACCAAAAACTGTATTGTCAAATTTGTTTATAAAGCTTTTTGGTTAATTTTGAAAAACTTTTCAGGTTTGATTTAATATTCTTGATTCTGGATCCACAAGATGAGATATTTGACAGACGGCTGGCATCCCATCTTGTTTCTTTATACTACAAAGATCCCACTGACCCACAGGAAAATGAGGATGTTGTTGTAAGTTTTATCCCTGTGAACATATTATAAAATATTTAGAAAAATACATTTATAAAGTAATTCAATTAATTCAAGTAATTCAAAGGTTATTCCCAGTTAAAAGGTAAATCCCAGTTAACGCGCAAAGCCTGTCTAAATCAAGTTAAAGTAATTTCTTAAAGATAACTTTTAAAAGGGTATAATATAAATTAATTAATGATAATAATCGCCTGTTTCTTATACGTTACATGAACGTCATTACGAAACGGTGTGGTTGATTTAAAAACTATGAATAAAAGAAGAAATACATGAAATGTATATTTAATATTTCGATGAATAAATTATTTCATTTGATTTTCCGGGTAAGTACCACGACCTGACACACGGTGGTAGGGCCACGCAGCAGCCTCGGCTGTTGCACGAATGGGCAGGCTCGTCCGGGTAAGTACCACGACCTCACAGAAGACCGGCGTAAAGTGGAAGCACAATACTTTCGCGTTTCGTCCGGTGAGTGAGGTAGCCGGAGCCCAACTTTCAAAAGGTTGTCAACCCTCGGGTGTAGCAGATGTCCATGGGCGGCGGTATTTACTTACCATCTGCTCGTTTGGCACTTTTCACATAAAAAAATGTCAATGTGCATTACAGAATATGGGGCTGATGCGCGACTACATTGCTTTTGCGAAGGAACACGTGCAGCCGACATTGGGAGAGCCAGCACAGCAGAGGCTTATAGACGCCTACGTCGACATGAGGTTTCTTCCTGGATTTTTAAACTATAAAATTTAAACAGAATTGTATATTATAACTATAACTATTGTAGTAATATTTATACACAATATTCATAGATTTCTCCATGTTACTCTTCATAAATCTTTATTACTTTATTCAAAAACTCGTCATAGATTACATTTTTACTTACAACACTGTTATACATATGTATACATATAAAATAACAAAAGAGCTTATTTCAAAATCTGTTATAAATATTATTTATCCATCCTTCCTTTAACAATGAAAAGGAGCATAAAACATTTTAGGAAAAACATTAAATTCGTACCCCTTAGAAGTCATTACATATAGAAATAGGACGAATATGGTGGCTTATATACACTTTGGAATATTGCGACTGTGGATGCTTACACAGCCTTTATAATATGTATTTCGGGTTTTCATAGTACAAGTAAAACATTTACTGTTTTAGACGAGTTGGTAGCGGGCGAGGTCAGATCTCCGCCTACCCGCGTCAGCTGGAGTCCTTAATTCGCCTCGCTGAAGCTCACGCCCGAGTTCGATTGTCACCGGTGGTGGAGATCCTTGATGTGGATGAGGCTGCCAGGTAATAGGTTAATCACAGACCTGTAGTCCCAGACTCATAGAATAGGGCTAAGGTATCCCCTGGCTGTCGTAAAAGGGGATACGGATTGGCAGCAGTACGAAGTGGTCTCATCCTGCTGCAAGAGGGCGAGGGAATCGGAGAAGGTTTATCCTGCGACGAGGCAAGGGGCCGAGGGGGTTTTAGCGGGTAAGAAACCCACATAACCCTGTCAAGTAAGGTGACAGGGTATCTTTCGAAGATTTTCCCCTGATATAAAAAAAAGGTAATATGTTAATCAAGAAATCTTTTATAAAACAAACGAATTAGCCGCAGACGGCGCTATGGCTTAAGTAACCTTGCCAGTTGGCACTATTTAGTATTGCGCGCGGTGTCATCGTTTCGATCCATAATTAATTATAGTTTAGTCCGTCGCATCGAGCATCACAGAAGTTTTTGCAACTAGCGGCCACGATTTAATTTGTAAACAAATTGTTGTCAATTTTAGGTGTCACTTGTTTGACTAATATTGTGATCTCAGGTTGTGATTATAATCCTGGTATTATTGTCATTTAATATTTTTAGGGTAAATGGCCAGTAGTGGGGATCGGAACCTACACACTCTGGCGCAATGCAACAAAAAACAAATTGCCATTCGATTGCGATCCAATGCCGAGGTTCGAACCATCTGAGGGGTGTACCGGAGAGCAGTTACGTTACATATTCCGCCGAAGCTGTCACCAAAAAAAAACAAAAGCAATAGGGTTGTCGTACGACATTGCCCACTTGAATCGGCAGGCTGCACCGCGAGGCGCTGAAGCAGTCGGCGACGGACCCGGCGTCGGGGCGCATCGACGTGGGCATCCTGACGACGGGCCTGGGCGCCGCGGCGAGGCGGCGGCGCGCGGAGCTGGTCGCCGCGCTGAGGGAGCTGCTGCGGCCGATGGCGCGCCCGCTCACCGTGCCCCACTCGAAGCTGCTGCAGGAGCTCAATCAGACGTCGCAGATCGTACGTGATCATGTTTTCTTTTTAAAAACATTGCCCTTACTTGTTGTAAGGACGTTGTACAAACATAAATTTTTACGCGGACACCAGATGCGAAACAACTATCTGCGGGTCACAAAAATAGTTGTCTCGTGTAGGAATCGAACCCACGACCTTGGCGACTAAGCCACAGAGTCACCTATGTCCCGTCTTTTCTACATTTTTTATGTGAAAAGTTGCCAAACGAGCAGTCGGTTCATCCGATGGTGAGTGAATACCGCCGCCCATGGACATCTGCTATACCCGAGGGTTACAGACGCGTTGACAACCTTTTGAAAACTGGGCTCCGGCTACCTCACTCACCAGAAGAAACGCGAAAGTATATGTCATACTTGCACTTTACGCCGGTCTTCAGTGAGGTCGTGGCACTTACCCGGACGAGTCTGCCCATTCGTGCAGCAGCCGAGGCTACTGCGTGGCCCTACCACCGTTAAATGTATGTTTGGAAGGGGTTGTGTTGAACCGACAAAAGTTGAGTTACAGGAGAGCCTACTCCTACCTTAAAGGCCGGCAACGCAATTGCGAATCAACTCATGTTGAAAATGTCCATGATCGTTTGTCGTTTCCTTAAAAAAAAAAACAACGGTGGACGGTGACTTAGGTCTATTGCAGTGTGCCTGCCCTTCGAAAATATTGCCCCCTCAGTGTAGGATACCATTATCACAAATGATTTTTCTTGTTTTTCCAGACGATAACTCGCGATCATCTTGACGAAGCGTTACGCGATCTGCAGGATGAAGGCAAGGTGACAGTTGTTAGCCACACACACATACGACTGGTTTGAGGCAACTTGAACAAAACCCAAATGATAAGAAAACTTAATGCGTCCACACAATACGGAGATTTTTAGGGATACACTCGTTTATCTATGCACCATGCAATAATACTATTGGAGAACTAAAGTGGGCCAATAAGTATTTTTTGAAATATTAAAAAACGGATGTGAATTAGTAATTAAGATTTAATAAATTCTCAATTTTTACAGTTACAAATAAAACTAGTTTTATTGTAATCGTTAATAATTTAGCCCTTAAGTAGATTAATATAGGCATCGTGATCATCAGCTGATAATTTTTCACGAATATTGTAAACTAGCTGCTGCCCACGCTGCGTCTGCGTAGAATAGGCTGAAGGCGTAACATTCAGACAGAAAGACAGATATACATCAAAATATGTTAAATATGTTTTATTTTGATGTAAATGCTATATTATTGTAAAGTTTCATTAAAATCCATTAAGTATTTGCGTGAAAGAGTCACATCCATCCATACCATACATACAAACTTTCGCTTTTATATTAGTAAAGATGTTCCTGAATATGATTGTCATATATTAGTTAACGGAATATAATAGCAAATGCTGCTATTTTTACACAATTTCACTGCATGTATAATGTACGTATTACGTATTTTTATAATGAATTTAAATTACAAAGGTTTATCTATTATAAAAGGTTTATCTATTGAGAAAATTTATGATTTGAATATCATATGGATTTGAAAACAATGATCTATCCAATTAGGGACTAATTGTTAACAGGTGGGAAGATTGTATTTTCTCTAATAACTTTATTCCTCACAATCAAAACACATCCGATATGCACCCATGAATATTGGATGGGATGCATCATGTTGATCGTAAAGGCATTCGAGAAAGTTTGGCAATATGGCTCGCTCGTCTTTCACGCACGTTACACAAACACATCAGAAGAAACTTCAGCTACCTAGTGCAAAATAAATTTATCCCCACTGCAAGATGGTATCAAGGAAATGACGATCTGGACGTCTATTGCCGATTGGACGTTATGTGGCCACTATATAACAAAAAGTTCCCTCGAGTGAGTCAAAAATCATACCAGTCCTCTGATAGCAAAACGCAGGTTTTTTTGTGAATTACCAACCGGTCACTAAAGCGATCGTTCGCCAATTTCGCTCGCCTAACATACTCATCGACCCGGTCTATGACTTAGGCGAGGGTTCCGCCCGACAACAGTACAAAAAAGCATTAATCACTACATAGTATAAAACAAAGTCATCCCGCTGTCTGTCTGTCCCTATAAATGCTTAGATCGATAAAACTACGTCGCGGATCTTGATACATTTTTTTTTACTAGATAGAGTGATTAGAGAGGAAAGTTTATATAGTATAATACATTGCACCCTTGCGGAGCTTGGGCGGGTGGCTTGTGTACTATTGAAGTTGCAAGTTTTTGAAAGCGTCGAGAAATGTACACATCAATCTGATCTATTAGTTTCCTGAAATCCTTATGAACGAAAATTCCATTTTGATATGAAATCAAAAGCAATAATACAATAAATACTTTTTATTTACATCACCATAAAAATCCATCAAAAAGCCTGAAAATCAAAAACAACAGTATTTATGTTAAGTTCGACACTTTTTAAAAGTAGATAAATTAATTCCAGTTCTGTAGGTCCTATAAAATTAATTTGTGGTAAAAACATGTTACAAATTGTGGCTTAATAAATAAACTATTTGCTAATAAATTGTATATTTTCGTACCTCTCAAGAGGATACGTAACCCGTATAAGCGTGTTTATAATTCGAAAAAGTAGCGCAAAGAGTAAATAAGAATGAAGCATTGAAGTAACAAAGTTAAGAGAAGTCATATCAATTCCTAAAATTCTTTTTTGCAGAAACTAAATTTTTATTTAGTGAAGTCAGAAAAACACGTTTATTTTTCCATTATTACAAATGCACTAATTATAAAACAGTTAGAAATATAGATAATAAAATATTATACTAGTATCTACAGTTTAGTAAACATTTGAAAACTTAAGCAAACACAATAAATATAAAAAAGATTTCTGTTCAGTTACTGTAATATTATAGTTTTGTATGTTAAGATTTACCCTTTAATAACGATGGAGCTTTTTGTTTAAAGTTTTCATTTAATTTACCCAAAAGTAAATATTTTAAAAGAGAATGATTTGATAGTAATAAAACTTGTATTAAGGCACTTTTTAGTAACAACATAACAAAATGACATCAAATGAACAACAGCACATAAATCTCTCAGACTTACTTTGAATTACTTTTAATTTGGATATGACAATAATAACAGTTTATTGTCGATAATTCTATAAAAAAAATTTGCATATCAATCACCTGAAGTAAAATCGATTTATTTGCTATAGATGGTACATTATAGTACTTACGCCAATATTACTTTCATATCATTATGTATTCATTATTTCCACAAATGTATACTTCCTATTTAAAGTAATTCCATCAACCAAGTTGTAAAAACACAAACATAGAATAATGTAACTTTTAAAACAATAGTCAGAGACTTAAAAATTAAAAATAAAACAGCATCAAGAGAAACTAAAAATAAACTCTCATCTAGTAAGTAATCATCTGATTTAAAGGCAAAGTGAAAAGCGTGATTGGTAGCCACTTTTCATCAAGCTTCTTGTGTCAGAAGATGTCAGGTTCATGCCTACTATATAAGGCAACTTGTGACAGCGAAGCGGTTTGTATACAATTACATGAACAAGATATATAAATCTACCAGTTATCAAGAGGTGGGTCTAGATTCCTCTGAGCGATTTTCGTTGGTCTCGGGTGGGTTTTTTATGTGATCACGAGGGTCATATGCGTCAGCCCTTTCGCACGCCTCCACCACGTACTTGTTGAACTGCTCTGGCTTGTCCAGATATATGTGGTGCCCAGCGCCGTTGATAACCTGTCACCAAAGTTATTTGATATATGATGTTGTATCTTGTATCTTGTATTAACTGATGTTTGTGCTTTCAGTCCAGAGACTATTAAAGCTTCATCTGACGCAGAACCGGTGGGCTAGCCAGAACCCACGGGTTTGGGCCCTCCGCTGTGGGTAGGGCCGCGCATGTGCTCATGCGTGCGTTTAACTACGGCATGTCATCTAAGGGCCATCGAAGTAGCGGTGCGGACCGAGACCCCGATGGCCGTCGACTGTGTTTTTAGCTAATCGGTGGCTGGGGGCGGTGAGAACCGCCCTGGAACGCGGGTGTACCTTGTGTACGCGTTGTGTTGGTCTCGCCGTGCTCGGAGGCGAGGGCGAACTAATGTGTTTGTTGCTACACTAACTGTGTGTGTAGTGTTATCCGGCGGGACCCCCGACGGTGGGTCCGACGTACCTAAGTCCCCTTCCTCGACCAGGTCGATGAGGACGTTTCGCGGGCGACGCTTGTTGACGCTCGCGTTTAGATCGGGTTGGTAATTTGCTGCGCTTACCACCAGAGGGTTGGGATGATGTTCGGCTCTATCGAAGAACCGTTTGGTCAGGTCTTTGAAAAATTCGCGAATCATCGGGAGTCTGCAATCACTGTGCAGGTCGACGTTGCGTTGATACCACTGCGCACCGGTTGCGCGGCGGATGAACTTATTTTGCACTACTTGCAACTTGTGCAAGCGAGTAGGGTGCGTGTGGGCGAAAATCATGCATGCGTAGGACATGATTGGCCGTACGCAAGCTTTGTATAACAGTAATTTGTGTCTTAAGGACATTTTACTTGACTGGTTAGTTAAAGTGCTTAGCCGGCCGGAGACGAACGCGGCTCTGTTACGGACGTTATTAATATGCGCTGTGAATGACATACGCGAGTCGAAAGTGACTCCTAAATATTTTACCTTTTTCTCCCAGGGGAGCGGTTGGCCATAAAGAGATATTTGCCCTAGCATTCTGCATTGGCGACGACCTTTATAAAGATGTGACGGGTAAGTACTTCGTGTGAAGTGAATCGCCACACTCTTTTCGGGATTTACTTCAACTCTCCATTTGCGGAACCAATCGCCGAGGCGGTTGGCGGCGCTTTGGAGTCGAGTGGTTAGTTGACTAAGGTTGCGGTCTGAATAAAAGAGCGCCGTGTCATCCGCGAAAAGCGCGAGATTGACGTGGGGGTCTTTTGGTATATCACTCGTGTAGAGCGTAAAAAGTAAGGGTGAGAGGCAGGAGTCTTGTGGAACGCCAGCCGTGAGGCGGCGGCTAGTGGATAGGGCGCCTTCAACTCGATATCGAAAGGAACGGTTCGACAAGAAGGCCTGAATGGTGTGTACAAGCCTGTCTGGCACTTTGAGTGAGAACAGCTTGTAAAGCAAGCCGTTGTGCCAGACTTTGTCGAATGCCTTTGCGACATCGAAGAAAAGAGCCCCCGTGCTAATATGTTTAGGGTGATTTAGGCCTTTTAGGATATGTTCCGTTAGGCGGTATAATTGATCGGGACAGGAATGTCTTGCTCGAAAACCGAATTGTTCCGCCGGTAGAAGGCCGTTGGAAAACACGTGGTCTTTGAGCCTGTTTAATAGAAGCCGCTCGTAAAGCTTCCCCAGGCAACTAAGGAGGCTGATGGGACGATAACTAGAGGGCTGATTGGCTGGTTTATTCGGCTTGCGAATGCCGATAACCGTGGCTTCTTTCCAGTCGTCCGGAAAGGAACAACTGGAGAGTAAAGTGTTGTAAATGGTCGCCAGTAAACAGATAAGTGGGCCAGGGAGAGCTTTAAGGATTTTATTACTAATATTGTCTGGGCCCGGGGCGGATTTGGGTTTTAAATTTTTGATAATATCTTGGACCTCTTCGGGGGTCACTGAGTTTAATGGATCGCCTTCCGGTGGAAGCGCAGCCCTAGTTTCGATAACGCGGTCCACCTCCGTTAGGTGGGCTGTGTCGATGTGTTCGCGCGATGGCGTACATTGCTGCTCTAGGTTGTCCGCAAGGCATTCGGCTTTTTCGGAGTCATCTAGGGCTAATGAAGTGCTATTAGGCATTGCTAACGGCGGTAGGGATTCGCGGGGCTCTGCTTTCAGACTGCGGGCCAACCGCCAGTAGGCGGTGTGCGATGGCTCGATGTCCTCTAGGAGATTGTCCCACGTTGTATGTCGGTGTTCCGATACACGATCTTTGACTTCTAGCTGAAGGCGTCGAAGTAGGGTTCGGTTCGATTCCGATCGGTATCGGTCGAAGGCGCGTTTGGCTGCATTTTTCTGTCTAATTAGCAGTCTTAGGTCGGGCGGAAAGTTAAACCGTCGGTCGCCCGACAGTTTCACCGTCCGTTCCGAGTCTGTGACTGCGGAAGTAATGGTTTCTCGGAGACTTGCTATCGCTCGATTTGCGTCATCGAACGTAGCTATCGTCTCGGGTAAGTCTACTAAGTCCTGGGGGTCCAAGGCCTTGAGTTTGACCTCAAGGCGATGCCAGTCCACTACGGTTTTGGTCGGAGGGACCGCGCCGGCGTTCTGGCCCAGTTTGCACAGGACCGGCCTGTGGTCTGATTCTAATTCTTGGATTGTCTCTATCGACGTGATGTCGAGGGAGACCTCCTTGAACAACATGATATCAAGAATACTCGGTGTCGAATGCTGGTAATCGTCCACCGTAGGATATCTTGTGGGAGTCACAGGAGCGATTATGCTATAATTTAAATCGTCAGATAAGTTAAAGAGCTGCCTACCGTTGTTGTTAGCGCAAGTTTGGGGGTCCCATGAGCCGTGTTTGCAGTTTAGATCTCCTGCAATTATCACGGAAGGGCCTAAGTTAAGTAGCGTTTCTAAATCGCTTTGTAGAAGAGTTTTATTCCCCGAGAGGTAGGCTGAAACTAGTACAAGCGGCCTGTGGCCGGTGAGCGCTAACCTACACGCGGATGCCTCTATATGTCTTAGCTCTGGGATATCGAGCGGGCTACAGTGCAAGGACCGTTTATAATATATTAAGGTACCTCCCAGACGGTTTGCTAACCGGTCGTGGCGGACTATATTATAATTTGCGATTTTTGGATCGCGTCTGCTAGGTTTCAAGAAGGTCTCTTGCACTAGAAATATATCGACGTTATAATCGCGAAGGAATTCTGCGATTTCGTCCCTTTGGCCCCTAATGCCGTTTGCGTTAAAATACGAAACAACCAGAGCCCGAGGTTTTAATCTACCTGCGGTTGTACTTTCCATTTTAGTTTTAGTAGCGGTTCTAGGTAACGACGCGGCGAAGCGCGGTTTTATTGCCCGGACTATAAACCTTTATGGTTGATTTGTAAACACCCAAAGGGCGTCTACAAGTTTTTTGTGCTCGTTGAGCGCATTAAGTCGATCGGTGCCACATGTGGCGGCCGATAACTTTGTAGATAGGACGGCGAGCTCTTCCCGGTTTATGCGTTCCAGGAAGCTGCAGATGTTTGCCATTTGGGCAAAAGGGTCGTCTTGGTTCGCGGAAACGACCGGTGTAATAAAATGCACCTGCGGCCTCGGTGCTTGTTGTTTGACAGGCTGCGGTTGGAATGTCGTCGGTCGTGAGGCGACCGGAGGCGCGGCTACCTGCGCGACTGCCTGAGGTTTCGCCCAGGCGTTTACGACGGGTGCGGGCGCGGGAATGTACTTCGCCGGCGCGGATTTCGGGGCCGCGATTTTCGCGAGCGTAATTTTTGCGGGTGCTTTCCTCGCGGGGGTTTTTGGAGCTTTAGCGCAGCCCCTGTAGCTAGCCGGGTGGCCGGTAGTCAAACAATTTACGCAGTCCGGTGGATCTGCGCAATCTTTAGGACGCGTGCAATCTGTCGTGCCGTGGTCACCGATGCATTTGACGCACCTAGGGTGAGCAAAACAGTTGCGGGCTGTGTGGCCATAGTGTTGGCAGTTATGACACTGCGCAACAACGCCTGACTTCCGTGGAGGCTCAACGACGAGTTCGCTAAGCCCACAGAGCCTCTTCAAATTAAAAATTGCCTTACCTTCCGGGGTAGGGTCCAACTCCACCATTACAATGTCCATCGGGACACGGGTTCTGGGGTGACGTAGGCGACGAACGGCGTGCACCGGGTATCCCTGAGTGCGGATGTCGATTTTTACATTGTCGACATCCGACTCTTTCGGGATTCCCTTTATGACTACCCGAAGTTTGCGTTCTTCAGGCAGCGAGTAGGTATGGAAACCTACTTTGTTTTCGCGTAAATATTTAGTGACGCGGCGGAAGTCATCGATGCTATCGAGGTATACACGGATACCTTGATGGGTGTTCTTCGACCGGGGGTCTCGAATATTGTGGCGTTCGAACCATACGCAAATTTGATGCCATTTAGCTTTCTCCTGGATGATGATAGGCGGAGGAGGCTTGGCTTTTCTTTCGGCGGCGTATTCGGGTGCCGGTTGGACTGCCGCGGCCGCCTTTTTGGCGGGCGTCGCAGTGGATCTATTAATTGAGGTGGCGGCCTCGCTTTCGGGGTCGCTATCTACAGCGGGGCGTTTCTTGCCCTTCTTTTTTCGTCCAGTGACGACGGTGAAGCCGTCGTCATTGGGTTTACCGGCGGGAGTTAAATCTACCTCCATATCCGATCCGCCGTCCGAGTATGAGTCGAGTACGACGGTGCACAAGGAGGCCGGGGTAGCTTGCGAGGAAGGCGCGACGGGCGTGTTCGCAGCGGCGGATGTCGACGCGACGGGCGCTTCTTGCGTCGCGGAAGGCAACGGGGTTACGGACGCAGAGGGCGCTGGAGATGGCGGCGATGCGATTGCCGGTGAAGGCGGGCTGTCGTTGGCGTATTCAACGACTAATCGTTGTTCGGATTCGAACGCTAGGTAGCTTTCCCAAATGTCGGGACAGCGTTGTCGGACGAACTCCTCGAAAAGGGAGCCCATCGTAAAGTATGTGCCTTTGGGGCTTAGGCCCCGCCGGCGTGTGTAAACTTAATAAGCCTCCCCACCTTGCGGCAGGGAGGAGTGTGCCTAAAAATAACACTTAATTCGCCTGCGCTTTAGGTGCGCTAGGGTGAGTACCTAGCTGTCGCCCAATGCAACAAGCACACAGTTAAAAATTAGGCAATGCCGCCTCTGAGGCGAGAAATGTATGTAGAATTCTACTTACGGACAGGAACCTGCCTACGAGCACAACACTACACTAACACTAAACTATTGCACTACTTGCACAAATATTTAAATTGCAACCAAAGTTGCGAGTAGCGTCTAATTCGGGTGGCATGTGCCCTCCGTCTTAGAGAGACGTCCTTTCCGTACGAGAGCACGAAGCGGAATGGATATATGATGTTATGTCATGACATGTAGTTAGTTACAATCACATTTAACTCAAAGTATATGTTTAATTTTTATTCAATATAGTAATATATTTAGTAGTGAATCATTTACTAGCTTGTATTTTGACATTGTTCACAATTGCGAATTAATATTTTTTTTTTTTTTTTTTATGTGAAAAGTTGCCAAACGAGCAGACGGTTCACCTGATGGTAAGTGAATACCGCCGCCCATGGACATCTGCTACAACCGAGGGTTACAGATGCGTTGACAACCTTTTGAAAATTGGGCTCCGGCTACCTCACTCACCAGAGGAAACGCGAAAGTATTAAATTAATAATAACAAAAAGTATATATTTGAAAGATAAATCAAGTCCAACAAGTCCATGGTAGCTCAGTATCCGGGCGCTTGCGTTAAATTCAATTTTCTCGAGCAACCTGAGTTCAATGTACCAATGAAATCTTATGCCGTGCTAGGCGGTGAAGGAAAACATCGTGAGGAAACCTGCAAACTTTCGAAATAATAACAAAAAAAAATATTCCAATATATTTCAAGTCCGGCAATCCGCGGTGGGGTCGCGTGGTGGACTATGCCCTGATACCCTCTGTATAGAGGAGGCCTTTGCCCAGCAGTGGGACATTTAACGGCTGTTATTCTAAATATAAAGCAGCAGTAGTGAATGTTTGTGAACAATAGAACTTCTTTCAAATGCTCTTCGATATTAGTGCAGTAAATATTATGGCAACCTGCCATTAGTGGGTTACCTGGACGTAAGTCTTGGAGTTGGGCCGTTGCTCGATGAGGAGTTGGCTGGTGCCGTTGTCCACCCAGGACCGGGAGCCGTACAGGACCGTGACGGGCAGGGCGGTCGGCAGCTGGCCCACGCGGTGCACCATCGGGTTCTTCGCCCAACCGAAGCCGTGCATGAGCGCGTGGAAAGCGCTTTCGCCGCTGAAGAGGCAACGGAATGAGATTGACAACAACGAATCGACTCGATGGCTCTGCGGCGCAGTTGCCAAGTTATTGGCTCCGAAGTCGGGGGTCGTCGGTTCGATCCCCACACGGAACAACTGTTTGTGTGACGCACAGATAGTTGTTTCGCATCTGGGTGTTTGTCAACGTTAAATTTATGTTTGTGAAATGTCCTTACAACACGGGATATTGTTATCCTAAAGTAAGGGCAATGTTTTTTTTTTAAAAAAGAAAGAAATCGTTTAAAAAAAGATTAAGTGCAAAAGTAGCCCTCAAGATAAATGGAGCAAAATACTGATGTCGGAATGGTACCCCAAAAGTGAAAAACGAAATCGAGGCCGACTGGGCAAAAGATGGGAGCACGAAACCAAAATTAACAGTGAGCTGTAATTGGAGAAGAGTTGCAAATTGTATAAAACAGTGGAAAGTGTTAGTATATAGGCTATATTATTATAAGTGCCAAAGTAGGTGGACATTAATTTAAATAAGAGAACAGTATCTAAACTGGCGGTATAGGTGCAGAAAAACCACGGTCTTATATACATGTCTTTAAACTCGGCAGAATTCCAGTAGCATGGAGTGACTTTACTGTTGAAAAATATTCCAGATGGCGTTGCGATAAAGGGTCGCATCAATTTAACCCACATTATAAAAAGGCTATAACGTGTAATATACCTACTCCATGCAGTGTCGAATTAAGCACATAGCAAGAGTAGCAATTGACTTATTTCGCGATAATATAAATAATTTCAGAGCTAAAATTGTCGATTTGTTTCATATTTCAAATTAAAAATTATACAAAAATTTCATATAACTTCCGATAATTTCATGTAATTTTACTAGATTTTTGTTTTTAAAGTAGTTATCTAGCTCGTACTGGTAATAATTATTTATTAAGTTATCGTACATATCCGTCTTTATACATGTTGTAATTACCTTTAAGTGGATAATCTTGTTAATCTTAGTTTTTTTTTATCTTAATTACTAAGACTTCTGTCATTCTTGATGACAGAACAATATATTCCGTTGGTGGTTCTTCACAATGAGCGAAGCAAAGCGGCCGTACCTGGGCGTCTGCGCGTTGCACTGGTATATGTAGTCCGGTATAAGCTGGTCCGCGTGGGCCAGGTGGGCGGCGTACTTTCGCGGTATGTCGGGGCGGGTCTTGCCGACCAGCCAGCGGCCGGCCGGGCCGGCGGCGCGCACCGCCCACAGCGGGTTGAGCGGCTGCATCGTCGTGGCCACCGCGCGCACCCACAGCGGCAGCTGGTACTTCTCGTTCACGTTCGACGGCCGCTCGGGGAAGCCCCACGGGTCCGCGAGGATCAGGTGCCGCACCCTGCGCACATTTTTTGTCTCTTTCGGGAAAACATTACGCCCCATGCACGTGATGATCAATAATATCGCTTATCGATACTTCGATACTGATAAATAAAATTGGAGTGTCTGTTTTTTAATATTAAAATAACCGCTTTTTACTAAATGCATATGGATGTATACATGGTACATATACCAAAATAACATTTTTTACAATTTTTGTCTGTCTGTCTGTCTGTCTGTCTGTTTGTTCGGGCTAATCTCTGAAACGGCTGGACCGATTTGGGCGGGACTTTCGCTGGCAGATAGCTGATGTAATAAAGAGTAACGTAGGTTATTTTTATTTTAGATTTTTTTTATTTTCAATTCCATGCGGACGAGGTCGCGGGCACAGCTAGTCGTAAAAAAAATACCAAGTAAGGCAAGTAATTCTTGCCTAGAGGTTCATTTTGAATAGCACAACGATTTCACGGAAAAGTTGCCATCCGTCATGTTGCTGTATGAACCACTGATAATTGTTTCGGATGTCGAAGTTTGTCCACTTTAAATTTACGTATGTAACACTTCGTTAAAGCAATGTTTTCAAAGGGAAGACAATAGATATTCTAGGTAGCAGGGGTCGTTGCGGCCTACGCAACCCCTTGCACAAAACACATACCTCTCCGGGTACTTGAGGGCGTACGCGGTGGCGATGTAGCCGCCGAGGCTGTGGCCCAATATCACCATCTGCTCCAGGTTCACCTCGCGGCGCCACTCCTCGATTGACTCCACCCACTGTGCCTCCACCTTGTTCGCGTCCGACGCGAACTTAGGCCGCGAGCTACGCCCGAACCCTTGAATACGAATATAACTTAGACATCGTGACACAAAACGTGGGTTCGATTCCCGCAGCGGAGAATTTGAAGAAAATGTAAAGTAAAGTTTCAGTCCATTTTTGTACAAATTTTAACGTCCCATATAACCCAACATAACCCCCCCCCCCCCCCGTCATACAGAACACGCCTCCCGGAACGTGAAGATACCTCCCCCCCCCCCCTCCCGTCACACAGATATCGCCTCCCGGAGCGTGAAGATACCCCCCCCCCTCCTAACGCACACACACACAAAAAAAAAACCTCGCCTCCCGGTGCGTATTCCACTCACCCAGCAGGTCGATGGCATACACGGGCCTGTTGGCCGCGAGCGCGTCCAGGTTGGGGCACCACAGAGCGAGGCCGGCGGCCATGCCGTGGAGCAGCACCAGCGGAGCGCGCGGCGACTCCTCGTTCAGCGATATCGTCCATATCTTGTCGCTCTGCCCCACCACTGAGCCGATGTCCACGTAGAAGCGCTTGTACGCCGTTTTCACGCCTGGCACATCGGACATCATTATTGGACAAAAGCTCGGGTGAATTACAAAGCGGAGCTCGTGGTTCGAGAGCTTGGTTACTTCGTAAAGTTTCTAGTCACTTTGAACCATGTCATCCGGTAGGATTAAGTTATTTGTCGTAAAATTTCGAGGCAAACTGCTGCTAACTGCTACAATAATATTAAGTAAAATTTACTAAGTTTTAAAAGCTCTTTCACATGCCGTTTTCAAACAAAATTAACTTTAAGCTCACTTTACTTTACTCTGAATTTATGTTTCGTTGACAAGAATTTTGAAGATTGCATTGTTACCATCCAGTATATTGGCAAATTTTAGCTAGCATATTATTTTTTGTACCCCGGACTATTCAAATAGGCAAAAAAGACATAAGTACCCTTTACATTTAACAACTTTATAAAAATAAAAATAAAAAATACATAAAAGACACTCAAATATTATTCTGATATATTTAAGTAGCGCGTAATAAGTAATATTTCTAGTCATAGTAGGGTTACCACCCATCCAGATTTTTATTTAGAAACAAATATTTTGAATAATCTGTTGAAGTCATTCTCAAATAACATTAAAATACAACAAAAGTCCTAACTGTGATAGGGCAACGCAATAGTGTTCATTGTAGCACGAATGGGCAGGTCCATCCGGGTAAGTACCACGACCAGACAGAAAACCGGTGTAAAGTAAGTACACTTCTGCGGTTTCGTCTGGTGAGTGAGGTAGCTGGGGCCACTTTATTTAAAGGTGGCAACGCTTCTACAACCCTACGGGTGTTGCAAATGTCCATGGGTGGCGGTTATCACTTAAAACCAAGTGAACCGCCAGCTTGTTTGCCACTTTATCACTTTAAAAAAATACTTCAATTTTTATTGACACAACATACAATTATTACACTTGCTGAGTCAAGTACATTTGCTGAATGAAAATACTGATCCAAAATTAGTTACTAATATTCAGTTTTTTGCCAGGACTTGCAACTACAATATGGTAACTCTAGTCACGGAACAAGAAAATTGCGCAAAACATTTGCCAAGGGCAGGAGATAAAAAAAATTTTAAAGGTCAATGTACGTCAATCCTTATCACCATAGCTTTGTTACAATCTTTCATAAAAAAAATACAAATTTATGACTATGCACAACGATATGATAATATTTTAAATTGGAATAAATATTACAGATATATTTTGAGTAAAATATAAAGTAAGAATGAATAACAAAATATAAGTTCTTTTGAAAAACTGGTGTCTGATGCATACTTTATTAAACTAAATAACACCTGGTATACAAATGTTGGTGCAGATCACAGAAGTTACCTTAGGGACAACTGAGCAGTGAATTGAATTGTGAAAAGCTGGCGTGTTTGGTAAAAAATGTTGCTTACATGATAATATTTTCTTCTCAACATTTCTGAGCATCTCATCAGATTGACGAGTCCAGCTGAACCAACCACCAGTCCAACTAAAAGTAAATAATGTTTATTGAAAAAAAGTAGATTTTTTATACTACTTTCTCTTACTCAAAACTGCTATTTTTTTTTATTGGCAACTCATAAAAAATAAATGGACCATTAAAATAAGGAGTTACTTTGTTGAAATTTCCAGTAAGCCATCAATTTTTTATAACATTTGATGACAGAGTTCAGCCTTATAGCTGATGTTTGCAAATTATAGGAATTGCATGGAGGCATTTATGAAATTTTGGTAATTTTCTTTTTTTTCTACAAATTTTTATAATTATCTTTTTCCTCACATTTGGAGACACATCTATTTACAAATAGGTATAACATTCATATTTAACGTCATTGCCAGATTTAGACACAATTTTCAAATACCAATTAATATTTAATGAGTTAATAAGATGAGCCCACATTACTGGAATAGCAAAAAAAATGTTAATGAAAAAAAAAAAGCTTTACAACACCCAAAAATGGCAAAAATCATTGAAAACAAATCTTACTTCCACACAAAGGACAAGACAAAGTCAAGCCATGTCCAGCTTACTGTGCTGAAATTCAAAAACATGTTTTATTGATTTTTACGGAACATTAGAAAATTTGTTTTATTTTTAACTGTTATGACACTGAGTTGACACTGGGCCTATTTTCAACAAGTCACTAATAAGCCTGTGATGTGATATGAATAGTAAGTTAAAAAGATATTTGTTAATAACATACAAACTTTTCCATGATTATATGTATATTATTTGGTTTTCTTGTTTTATAAGACAGTACCGACAGTAACTTTAAACATTCAGAAGATTTTGACATGCATAAAAACAAAGCCACACAATAACTTGCTTGTCCAATCCCATTGGAATAATGTATTATTGATGATTTTTTCTGGAAATATCAACATGAAAAAATATTAAACCAAATATTTTACAATGATGTAAAAATTACTTTATTTTTTTTCAGAGTGAAGGTTGAATGCGTGAAGCCCCACTAAGGGAAACAGATGCAAGAGTTCTGCCGTAGCACATGGAAGAGTCAAATTTATTAATGAAATAATATTTTTTTAATATTACTTATATTCCTTTGATTTGTAAGGCATTGGTAGTTGTTTTCAAGCACAGTAAAGTTTTTTATGCACATATTTTTAATTGATGGAGAAACATAACCAAAATAATAATTACAAAGCAAGAATTGATTTTGGGAGAAAAAATAATTAAAACTTGCAGTAAGTCAGTACATAAAAAAAACGGGCGCACTATTAAAATTATTGACATAAATCAATTTGTCTGCAAAATAACAGCAGATTTTTGTAGTATTAATTACAAGATTTTAATTTTTTTTCTCAAATCTTAATGTGACGAAAAATTTTTACTTTGTAATTACTTTTCCGGTTATGTTCCTCTATCAAATTAAAAAAAATGCGTACGAAAAAAGAGAGTGCTACTATTGTAAACAATTACCAAGGCAATTTAATGGTTTGGGTTTTAAGAAATATAATGATATCATTACCTTAAGAAACATTTAATGACATGATAAATTAGTAGTATAAGGTAGTTAGTCCAAATACGACTGAGCCCAGGCATTACAGACAACAATACATGAGGGATAAATTTGATGAAGTCCTATAACGCAAAGTAAGAAATTAATACAATTTATTTGAAAATAATTGCATATTGTTAAATAAAATTAAATATTGCGCAATGATGTTATTTTTGAATGATTACAACGGAGTACAGTAAGTTTAGTTTACCTGGATCTAGTAGTTTCTAAGTTCAATTCACTACCCATTTGGCTACGCACAATAAGTCATTTATGCATGTCACGTATGAGAGAAAACAACTATAACTATCGTTTAATCACTTGCTTCAATACTGTTAATGCTTGTAATTTGTATTAATCTTAGTACAGATAGCGCATACAAGGAACTAGGAAAACGTCAGTAATACGGAACCTATGTAATTTATAACAAGAAAATTGACATTGACAATTCACAATTGACATGACACTTCACATTTGTAATTACCGTTATGAACAACTGTCATTTTCGCCGCTAAATAAATCTTAAACTAAAAAAAAAAGTTAAATGCGAAGTGAAAGTTACTAAAGACTGTATTTATTTAATAATTTAAAGAGGCGATACAATTATAATATAAATAGAATAAAACAAAAGTATGAAGCAAATCTAGCCCTCGCATGTTGCTATGACCGGTAGCTTCATTTCCTCGCTGAATATTTTCTTAAACGTTGAACGAGAGAAGAACCAACTCTCCGCTGCATTGTGGGATGTAAATCTTTTGATTTAGGGCGATCCAACGGCCCTTTACGGGTTTTAGCAGATAATGTCACAAGTACATAGTTCTGGACAAAAATACTTATATTTCCGGCATTTAATACTTTAAACTTCAAATGTTTGGCTAAGAAAGCACAGTTTTAATAATATAATATTATTTTGTGATTTATAGAGTGAAAAAGTTCGAGTGCAGATAACCATGACAACAAATGTTGTCAAACATATTGAATAACATTAGTGTACATATACAGTTAAAGTGCATTAAAACAAAATCGCAATGCAAATGTCGATAATTCAACCAGTGTTTAAGCTAGAATTAAATCATAAAGTAACGCCAGGAGTTGTAATTATTGCAAAATATGATGGAACACATCCTTGTTTGACTGCATCTGCCGGATATGACAAAGTATAATATTTTAAATGACCTATAAAATAAAACATACAGTAACTTAGACGCTATTTGTGTCCTCTATTTTTAGATAATAATTCATCATCCTTACGGGAGTATTTTAGCAACCGGACGAGCTCAACGGTCACATGCACATGGAGAAGTATCTGAACTGAATGTCAGCCAGGCAGTTATAGCCCTCGCAGCAGGCACCTTAAAGCCTGATTGTTCCAGAGATATGTTAATAATAGGATCACCGACACAGATACTCGGTATATATATTATGATTTTATAAATACTCGTTAATCTATCATTATCTTACCAGCATGTTGTCATTTATTACTTTGCTATTCCTTTTTTTTTTCACTGTATCCTAAATGTCGTTTGATAACGGGTAATAACAATAATTTAAGAATTTATAAAGACATTGATAACGGTGGTAAAAAAAATAACACAATTGAAAAATAAATACACGTTTACAAACTACGAAAAACTTGACAAAATTTTGTCTAGAGATATAAGCCAAATATCTTATTGCAGCGTATGATGTCCATGATAACTCTGATCTCTTCTTCAAAGAAGCTTTGGATGGCGTAAATGTTTTGATCACTGGCAGCTTTGGCAAATTCAATGAGATGTTAGCCATCATTGGCGGCAACAGTTCTGTCCAGGGAGTAAATTGGAGAGGGAATGAGGTGTTCTGGAACGTTGTTGGTGGGAAAGTGTGTTCAATGATCATCCTTGATTTTGATAAAGATGGGGAGAATGAGGTAATTATGCACTAGATGTTACACAGATATATACAGTTAACAGAGATATTCCTCACCCTCACACTTACGACTACTTTTCGGTTTCAGCTTTCTGTAATAAACCTAGTTCCTAAATCGGATATATAATAATTTCAGTCAATGTAGCGATGTAGGTATTATATTAATTAAGAATTAATCAGAATAAAAGCCAGCAATCGTACGAGATTGCATGTTGTATCATTCCGAATATTTAACATTCGGGTAGTGTACGTCTGGCTAAATATACTTTATTCGGAAGCCATTTACTAAATAATAGTTTCAGTGCAGCATTGTAGATTTGTTCTCTCTGATTAAAATAGGATAAAAGCCAACAGTGAATGTATTTGACACGGTGGCGCGGTTGCAATGCTTCTCCGTCAGGCTCGATTCCCACACGGAACAAGTATTTATGTGAATCCTAAATCATTGTTCGGGATCTGGTTGTTTGTTTCCAAAAAGGGTTGACATCAGGTAGGCAGCCGGTCGTATAAAATCAAGCCAATAACGTTGCCCCGACCCCGACCTCAACTATGCGGGATAAGGGTAGGTTAGAGAAGAAGAATAGTGCCTCGCTTGGAAGTCAGTTATGGTGAACTTAGGTCTACAAGCAGATGAAGAGATATATGACAATTTCAGTGAATGCAAAGATGTAGATATTATATTAATTCTGAATAAGGAAGGTTTACGAAAGGTTTAGCGTTCTTGGCACTGTGCCGCGTGGATTAGTTTTATTAGATAATATGTAAATTAGATAAATTTAATGTTGTGAATGTTGGTAGTATATAACAATAAAAAGAACTGAATTAATTAGATTAAAATGTAAAAATCAATGTAAACGGCCGAATGTTTTGCATAATTTTTAGCTTACGAGCGGATGATTCGGGACTAATAATTTTAATAAAACAATCAAATTATTTTTCTTTTTCATTATTATGATACCTTTTCAGACTTTCCAATTAATTTGACCCTCATGAAAAAGAAGATTGAACTTTTTTATAAAATGGGAGGAAACTGTGTTCTTAAACTCTTTTTCATAAAAAATACCTACTCTTTGCAGTCAATCAGCAGGCGTTTAACAAGAATTTCTCATCCCAAGATGATTCTTTATGTTGTACCCTTTTTATGCCACTGGATAGTCCTTGGACTTCGTCATAAGCCCAAGTTTCTTCCCCAATAACAATACGGCTTAATACATTATCATTATCTTCACCACAGACGTGCCTAAACTTTAGAGCAACATACAACACAATTGCTAAGCAAGAGTTCACTAAGAACGATAACATTATCGATGGCACTTTATGGTGCGATACTGGTTGCTTGTTCAATAAGCTCAAAGGCAAATGGACATAATAACAATAAAAATTCATATTAATGATAATTATGAGCGGCCAAATCAGTTCTGTACAGAATGAGCGTACTCACTTCACGCTAAGCCATCATTTCGTAAACCTATAAATACTTAATTAAAGTTAAATGTAATTGCACTAATTTAATCTTTATTTTGGATTATAGTTAATAGTTGGGAGCGACGATTCCTATATAAGAGTGCTAAAGAACAATCAATTCATGGTGGAACTCGCCGAAACCGGCCCAGTGACTTGCCTCTCGGCCATTAACGAAGTGAGATTTGCTTACGGTTTAGCTAATGGTACTATTGGAATATATGAGGAAGGTTTACGATTGTGGAGGGTAAAGGCAAGTGCAAATGTTTCTGCAAATTTATAATTCCTTACAACTGCATCTTCACTAGTCACTGTGGCTTTGTGATATTTATTTTACGTGCATTCCGACAGTCTAAACAGAATGCGATCGCGTTGCAAATGTCTGGTGAATCGCTGGCTTGCGCGTGGGCGAACGGGCGCTTGGACTGGCGGGACGGCGGCTCCGGTCGGGTGTTGAGGAGGGTGCAGATGCGCGCCGGCGCTGCAGCGATGCTGCTCGCCGACTACCGCTCGGTGGGCGCACCGGACCTCATTTGCGTTTCTGATAGGGGCGAAGGTGGATATATTTGCCGATATATAAATATATCTTGCTCTACACTTGCAAACCCTCTGGCTCCTGCTAATACTTTAAAACTTTTGTGTATATACTTTAATAATTTATTAAAAAATATATATATGACCGCAGAGTTTCTTGCCGGTTCTTCTCTTGCAGGTCTAGTTTAGTGAACCGGTGGTAGTTTTTGATGTTCAATAAGAGCTTAAAATAAGCCTAAGTATGTTGAATAAAGACATTTTGACTTTGACTTTGATACATTTTTAGACAACGTTCTCTACTCCCAAAATAAGCAACGCTTGTGCTATAGGTACTAGAAAACTGACAAACATGCTTAAATATAATTTTCTTTTATAAAAAAATATATATTATACATTTATATAAACACCTGGACACTGGAAAAACACTATGTTCTTCACACAATATTTTTCCAATCGAAGCCCACACCCTCTGGCGTAAGAGGCTGTTTAACTACTCCCCACGCCAATTGGATTGTCAAATATATGAAATCATTAGCTTCTTACTTCAGTAATTCGTGGTGTGTTTTGTAATCGTACCCTTATTGTCCATCTTACAGACAATACTACACACATATAGCTTTTTAGTTTCAATTCGCATTTCACTGATAGCAAAGAAGTAATCCGACAAGGAATAAGAACCTTTTATTTCGGCCTGAGGCGCGAATTGTTAAAACGTTAACAGTAATCTAATTATATATAATCTTAAAATATATCAGTAAGACATATTCCGAAAGAAAAGCATTTAGTAACTGATATTTTTGTAAATGATGTAGTTAGTATTTTGTGATTAATATGTAAGTATTAAATGGGAGTAAAGGTTCTCGAGTGGGGAGCACGAACCGGAAGACGTAGCGTTGGAAGGCCTCCCTCTAGGTGGGCCGACGACATCATAAGAGTCGCGGGCAACCGGTGGAGGCAAATGGCAAAGTGTCGTTCGTTGTGGCGTTCTAAGGGGAAGGCCTATGTTCAACATTGGACGTCTTGCGGCCGATGATGATGATGTAAGTATTTTGTAATTTAATATGTACAATTCGCAGTACTAGGATATCCGCCGTACCACGAGAACGTCGGGTTCAACGCTACTTCCAATAAAACGGCGTCCGAAGAGGAGCGCCTCGCGATCACCGAGTTGCTCAACAAGAAACAAGCTCTGATGGTGGAGCTGCAACATTACGAGGCAAATGCGGCGAACGCGGGTTTGAGTCTCGACGAGCTACCAGCCACTGGAATGCCGACGAATACGCGTTTACAAGTCGCGGTCAACCCTAACGAAGAAGAGGTATAGTTTAGATTTTAAGGTCAATTTATTTGTTAATAAATTTTTTTAACAAAAAAACCGACTTCAAACTAGAAACTAAAAAAAAACATTGTTAATACCTATGACATTTGCGAATTGCCCTCAATTTCTCTGGGATGCCATCATCAGGTCATCGTTCCTCAACATTAGGTACCAATGCTCCTACTAATATAATTAAATTAGAATTTGTCGTTATTTAAAGTCACTAAATAATAATAAGTATCTGATTCCTAATTAACAAAAGCTGCAAATAGGCCTCCTCTGCAGGGATTCAGGTTGCTAGAGTACATTGAATTAAAAGCGCGCAAGTCGGACAATGAGCCATCACGGCTCGTAACTTTATCTATTACAATTAAAGATTAATTCCCGACGTACAGTCTCACAGGTCCGCGTAGGGATTTTAAAATAAAAATAAAACGCGATAAAGCCCATAAAATATTTACGTTTAACCATAAACCTCATGTCCTGAAATTGAAACTGATGAATACCGCTAAAAGGCAAAACATTGCGTCTGTTGTCATCATGGGTTTGTAATTTATTTATTTGTTTATTCTAAACAGGGGTGTCTGGATCTTGCCATATCCACAAACAACGAAACGATAGTGCGAGCAGCGCTTGTATTGGCCGAGGGCATATTCGAGAGTGGCGAGACCTTGGCTCGCCACCCGTCCTTGGCCCAGCTGCGCTCTGTGCTGCACGCCCCTTTGAAACCACCCAGGGACGTTCCCGTAGACGTTCACATAAAGGTAAGTACTAATAAAATACTCGGGTATAGAATATTCGGGTTACTGAGATTTTCATAATTTCAGAGAGTTCAATTGTTTAGGACGTTTGATTGCGTAATCTTTATATGTATATATAATTTTTATGTACTTGTGTATGTCACTGAACTCCTTCTAAACGGCTGGACCATTTTAATGAAATTTTGTTGTGACTTCGAGTCGATTCGAGAATGGTTTAGATTCGCAATGCGGTCCACTACATTTTTTTTATTTTATTATTTCTAAGTTGTCAAATTTAAGTCGAGTGTTCAAGACAACGTCTATCCAGTCCGCTAGTACTTATTTGATTGTATAATTTGAAATGAATCGAAACCGTAACTGTTAGGAAAATCATTATAATATTTATAAATTATATTTATTATTTATAATTAATTTCATTTTAGTGCTAATCTCTGCACTAAAAATGTGTCTGTTTCCAGGCTTCGAAGCTACGCATGCCGAGTAACGAACCCCCATGCTTTACACACTAAACTAAGCGAATTTCGATATCTTATCTACTTTATTATTTTAGAATTTTTAGCAATTTATTTAATAAGTAGAGTCATTGTTTACTTTAAGAATTGTTATGTTGAGCGGAGGTGGATAGATGTGGCGTCCCTTAGAAAGATGCAATGAATGTAATAATGTGCGAAAAACGGCTCGAATTAACTAATTTGCGTGAGCAAAGTGTAGCACTCTGATGACGTGCCTTGGTAGATGCATCAGTTCATTAACCGATTTCTACCTGTAGACAAACAAATCAGGTTTTTTTATGTAAAAAAAAGTTGTCAAGGGAGTCGGTGATTCATGTGTAGTAACTGGCGCCATCTACAACACCTGAGGGCTTGCAGATACCTCACTCACCAGATAACACGTGACAGCATAATACCACCTCACGCTGGCCTTCAGTGAAGCCGTGCTACTTCCCCCGACCAGCCTGTCTATTCGTGCAACAGCATATGTTGCAAGGCGCTACTATTGTCAGGTCTACTTATCCATTACGACACGACTTAAATCCGACAACAACTTATACACAAAAAAAAATTTATAACAAAATTGTGGTGGACGGAATAGTGAATCTACCTGAAGACACAAAAAAAATTTTTTTTGTGTGCCGATTAGGAGTAGTTCAGGGAAATACACACGTATAGCTGTATTATATATAATATAAACATTTGGTGTTAATGGCCCGATTATTCAGAAAATCATCATGGCAATCATAAACTTGGAAGGATCCACTTAGCAGTGTTCACCCAACAGCAAGAATTGTTGCAAGCTTAACATTTTTAAGACAAACCGTTTTCAGGCTCTTGTCGGTTACGCCGACAGCGAACAATTCCATATTTTCGAGCTGACAAAGCATCTGCCCCGGTTTGCTATGTACACCATGGCTACATCTGCCGCAGCAAATAAAACTGACAGCTGGGTAACATTCCAAATCACGGAAAGGCTACAGAGAATCTGTATCTGGATCAACCAGAACTTTCTCCTTGAAGAGGAGTTGGAAATAGAGAGTGAGGATGCAAAAGAACTTAATGCCAGTTTCCTAAGTCTAAGAGATAAGTCTCGTTTGGATATGAACTTTGCAGTTAACGGAAAGGTCAAGTTCACAACTGCTGACATTGGATTAGCGGGTGAACTAATCCAAAGTTTGGCAAACTATCTGAATTTAGGTGATTTACAGGTAAGGAAATTCAAAAATCATTTATTCCAGCAGTTATCTTGAAATTTTAAAGTTTCTCAATGAATATGTTTTTTTACCTCTCTAGAGCAATATCCTAAGGTTTTAAAGGCCTTTTTAAAATGAAAATATTTAATAATAATTTACTTCAAGATGACTTGATCGTGGGTTTGATTCCCACAAGGGACAAATATTTGTAAAACCCATAGATAATTGTTCTGGATTTGGGTGTTTGTTCAAGGTTGACATCAGCTAGGTGGAGAGTCATAAAAAAACATAGCCAATAGCATTAGAAACATTATTCACATGGTGTGGTACAAAGGTAAGATCGAAACAAGAGAAAGAAGAATAACATTTTATTTTATGACAATGGTCTCTGTTACATATATTATAGTTAAAAAAACTGAAATCATTCATCTGCAAATTAATTCTCATCAATTTAAAGGCAAAACTAAAAAAACTAGAACACAACTTGGTACATTTTATTTCGGTCATTGAAAATAATGACAAAAGATATTTCTAATAGCATATGAATACAACATGAAAACTATGAATATTAGAAATTAAAACACATTGAAACTTTTAAATTTTATATTGTATATATGGGAACAGTGTGCATATTGAGAAAATTAAAACGAGAATTAAAGAGCATTTTAACATTGGAATAAAACACAATTTACTTATGTATTCCATGTATTGTTTAAAAACACCTCTCTTATTATGTCCTACGCACGTCAAATCTCACTGACCATAAAGTTCTACAAAGCCGACACATTTCACAGGGTTGAAGAAGAACATGTTATTGTGAGGTGGTTCTCGTTGGCTCATGGCTTTAACAACCTCTTGGCCTATTACACCACCGACAACAGCTGCTGCTCCTGATACAATTCCAAATACATCTGTCAGCAATGCATCACTGATATAGCCTACTGGCAGTGAAAGCTCTTTGACCAACTCGTCACGCATACGCAAAAGTATTTCCGTGTCTGCCTTTCTTTTAGCCGGATCTGGGTTTCGGTTGTATTCATCTCTAAAACGTAGCAGTATCTTCATTACGAAGTAGGAGGGGTCACCGCGACGCAATCTGGAACGCAATTCAGGCTTCGTCCAATCTGCTGATAGTGCGTTTTGCAACGGCACGTATATCGCACGTCGCTTCACGGTTATACTGACAGTTTCCCTTGCATTCTTCTCTGTATCATCAGGTCCGCGTTTCACAGCCTTGTGCTGCACGATCTCTTCAGAGTACTCGTGATCAACTAAGTCGGCGAACATATAGCCAAACATTCCCCATACGTCACCGCAAAGAAATTTTTTGTTGTTGTCGCGGCATATATTGTTAATACGCTCTAACTGTTCTTGCTTCAAACCGGTTGCGCAAACAATGTCGAAATTAGTGAAAAAGCTATCTGGGAGATCGTCAATAGCCTTAGTTTCTGTAGTAATGTCCACCATCGGGTTTAACGCTTTTGCTCTTTGCAAGGAAGCTTCTGCCCTATTTTCGCCAATTTTGTCAGAAGGCGCCAAAAACTGAGAGTATAAATCGATTTCCTTGAGTTTCTCATTGTCTAACAAGCACACACTCTTTACTCCAGACAATATTATGTTTTTAGCTGTTTCCGCACCAAGACCGGAAAGGCCGATGATCAAAATCTTTGAAGCACGTAATCTTTTTTGTGATTCTAAGCCCCACAGGCGAATTTGACGGTCATACTGTTCCGCCTCGGCTTCCGAAAGTTCAACTTCATGGTTTTCGACCATATTAAATAATATTTATATCCGATTAATAAAATACAGTATTTTGCGAACACAAACGTTTATGACATTGACATTTAAAATGTGTGGTGTGCGACGCCGAAAGCAAAGACAACAAAGTCTACTTTTTTAAAGTTATGATCACAAAGCTATAAATTATTTAAAAAAACGTAAAAATAGTTTCTAATAACAGTTTAATTAATTAAACATAAAATAAAATAATTGGTGTTTAAAATTATTACTCACTCAGAAAAAATGAATCCAAGTAATTACGGTTCCAAGGCTATAAAACCGTCGACCTCCTTCAAAATTCACCATTTATATTTTGGTATATAGAAATTATTGCCTTGGTAGCTCAGTTTCCGGGCACTCGCTGATAATTTAATATATTCGACCAATCTTTTTTTTTGGTATCGGGGGCCTCCTCCGTACAGAGGGTTCCCGTGGCCCCACTGCGGTTTGGCGGACTTGACATATCTTCGATTACGAAAATATGCAGGTTTCCTTAAGATGTTTTCCTTCACCGCAGTGCAATCAATTTAATTAGTGCCAGCACCGGGAATCGAACTCAGGTTGCTCGAGTATGTTAAATTAAAGGCGAGCGCCCATACACTGAGCTATCACGGCTCAAGATTTATTTTAAAGGACAATTTATTTTTTAATTAGAGATTATTAAGGTTTCTGTCTATAAAATTCGGAGAGAAGCTTATACGTTCCTGATTTCTCTAATAACTTTAAGATCCTCTCAAAACAAATGTAATGTTAATAATTGAAATGAGTGTGCTTGATAAAATTAAATTTGCTTTCCTATTTTGATAAAGGTTTCAATTTCTAATTTTTATCCACCTATTATTTTAAACCAAAACATTAAATTTCTTTAATCAAGTATTAAATAAAATTGTACGTCGGAAAATAAAAACAAAATTAAGTGTGATAAAACAATTAAATGCAATAAAATTCTTTGGCGTTTAATACTTATTACATAATTATAGCTTAGTGCAATCATTACTTTTAATGCAAATATAAAATTTTCAGTCAACAGCAAATTTTCCTGAAACAGAACACATACTTCGCGATGAAATGGCAAATGCATCGGAAGTGGGAGAGACGAGAAGTCGACTAGCAGCGGAAACTGCTGAGAAGGCCCAACTTATCACTGCATTGTTGCCTGCAGCACAGGATGCAGCCGCTTTTGACTTGTTTGTATTTTTTTAATTTTTGCTATTTGCACTTATTCTAATGTTTAGCCTTGGTAAGCGAGCAGACGGTTGATCTGATGCGTGGTATACATACACAACGGGTATGGCATTGCCAACTTTTAAAAATAGTTCGACACGCGCGCTTCCACATTCGTCTCGTGGCGTAAAGAATCGAATGTGGAACCGCGCGAATGTATCTTCAGTCTATCTCCTCATTATTGCCATTTTTCCAAGCCTTCAAGGCCAAGGAAACGAAATAAAAAAAGCCACATCGAAACGTGATCAGTGAAAATGATTGAGTTATCTTTGGAAGCTTTTTAATTTTCACTAGACTTATGTCTCAATTACGCCTTTGATAAACTACAGATAGACCCCATATAAAATTTCAACCAAGATTTCCGCCCCTGAATAATCTGCTGGATGAGAAAGTTATTAAATTTTCCGTTATTTTTGGGATCAAGTAACTATGAAATATACTATTACTATTAAAAATATATAAATCCAATGGTGGGTTTGAAGGCACTTAATGTGGAAATAAAAAAAAGTCATATTTTTTTGTTTAACAGAAAGGAAATGTTGAGCCGCTACAAGGAAGTTATCCTTCTGAATGAAGAGTTGTTAACCGGCTGCCATGTACGTCGAGCCATACAGGAACAGGTTGTAGCTTCACTTAGAAACATACACGTAATTTTACGACATGCAGCAAGATTAAGAGGTATATTGTCTTTTAATATTCATATAGAATAATATATGCGATGATACCCTCTGCACAGAGCTGGCCTTTGCCCAGCATTACAACTTTAATATAGAAAAATAGTTGATAGTCAGTAAAAAAAAATCTTTACTCCAATGAACTAAGTTGAGTCAACTTTGAATGTAATTTGACAAAATTGTCATTTTTAATATACACGATGTGGAAGTGTCAATTAAAGTTTAAGAAAAAAATATAATTTAGTGATAATAAAAGGCGTGATATATAAAACAGAAATTATAACTAAAAAGAAACATACGAACTAAACGCCACGCAGATCCCATCCCATTGTTGCAATATTGCACGTATTTTTATACGTTGCTCGTTCATTTCGACAGAGTTATGCTACTGGACTTGCTTTAGTGTAATGTAAACAGCCACTTGTTCGGTACCCGCCTCTGTACTGGTACTCACTACGCGCCACTGTCCATGCCTGTAAACGGGCTTGAGTTTATGTGATTCCCGCCGCCCGTAGACAACTACTGATGTTTAAGCAACCTTTAAAACCAGCCAAGTGGGAGTCTAACTCGCGCACGAAGGGTTCCGTACCGTTAAAACGGCAAAAAAGTCTGTTGTATGGGTTGTATTTTTTCATTTTGTTTTTTAGTATAAATGTTGTAGCGGTAACTGAAATACATCATTTGTGAAAATTTCAACTGTCTCTTACGGTTTATGAGATACAAACAACCAAGGGACAAACGGACGGACGGACAGACAGAAAGCGGAGTCTTACTAATAGTGTTTCGTTTTACCCTTTGGGTACGGAACCCGAAAAGTGTACACGGATACTCCACGGTATCCGTGGCACACTGCTACACGCCGGTTTTCTGTGATGCCATGTTCATGTTTTTTTAACTTACCTGGAGAGGCCACCTAATTTATGCTGAGAAAGCTGCTGCATGGCCCGAAACAATAATAAATATTCGCTATCGCTATCTTTCGTATGCCACTCACATTTGAAGAACTCTCCATTTACACAAATGAGGCCTTACTTACAGCGACACTCTTTCTTTTCTACCATGCTCCAGCTGACTGAACAAGGGGGGAATAATTAGTTCTTTTTTAATATAAATTAATTGCAGTTTTATAACCATTCCTCAATCTATTATTTTTAATTTAATTATGTACTCAGAATGGCTATTGTTTCATTTAGCCTGTAATTTATCAAGTTACAGGTATTATGTAATACAGAGAAAGAACTTTGTTCCAACTAGCGTTCCCTGGCACAAAGCACAAAACAACACACAAAACTCAGAATGATAGTTTGCAGGTTTCTTATTGATGCAAATGATTTCTTTTGATCTATGTCAATAAGAAATCATTCTTGTCTGAATTCTATTAGTTTCCAAAAGTGAAAATTCTAATATCTTTTTTTCAGTTGGTAAGTACAGCAAGGCTGTGATTACGGCTTGCAGGAAGGCCGTGCAGGACAATAACACCGATGTGCTGATTAAGATACTTCAAGTCGGCGATTGTTGAATGAAACTATTTAGCAATAAGTTAATTCATTTATAGTAACATACTTATGCACTTAGTCAGTACAAAATAAGATAGATGATATTAAAATGTTTTACTAATAATAAATTTGTACTTTTTGTCTTTTTAAATTGACACTGGGCTTCTTTTAGATTTGCTTATCTACACATCAATCTGTCACATCAATCATTTATTATTGAAAGTGCATGTTTAAATCTATTTTATAATGATTTCTTGTGTTTATGTGAATCCTTAATTAATCTATTAGAATCTCCTGAGCAGTTCAATGCTTTAACAGATGTGTCGAGAAAAATATTTAACACTGAACAGATATTTTAAGGCACTAATGGTAAATTGTTAACACTTATACGGCAATTATTATGCATCACACTGAGATCTGTTTGGTGGCGTAGTGGACGTCGTCGGCGCTGACATTCAGCAACAGCCGAGGTTCGGCCGGCTTGGGCTCTATCAGAAGGAGCTTTATCGCCGCGAGCCTGGCGCAAACAGCTTGCGCTTGGGACGGCGTCGGGGCCCTGATGCTGGCGGCGGATTTGTATGGGCGACCGTCCAGCGCGACGATTGCGGCCGCCGTGGACAGCGCCCGCGATAGCGTGGTCTCGTCGGAGCCGGTTCTTTCCACCTGCGAAATGAACATAATACTGGCTTTGATCCACGTATTCGCCTGTGGTGTATATGTTGTCTTTACTGTAATTGATCATCATTTCAGCCTGTTCAAGTTCACCGCTGAACAAAGACTGGACAGCCTTGGTTGATCATGGTTCTGAGCCACACCAAACAGCTCGAGAAACTATTTTCTCCATCGGCTATCTGTCCTAAGAGCTGATGGCCAGCCGATTGCCACTTCAGCTTACTCATCTCCTGATCTATGTCGACTTGTTCTACTGTGGTATCTACGATGAGTATTCATGCTTTAACTTTTAATAAGTGCGACGCCCGTGTCCGTATCCATCAAATCGACTGACAGCGAAAGATTCGTACAAAGAGTCGTCGCAGAGACTACATGTAGCCAGTTCGTTGCTCACCTCGGCGGCGACCGCCCTCAGCATGAGCCGCTCGGCGGGCGAGCAGGCGCGGATGGCACGCACGGCGGCGCTGGAAGCGGCCTCCGCCAGCGCGCGCTGCACCTCCGCCAGCCCCGCCCTCTCGCCGCCCAGCTCGAGCGCGCGTGAGCACAGCGCTAGCGCCCGCCGCGCGTCGCCCGACACTGCCGCCACTTTCCTGTCGAAGCCGACGCGGCGATTTCTTTTTATTTGACAACCGGCCAGTTGTATGTTTTGTTTTGATTCTTTTTGCTGCACGAACGAGCCGGCCAGACTCACGTCTCGACGACGCACGGGCCAAATGAAAATTTAGCACTACTTCAACTTTGCTTATAATGATATTACGAGAAAATTCACAGGAGAAAAGATTTAATTATTTTATTTTATAACTAACCGTTTGAAATTATGAATAGAATCTATTCCAATAATGAATTTTGGACGACAGATTACTATAAGATTACGCGTTTTGCGATATAAACTAACATGTTCGGCCTCGGTGGAAATCGTGTCGAATAAAATACGCCCTCGGGAGAATTTCACCTGGCGATCAGCTGAACAGCGTCCGGCGTCACATTGGCCCCGGCGAGCCTGGTGGCCACTATGGACTGCAGCTGCGTGTGCGTGTACGGCGCGAAGGTCAGCCGCGTCAGGCCGAGGCGCGAGGCGACGCGCGCTGCTAACGCCCGCTCGGGCAGGTCCATCGTGTTGGCGACCGCGAGTACGGTCAGCAGCGCGGAGTCGTGCGCGGCCCACTCCATTATGCTGTACAGCACGTCCTGGCGGCGGGTGCAGAGCGCGTCCAGCTGCGGATTTTGTGGTGCGGTTTATGAAATTAGGCAAATTGGTGTTTGTCCGCGTGAAATTTATGTTTGTCAAACGTTCTTAAAACACAGGAAAATGTTATCCTAATGTAAGAGCAATTTTTTTTCAAGAAAAAAAATAATGAAACTAGTTTACGCATTTTGTCGCGTATTGATTTTGATTTTGTAATTCCAATAGCTAAACTAGTTTAATTTAATATGTATATATTATATATTAGCGTAAAATCAAGATATAAGGCAAATTTAATTTAACACCATACAAATTTAATTTAACATGGAAATATTACTATTAGGTAGGAATACAGTCAATGAAATAAGATTAAACAATAGGTTATGGAAGTTTTTTACGCGCTTAAAAATTTTAGTATACTGATAGTAAAATATGTAGATTTTTTCACGATGTATGCCTCTTCACCAGGTCGATCGCACTTAAAATTGGAATTATGCAATTTCATTGATGCCGGCACAGAACTTTGAACTTTTGAAATTTTTTGAATTAAAAGCGAGCACCGGGACACTGAGATGGCCATACAGTTGGCAAAAAAAGTAATTCGTAAATAATTGCGAGATCATTAAATAAATATACAGCGTGTCGTTACCATCGCGACAATAAATGAACACACATATAGGGGATAACTTTTTAAAGTTGTATTAAACATTTAAATTCTTTAAACATCAATATTTACAGAGTTATTAAATTTTCCAAAACAAAGAATTTTAGAACAGCCTTACCTATAAAAGCGTAACGTAAAGTTCATTTGTAAAGGTCACAAAGCACATAAATGGGTTGAATGAATTTAAAAGAGACAAAACATACTGTTAGAAGGAGAGGCTTGTAATACGACGCTGTGGCGCGAGTTGTATAGGAAGTTACAAATTTTGTTTCTTTTTTACTTAATTAGTTTGTTTGAAAAATATTTATTTTTAATTATGGATTTTGTTTAACGTTAACATTTTGTTATGATTATTGGCAAGTAGCGTTAGACGTGTGTTCATTTATTGTCGCGATGTTAACGACACGCTGTATGTGTATGTATTTTGTACTACACACCTCGTCAACAACTAATACCGTTGGTGTCCGTCTCGGTCCAGGGTTCGTAAATCGTTTCTCTAAGAGCGAACATGCTTGCTCCCAAACCACTGACTTTCCTGGAATTGAAATTATTAGTGAGATTATATGTATAATGGGCAGTAATGAGTTAGTGGCTGGTATGTCAATTTTCGATCTCAGTAAGGTTCGGGACGATATTTGCCATCTACGATCGTTGTAGAAGGCTGGCAGGACAGCCTGTACATCTTAAAAGTTTTCATTGTTGTGTCAGAGGAACACCAGCTCGTGACAGGTCGCTGTACGAATAATGTCGGGGGATTCCAACACGGAACAAGTATTTGTGTAGCCCACACAAATGTTTCGGATCTAGGTTTTTGTTCCCATTGGCAGGACTTTGGCCGTAAAAAACCTAGCTGATGACGTTAACATAGTTCACATATTGCGCCGACCCCAACTAGGTGGGACAAGAGTAAGAGAAAGAAGAATACGTTACTTTTGGCTGACAACAATATCTTTGGTGGTATCTAGAATCGCTTCTTTAGATGCTATTGATGTGATGCCATATAAAAAAGCATGTTTAGTTTTATTTCTATACATAATTTGTAATACACACCAGTCAGCTGTTTGTATATGTGAACGTAGGCTTGTCTAGGTTCGGCTATCCTCATGCCATTCACTTCGACCAACTGGAATTCGGGCAGGTCCGTCTCCTCCTGGAGAGCTTTTAGGGCGGAACTGACGGTTGCCGTTTTGCCCGTGCCAGGCACCCCAGATATGTACATACACCTGAAAACAAACATGTTCATAATGTGCACACACATAAAAATCTTATTCACAAGACTTTAACACTTAAATGTTAGGTTAAATTGATCCCGCTAACCATAAAAGCCCTTTGGTTTGAATAACACTTTTTTGTATAGTTATTTCCAACTAAATGTATGAATGTTCTACTTTACTTACCCACTCATTTTGTCTAATAATTTATTTCTAACAAAAGACAGAATCACCTCCATCTGGCTTTCCCTTCCAGGTAAAGACCGATTTTCTTTCAGAAATTCTGTAAATAATAACTAAAAATAAAACATTTTGTAATATAAATTTATTGTATAATAAATATAGTTCTTGTCTTTCATAGTGAAATTTAACTGGTTTCTTAGTGTTAACAAATTAAAATAAGCTATTCATCAGCTACTGTATGTAGTTCAATGTAAAAGATTTGCCTGAGAGTTGATAAAAATGAAATTTGAAGTTAAAAGCTTATTACAGTTTGCTAATAGCAATAAATGGCCTTAAAATTAGGGACAGCATTAGCTTGTATCAAATTGGAGACAGACTTTTTTTACAATGTAATGTAAAAGTTTATCTGGGCTACTAACAATAAATTCATGAAATTGTTTTATTTATAATTTGTTATATTTATGTAATCATTATATTCTTATAGACTTGTCATTTATACTACATTTATATGTATGCACAACCAGAGTATGGTAGGGGTGTTTTGAAATATCATTATCCAATTCTTAATTATTACCTTTTATATTATCTAGAGAATTAACTCTGGCATGTAGTGTAGGTGTTAGTTCGCTTGTAAGGATTCTTTTACTGACACTACGCTTAGGTGTTTTGGCAATGTATGTCCTGGGCGTTTTTGGCGTCTTAGGGGTTCTAGGTGTCATTGACACTTTAGGAGTTGGTTTGAATTCATCATCACTATCATTTTTAATCCTGTTGATGATTTTTCTTGGTGTTCGTTTTACTGGTGATATTTCTCCATCAATATAACTTACAGGCTGTCTTGTTTTTCTTCCAGATCGAGTTGCGTAAACCTCTTTCTCTTCCTCTTCGAACACTAAAACCTTCTTTGGAGTGTCATCAATAATTTTAACTTGTGATTTCCTTTTCGGAGTGCTAGGAACATGTTGCCTTATGATGAGGGTTGGTAGCTCATCTTCAGAATTTTCCTTCAACTCCATAGACAGTATATCCTCAATGTGATTTTTGCTTAGTTTCTTGCTACTTTTTGGTGTTTCTAAAACATCAGTTCCTTGTTTCGAATTGAGCTTTTTTGGAGTTGTTTTATTTGGTGATTCTTTGTCATTTTTCTCAGATAAAATAGCTCTCTTTAGTAGCAGCTTTGTTCCTTCATTTTTGGTTATATTCCAGCCCTTTGTATCTGAAACTGTCACTCTGCTCATTCGTTTGACTAAACTGCTTGGGGTTTTTGGAGTTGTTGATAATGGTATGCTCTTTTTTGGTGTTGAAAAGAACTGGATTGCCTTTCTTTCATCTTCAAGAACAGGCTCGATAGAGACTTTCTTTCTTCCAACAGGTATAAGTCTATATCTACAAATGTAAACATAAGATGCAGTTCCCTTTAGCTGATCAACTGAATCTTTTGTATGTGAGAGTATAATGTTACATTTCTTAAAGAATGTTTCTATTGAGACATCCATGTCAAATGGACGATGATCTTCTACAACCTGATCAAATAAAGAACAAGTTGTATTACATGTACTATTACAGATATATTCCAAGATCATTAGATAGCAATATTTATTCTATTGCTGTCAAAACATCTTGCTGTATAATAACATAATAGAGATGTTTATGTAAATAACAAAAATAAACATGAATAATATATGATGTATGCAAAAATAACCTCATTTACCTTTAAATTTACAATTGAGTACTGTTAAAGATTTGTTTTTAAAATACATTTGTACTATTATTAAACTTCTACTATTTTATTTACTAATACACTTAATGGTGTAAGGATGAGACTGTAGAGGTTGACTAGGATTTTATGTGGGGACATAAATTTAAGATCCTGTAATTCAGATTTCAATAACAATCATAGTAAATATTCTGCTATTCTGATTAAGTTTGAACATTTGTGTTGGTCTAGAAAAACCTAGGCAATATTTACCATTTACATTTTCATGGTTATTGGTATATCTTGTATTGATGAGCCTGAATGTAGCTAATTCATTAAAATATTAAACAGCTTTAATACCTCTTTTTCATAAAAACTGATTGGTTCCATCTTGTTAAAGCATCTAGCAGGCAGATCAGTTGGTTTTGAAAACCATTGTACTTTTGCACGGTATGGATCATTCTTGTTGGAGGGATCCTCGTACAAGGATATGATTTTAGCCGCATCACATCCTTCTTCAGTATCCGGTTCTGCCGCGTCGGCATTTGAAATTAATATGCAATCACCAATTTCCCCCACTAAATCTTTATATTGAAACTTTCTGAAAAAATAGGTGCGAAAACGCATAAGAGTACACGGTATTGCATGTATTATACATAAGATAAGCGTGTGAAGAACTGCGTTTACTATTAAAATTCAACTGAAATTTCAGTGTGTTGGAAAACATTCACACACAATTTTTTTATAAACTTACTCATAGTGTTTAAAAGTTGTTGCTAAACAGCTCGCATTGGAGATTTCTTCACTCAACCAAACTACGGGCTTGGTCTTTGTTAACCTTTTTCTCATTCTTTGCACTTTAACGTTCCCTAATACTTTATCGTAACTTTGAGGTTATTTAAATTTAGGTTACCGTTTATTTATTTTGTTTCCGTCAAAACTCAAAACTTTCGCGGGCTATTTCACATTTTAAAATACGAGTAGATCAATGGTCTTTGAAGATACAGCCAATATCCATACTAATATTATAAATGCGAAAGTAACTCTGTCTGTCTGTCTCGCTTTCACGCCAAAACTACTGAACCGATTTAAATGAAATTTTGTACGCAGACAGTCTAGAGCCTGGGAAATCACACAGGCTTCTTTTTTCTGTTTTCTTTAAAAACATTGCCCTTTAGGATAACATTATCCTGTGTTGTAACGATGTTTTAAAAACATAAATTTCGCACGGAAAAACACCCAGATACGAAACAACTATCTGTGGATCACACAAATAGTTGTCCCGTGTGGGAATCGAACCCGGGATCCTTGACGCCGAAGCCAATACCTTGGTACGTCACTGAGTTATCAAGTCAATTTTATTCTCTCATAAAACATCATCTACCGGACTTGATTTCAGGTCACGGGCTCAAATCATATTGACTTATTACGAGTTTTATAAGTTAAGGAATAAATGTCTAATAGTTTTAGAAAAATAGCGGAAAAGTACTTCATCACTACGAGTATTGAATTTGCATCCTCCAGGATACGTGACCACGGAATAGAGTAAATAGTTGATTTCTCTATTCCGTGCGCCCGACGCTCTAGACATTGAGCTAAAATGTTTATCGTCATACTGATGAAAAACTTCGCTCTCGACTTATTTTTAAATTTCATTCTCAGTGCGGAGTAAAGCAATACAAAAATTAATATCCGTTAAAAATTGCATGTTCTGCAGAATATTTTCGCGGTTTCTCTGGTGAATGAGGTAGTCGGAGCTCACTTTTTAATGGTTTGGTGGTCACTTGGCAAGTTGGCAATTCAGTTGGCAAGGTATCTACAATCCCTCGGGTTGGGACCTCAAGTGTTTATGGCCAGTTATGGCTTCATCTTCAATGCGTGTGAGTAGGGATGGGTCGTATCGCTTTTTCTGAGTACCGTATCTGAATCCGATATCGATTTCAAATATCAGATTTCGAAACTATGTATTTTAATATCTAGATATTTTACGGTTCCCTATCCACGTTGATTAATTGAAATAAAAAAAAAAAAAAAAAAAAAAAAAAAAAAAATTGTATACTTTAAGGGAGTGGATATAAGATGAATGAAATAACTTCCCTTCATACTTTTTCCAGGCTTAGGACTGGCTGCAATATTTCATACATATTATAAATATAAAATTGTGCAGGCGTATTTAAAAGTTGATTCATTCTATGTACATAATTTTCCTTATATTTAAAACTTAACATTATATATTTACAATTATGTCAGGGTTAATAATTCTTTATATCCCTCCGGGTTCAAATTCACGTTTAGGAACGTAAGCTCTCTGACTTTATTCGTCGAAACTCTTGTTCGACGATCATTAATAATTAACCCTGTCTTACTAAAAATGCGTTTTTTTAAATTATTAAATTAAAAATTTCATTAAAAATATAAATTGAAGTAATATAAAAATGATTTATTTTAACATCTTATATACCGCTTAATAATTGACTTTAACATATTTTTAGAACACGCAATCGAGTGGCAATATTTTTATTATTTGTGTAAGAAATAATACATTCAGTATTATAGCTTAGGGCGGAGTATAATTATATATATAAGTAAGAATTTAAAATATACACACAAGGCACATAAGCCTTGGTCTGATTTCCACCAAAGCAGCACAGCACTATTAAATAATATTTTTCTTTTTGTGTACTTTTATTTTTTTCCAAAAATATGAATAAAATTTAGCTAATAAAAATATTCACAAAAAATTTACCTCCTAAAAAATTTCCATTGTATATTTTTCTTCCTTAATTTAGGCAGAAAATTCTTAAGTAGTAAGTTGGCATCCCTTACCATTACGTGCCTAGTACCAATGCAATCCAGCTCAAGGTTAAACAAAATTTAAAGACATCGTTAATACCGTACCTAATTCGTATTTAAATGCAACAGAGTTTTTTTCCATGCTGTTAAGATTCAAAATTACTTAACTGCGCGCTTTGTCGCCCGTTACGGCTCAAGGCTAAACAAAACAATAGAAATATAATAATATCGTTGTAGTAATCGCTGATACCAAGATTAGTATTTAAATGAAACGGATCTTATTTGCATGGTGTTAAGATTCAAAATTACTTAACTTATTCATAATATCTGTTTAAAAATCTGATATCGTGCATTGCTTGCCGTCCCACTCTAACTAGTAAGTGTTTATATCTCACGCGCTTTGTCGCTCGATATCTGATATCGTGCATTGCTTGCCGTCCCACTCTAACTAGTAAGTATTTATATCTCACGCGCTTTGTCGCTCAATATCTGATATCGTGCATTGCTTGCCGTCCCACTCTAACTAGTAAGTGTTTATATCTCACGCGCTTTGTCGCTCAATATCTGATATCGTGCATTGCTTGCCGTCCCACTCTAACTAGTAAGTGTTTATATCTCACGCGCTTTGTCGCTCGATATCTGATATCGTGCATTGCTTGCCGTCCCACTCTAACTAGTAAGTATTTATATCTCACGCGCTTTGTCGCTCAATATCTGATATCGTGCATTGCTTGCCGTCCCACTCTAACTAGTAAGTGTTTATATCTCACGCGCTTTGTCGCTCGATATCTGATATCGTGCATTGCTTGCCGTCCCACTCTAACTAGTAAGTGTTTATATCTCACGCGCTTTGTCGCTCAATATCTGATATCGTGCATTGCTTGCCGTCCCACTCTAACTAGTAAGTATTTATATCTCACGCGCTTTGTCGCTCAATATCTGATATCGTGCATTACTTGCCGTCCCACTCTAACTAGTAAGTATTTATATCTCACGCGCTTTGTCGCTCAATATCTGATATCGTGCATTGCTTGCCGTCCCACTCTAACTAGTAAGTGTTTATATCTCACGCGCTTTGTCGCTCAATATCTGATATCGTGCATTGCTTGCCGTCCCACTCTAACTAGTAAGTGTTTATATCTCACGCGCTTTGTCGCTCAATATCTGATATCGTGCATTGCTTGCCGTCCCACTCTAACTAGTAAGTATTTATATCTCACGCGCTTTGTCACTCAATATCTGATATCGTGCATTGCTTGCCGTCCCACTCTAACTAGTAAGTGTTTATATCTCACGCGCTTTGTCGCTCGATATCTGATATCGTGCATTGCTTGCCGTCCCGCTCTAACTAGTGAGTATTTGTATCTCACGCGCTTTGTCTCTCGAAATCTGTTTAAAAATCAGATATTGTGGCAAACGCGTATGATATCGCCGTATCGCGATTCGTGTCGGTATAGCGAGCGAGCATGGTACATCAGATTTCGGAAATATCAGATATTGTAAAATACATAGATATTGAACGAGCCAGTAAGCGATATTGGGATATTGTACTAATATCTAGTTTTCATATCTGATACGATTTGTATCGCCCACTTCTACGTGTGACATAAAAATAATTACATTTTCTAATGTCATCGTCATTTGTCATCGCTTGTGTCATTTACACGCTTTATTTTCAAGAGTTGTTTGGTTATATAGTTGCTTCGAATGTGGAGAAAATGAAGTTAAAGCGAACGAGAACATCAAAATCTACGTTGTCAGAGAAAATAGCCGATGCTCTCACGGTTAAGCCTCGAGCGGACATTGAAGATGATCACGTATTCAACTCAAAACCAAAAACACTATCACGTGCAGAGTTTAGTTCTTCCGACAGCGAAGATGATGCGATTATAAGCGATTTCAGAAAAAGAAACGTCAACTTGTTAAGTGAAGTTAGTAAAAAATACGAAGGACAAGTGGTATCACGGAAAGACTTGACGGAAGACACTGAAGCTGTGGGTTCTAATGATGAAAATTTATCTGGCGACGATCTTTTAGACGGTCCTTATGAATCTGCTGGATCCGAAAGTGATGATTACAGCATAAACAAAGATCAAAAGCAATCAGCGATGGGACATAGAGAGGAACTGGATGAAAGAGAAGATAGTGAATCTGATGGAGAAGGAAATGATGGCAGTGACAACTATAATGATGATGATGATGATAATGATGATGATGACGATGAGAATGAAGCATACGACATTAGCCAAATGGCGGAGCCTGTAAAAGAGAACTTTGAGCATATGAGAAAACAAAATATTTCTGAAGAAGCTAAAAAGGGTGTATGTGTTAGAAATCAATTGTTGATCTGGGAAGGTCTCTTAGAAATGAGAATTCATTTACAACGGTGTATGAGCACTGCTAACAAAATGCCAATGAGTGAAACTTATGCTGAATTAAAACAGAACATGGAGTTTGCAAAAGAAAGTAATGAGACTGTGAACAATGTTGCAATAGTGTTAGAAAAGTAAGTAACTGTTAAAATTTTTCTTAGCTTTTTGAATTTATCAAAATAGTACAGTATTAAAAAATTATTTGTACAGAGTTCAAATTAATTTCTTTTTACATATTTTAAATATTTTGCAACACTTGCATAACTGTGACCCCTACCCTGAGGTATTCAAAACATAGCCATCTTATAAAGTTTAATTATAATTTTTTTACTATATTTTGTAAGCATATTTTTCCATCAATATGAGACTTTACATGAATGAGACTGTACTGTTCTTAAAATCCTACTTATATATATATATTCAATACTTCAAACTGCACTGCATTTGCTGTATCTTATTTGTGTTTTGCTTTAAACAGAATTTTCCTTTCTCTTTAAATAGAGGAAAAGGGTTTTGAATGTTGATGGTACAAGGAGAAAATAAACTAAATACTCATAAAATATTTTACCAATTGGGAAAAATTAAACTAGAAAGAGTGCTTAGGCCATTCAGGTGATTGGGCTATTATTTATTGCCACTTTTATTTAATGAGTTTACTTTTTCTTATTTCAGAATGTTAACAATACAGAATACTTTATTAAAAAACTTTCCTGAAACCAAAACATTGTCATTGAAAAAACAAGGTACTGCTTTAATTGTTCAAAAGAAGACTAATGAAGGAAGCGATGAGGAGATACCAAGTGATACGGATAATGAAGAAATACCATCAGACACTGATGCTGAGGACGAACCTGCAAAAGAAACCCAAAAGTTAGAAAAACACAAAACAAAAAAGCGTAAAATTGAAGACTATGAAAAGGAATTGAACATGTCTCATAAAGCTTTCAAATCATTTAGAGATATGACAATACAAAAATGGAATGAAAAGACTCGAATTGCTACAGCTGCAAATATCAAGACTGCTCCCACTAATACTATACTCCAACAAATATCATACATACTATCTGATAGAAACAAACTTATCAGGCGTACACAATTAAAAAGATCAGAATATGATATTATTGGCTACAAAAAAGATTTGTCTATGGAAGAATCTAAAGAGACATGTGACGAAAATCTAGCTATAAGAGATCGAAAGGAAAATGATGAATATATTTCTGAAATATTTGATGACAGTGACTTTTATCACCAGCTATTGAGGGAATTAATTGAATGTAAATCGGCTGACATTTCGGACCCAGTACAGCTTAGTCGTCAATGGATCGCGTTGCAACAAATGAGAAGTAAAATGAAAAGAAAGGTCGACACAAAGGCGACTAAAGGAAGAAGAATAAAATATGTGGTGCACAATAAATTAGTCAATTATATGGCTCCCGAGAAATCAGTACTATGGACCGATGAGAGCACTAAAGAATTGTACAGCTCATTGTTTGGTAAAATGTTTGAACAGAACAATTTAGGCTTGAATGTTAATTTAGAAAATGTAAAAATAAAATAATGATTATGTGAAAGTGTTACAAATTATTATTGTTTAAATTTGTATTATGCTTAGTTAGTACTGAATTTTAATTTCCTACTAAGAATTTAACCAATTTTTCTTTGCTTATGAAAAGTTGATGTTAAAACATCAATGTTTATGAATTATATGATTAGTATATCTATAATTTTTCCGTGCATCATCATCAAGCCGAATGAGTCCACCTTCATCTCGTTCCGCTGTTCCACTCCTACCACGGGTGCGATTACACTGTTGATATTGGAAGTCTTGCTATTCTACTGCATGACGGTTCCTAGTCTTTCTTTTTCTTTTTTTCGTTCAAAGAAAAAAAGAGAAATTCTTTTTTTCTTTGAAACTCGTCATTCAACTTCGTAGAGCGCTTGACAATTGCCCTTTGATTATATGGATTAGAGAGAGTGGGGCACTACAATCGCAAGAAAACCAACAGGACAGATTTACGCGTATAGATAGTTAAGTACCTGAAGGACTGAGCTTTGCTCGGTTTATTTTTGGTAAATTTTAATATTTTGGAAATAAAAAAAAAATAAAAAGAAAGCAATGATCTGGTAGAGAAAAAAAAAATAAGTGTGTAAATGATCGTGATACGAACCGCGGCCGGCTGGCTTTTGGGGCCGCCCTGCCTGATGTAAATTTTTACTTCAACCTATTGGCAAGTCGTCATAGACTCTGTCGAGCGCTGTAAAATATCACTAGCGCTCTATCTAGTGTCTGTACTCATGCATGGCCGGCTACTACATGGCAGTCTTGCGTAGCACAGAATCAATACACATACACGTGTGTTACTCTGAAATAAGTAAAGAACAGTGATGTTTCCGTTCGGCCAATTCAAATCCAAACAACTTTAACTTGTCTCCAACAATTTCAGTGTTTTTTCTGTAGCAGGACTCTTTACAATATTATCTCTTATTTAATACATTCAATAAAAAGAAAGTGACTGGACTATAGAAATGATGTCAAGCTAATTTGTAACTAAGTTATCGAAGGTCCCTGAATCCCCGTACTTAGAGCATCTTTGTCGACAGGGAACAAAATGTAAGCTTGTTACAGTCAAAGTAAATTAAACAAATCACAAAGGTACCACATTCCCGGTCCTATTACAAAATAGCTTCTTCCTCACGGAAAGCCTGAGTAAATCCTTGACTATGGTCTTCGTTACTAGGCAAGATCCGACTGTACTACCCAGAACTATGACACTTAGCAGGCGCCAGTTTCTACTAGACCTCGGCTACGATATTCGGGTACAGTCTCCGACCGACCCAACGAATCGAGAACCTGTGCTTTTAAACTATCGTCGTCATCATTATCATCATGCTGACCATAGGTCTTCTCCTTACGCTGCCAGGAAGTGCGATCCTGAGCCACCTGCATCCATCGACTTTCCGGACATTTGGCCTTTTAAACTATCGGTAATTCCTCATATCGTAACTTAATCTACAGTTTCTCTAGGTACCTAGTTCTTAACTGAGGCATCTTTAGCATGTCATGCGCGTAAAAACGTTTAGAGCTTAATGCTCATACCATATAAAGATTGTCGGACAAAAGTTTTGAAACATTAAACAGACATTTGCAACGTCAAACGTTACCTTACATTTGTAACGTTTGAACCTTTTGTTTTCTATGCAACCATTTCTAGGTAATTTCCGCCGTCATTTTGTGCAATGTCCCTTATCATAATCTTGAGCATGATGGCACAGTTCCTAAACCTAGGGGTCGTGCATCGATCCTCCTTTGTGTTACACCCACAGGCCATTGATACCAGACAGGTGGTCGATTCTAAAAAACATAGTTGTAGTAGAGTCGGCATAATGTGATGCTAATAGCATGTCATGTTATTAGTGACACATATTATGCCGATTCTACGTAGATGGGATAAGGACAAGGTGAATACTGTGAAATAAAATAACTTTTATGGATTCATCGCGTTTATTTCTATTTTATTTTAAACCGTGTCAGAAATGTTTGAACGATTTTGAATCCAGCGAGGGATTTATCCTTCATAATTTATGGTTTGGCTTGGAGTTTTTCATTTTATTGACATATTACGTCTTATTTTGGTATATGGTACCAAGGATATTATTTAACAGCTTGCTCGCTTGGCAACTTTTCGTATAAAAATATTATAAATTTCACACTCCATTTTAAACTATCCCCTGGGGTCGTCTAATAATTAATGTCTTGATGTTGGCTTCCAAACGTCGAAAATAAAACTAAATTTAAAAATCATACAAGTAAAATATGGTAAAATAATTGTACCAGCTCAAAAAAGAAAAATAGTCATAGGCGGCCGTCGCAACATTTCTACCATGCTTTACAAAGTAGTTAATACAATACGATTAGAGAACGAACTAAAAAAGTTCTTATCAATCTTCCGAGGTGAACTCAAAGTATTAAGAGGCCATCCGAATTTCAGATCAGATTATTTGTTTGGGTTCGTATGTTATGTTGCTAAAACAATAATTTATCTAACCAAGTTATGATTAACATGATCCCATTTTTAATTCATAATACCTGGAGGACCGAGCTTTACTCGGTTTGTTTTTTTTTTTGTATATCATGTATTTTGGAAATTACATTTAGATACAAATTACTGAGTAATGAAATACAGGGCTGTAGCTAGAGTTGAATTTGAGGTATGCCCTACCTCAAATTCAATTGCATTGATTACAGGTAGGGCCGAAGTAAACAATTAAATTAAATTTATCATAATTGATTTGCTCTCGAAGCATGAGCTCATTCTTGTATCTTGTATTAACTGATGTGTGAGAGAGTTGATCGCACCCAAGCTATTTCTAAAAGAAAGAAAAAAAAAAAACAGTTGTATAATATTTTAATGTTTTAAGAAAAAAATTACGAATAAGAGGATACCTGCGGAGTTTCTTTCGCCTGTTTCTTCTCCGTTAGAGGAACTTCATGATGAAACGGTGGTAGATTAAAAAAATACTATCGATAGATGAAATGTATGTTTCCTAAGTCCATAAATAAATTATTTTGATTTTGACAAACTGTGGTATGTTCGGAAAAGTTGAGATAACTATCGCTACAATTTTTATTACAATAGTGTATCTTAGTTTATGAATGAATAAATGAAAGAATACTTTATTGTCCACCACACAAAAGAGGATACACAAAATTAACAATAGACAAACAAATTAATGGAATTCACAATTTGGCGGCCGTATCACTTCATAGCGATCTCTTCCAGGCAACAAATGGCGTAAAGGAACTTTACTACGTAGGTTGTACAATAGTATAGTATATAATGCAGTAGTAGAGTTTAACAGCCTGTACGGTAAAAGATTTTTCAAAAAATTACGTTTTGTAGTTTGGCACCTTTAAAATGAGCTTCCTCGCAAAAGGTAGGATATTCCCCTAGAAGCCCTACAAATTCAAATTTCTCCTTTAAATAAAGTGGAGTAGAAACATGAAATAGAACACAGTGGGTACAACATAGAAAGAATATACAAATTCCGGCGAAGTAGGATGGGAAATCACTTGACACGTGTACGAAATTGAAAAACGTGGTCATATTTACGCATTTTTATTTTGGTATTTTTAAGGTAGGGCATTGTGATTTTAAGGTAGGGCATTGCCCTACAATGCCCCCCCCCCCCCTAGCTACGGCCGTGATGAATTATGCATAACATTTTTCGATCTTACCGACGTAATAATAAGAAAATATGAACTGGTGTTTTTCACAAAAGAAAGAACTTTAAAAAAAAGGGGAAAAATAACAAAATAACAAATAACAAATCGACAAAAAATAAAGAAAGCAATGATCTGGAATCGAAAAAAAAGTAAAAAATAAGTATGTAAATGATCGTGATACGAACCGAGGCCGTTTGTTTTGGGGCCGCTCGATTACCGACCGAGCTAGTATAAATTTCATTTTTGCGGCGAAATTTACCGTCATATTTGAATGATATTTTTCATTCCCTGAAAACAGGGATTAAAGGACATTTTCTAAAAATGAAACCTAGCTAGATCGATTTTTCGCCCTCGAATCTAAGCACATACTAAATTTCATGAAAATCGCTGGAGCCGTTTCCGAGATTCCGATAATATATATACAAGAATTGCTCGTTAAAAGGATAATAAGAAAGATAAAAGATCGCAAATATGTAACCTATTTCCCATTGTACGTAGTATATATGAAATAAAGTAATATGGATATAATAATTATGTACTATACACGCAGTACATATAATATCCATATTTTTAAGAGCAATATTTATTACATTAGTACTTTACCCAACGTTTGAAGATCAAAATGTTACGAGTTTCTACTTACAGAAATGAAACACGGTCTCTCACTGCAACTTATCAAAAATCTCCAAGTCCCTCTGCAGGCCATGGAAAAGGCTAATCACTGGACTTCTCCTTCTGATAGCAGTCACAATAAAGGCATCGCAGCAGAAGTAAGGAAGGTTTAGCAAGTTTATGTGCATTACGCTGATTATCGAATTATTTTTTCGTAAACCTTTTTAACCAAAATCCCGGATACCATTTGTTACCAATTTTATTTTTAAAATAGAATAGCATTTTTCATTGCATCCCTAATTATAAGTCAGGAGATTCTCAGTTTTTCCCTCGTTAATCTTTAAGGCATAAAAATTATTTTTCTTAAAGTTTTATGTTTAAGCTATGAGCCAATACGGCTCTACCTTTATGTATTTACCTAAGTATACAGGAGGTAAAGATGAAGAAATATGAATTTGAAACTGACTAGATCAAATATATTTTATAAAAAAAACTTAACTAAAATATATCACCATAGTGGATGAAGAACATTACTGTCAGAAATTTAATTTAAACTTATATCGAAAGCAATCCAACAATGTTGAATAGTGAAAGCGGTTTGCCATTTTAGATAAAGGTCGTACTTATCTATCTATCAATTTACGAATTTCATGCGGGTAATTTGTGAGCCCATAAATTGATCGACATAAGGAAGCAGTAGGCAAAAAGAAGGCAATCTA